AGTCTATTTAATCTGAGTCCGACCACTGGAGTCATAAACAAATACTTCATGGAATTGAGGATTACCCTTATAATCAAGTTCACTAATCCAGCTGGACCTGGAAACCATAGACCGAGCTCAGCTTCCTCAAGTACAATTCGATGTCTCAATAAGATCCTGGCTAGTTTGCTTACTTAGAGGCTAGTATGACCTTATACGCCATTTTAAAACAGGCTCATCCAGGGAGGAAACCCCTGAACATGTGCTCCACTGATGTCTTGAAAGTCTTTGACTCATTGTCTCATGATACGATCGGACGATTTGCATCAATGTATGGTGTAAGCGGACCACTGGTTCCGTATATCAAATAATCTTATGAAATAGTAGGAACGAATATCAATAGAAGGGTGCTTAATGTCAACTGCGGCGTCTGCTAGGATGGTCCAGTATCTCCTTTACTGTTTGTGATGGTGACGAAAAAAGTTGTAAAGCGGTACACGCATTGGATTTCAGCTTGGAAAGGTAAAGATCGAATTTGTAGTCTATTGTGACGACTTGATCATCATGCCGGAGAATCGCAGGGTCCTGCAAGATGAGTTGGACCTCCTACAAACAGCTTATCGTGCAGGAGGGAAGCAGATAAATGCTCAGAAGTCTGCTTTTCTTATCATACAGGTCTATTAGGAGAGAAAGACAATAGTGATTGCAAAAGTGACTCGCACATCAAGCACATCAAGTCTTTGACTCCAACGGACACTTTCAAGTACTTAGACCTAATTCTCAAGCAGAATGGTGTAATGCAAATCAGCCTCATACCTCTGCTGGAGGTGGTGCTACGGAGAGGTATAATGCACTCTAAAAACCTCACCAAGGGTTAAACATACTGAACGTCAGTCTAATTCTCTGCTTACAATGTGCACCTTTGGTTAACTCAGATAGTGTCGCGAAAAGCAAGGAAATGGACTTGCGAATATAAGCCCTTCCGAGGAATTTAATTCATCTCGTGCACAACACGCCTAGACCGTACTTGTACAAGGAGATCCTGGATGGTGGCCTAAGAAATCAAGTGCCTACATACAGCTATCCAGATGAGGATAGCAATCCGTCCGGAGGATTTCGAAACATCTGCATGCCCCATAGTTGAAGCGGCAATGACTATCCCCTTATGCCTACAACTACTGGACGTTTTCCTAGAGGTGCGAAGATCAGCCATCTAATCACACACACACGCACACGCACACGCACACACACAAAGGAGCAAGATAGGAAAGTGTGAAGAAGTGAGATTGAGAAGGGTATGAGAGACGCCGAAAGATGTCTGTCATAAGTGGCTATTCACGCCGCAACACAACTCCGAGGTAACCTGACAACTAAGTTACGGGCTTCTCGAGGTGGCAGACATTCGCATGAAAGTCTCTGTAAGTGAAAACAAGGGTAGGTAGAGGACTTGACATATATTGAAAAACTACCGGATAACCTTCCCCTTATACGAGTAAGCCGATATGGCTATGCACTCGATTAAAGGCTTTGCAAAGTTCAGTCTCTCCAGTTTATGCTTCCTGACAATAATGAGCTTACTAGAGTGCTATGCTGGTTTCCACCTCAACGGCAGGTAAGTCTCCAAGTACCATCATTACCCTTATCTTTTTTGACTCGGTCTCCTTGTTGTTTGCAGATCACCGACCGTATCTCCAGGTAAATTCTCTATTTCTCTACAACAGGTGTCTGTTTCTCTTCTCTTCTTCCCTTTCTAGATATTCCTATGCGCTGATATAAGGCGTGCTTCTGCACTTGGAATGAGAGCTAGATACCCTGGTGACTGCACCAGTGGCCAAAACAGAACACTAAAAGTGATGAAACTCTTATCACCTCTTAGCTGGAGAATGGGTCTTAGAAAGCAGTCGCTGACTGACTGTTGAACCTCGTCAGTTGTCTGTTAACACCACGCAGGCAGTATGGGGTGAAATGTCTGAGTGCCAACGTCCAGCTGTGGTGTGAAAAGGGCTGATATTATTAGACCGATAGGTGTGAGATACGACCGGCCTTAGAGAGATAACGTAGGCTGAACACGCGTTACTGTTTCTGATTAGGAGGTACAGATACATACCAGGGAGATTGGGGTCCTTTTTGTTAGTGGAAGTGCATGGCCTGTTGTGTACACCGTTTTCAAGCACTATAGTCTAATTGGAAACTGGTACATTGGCATCTGACGCTTAGATAACTTGGAAACAAGTAAGGATTGTAGGAATAGAATATGCTGTTTGTGTAAAATGTATAAAATAATAACTGGGGTAAAGCTTTTAATCACCCAAAACATACGTTCATATGTGTTAGATTTCAAATTCGAATTGTCTCCATCGTTGTTTGTTTAAGACACGTAACAGTAAGAGATTATAAAATGGATTAAACTGCTCATTTTCTCAGAAATTTTGTGTACAGTTAGAAAATATAACATTTGTATTTCATTGCACAATAACTTAGTTGAGAGTACAGATAAAACATTGATGTTTTAAAGGTGAAAGGAACTCCGTTTAGTGTTACTATCATATAAGTGTGCATTTTCTGCCTGTTTTAACGGGATTATTTGAGGTAACTTCAGTTTGATAAATTAGTCTTACTGTATTGACGTGATAAATTTCAATGAAATTTTGAGCTACAACAGAATGAAAGCCAACTATAGATTTCTTGTTTCTTTTTTCCTCATCATTAATCCATAGTGCTTAAAGCAACTTCTGAAACACAGAATATACGTAAATCTCCTGAATTTTGATAAGCTATTCACAACACGTTCTCTGTGGTCAGTCTCTTAGTCACTGACAGTCTCGTTAGTAACATTGTAGAAGGCTTAGTTAGCTGTATGTCACGTTTCCTTTCAATTATGATATATCATTCACTAACAGAAGACATACACATCATTCATTTTAAAGAGCTTAGTTGCTAAACGATGTTTAGCCAGTCCCGCTTGTATTTAAGGTGGTGAAGTTAGTGAAGTAAAAACAGAAGTACCAAGGATGATCAGTCGAATTTTAGAAGGTTCAGCCGGGTAACAGATTCGACTTCCTTCTGATAAAATATGATAGGTTATGGTACTGAGCGTCCAAAGCTCAGGAATAAAGACTAGATGCCTAGAATTTTAAGACGTTGACAAGTAGATACAAGTGGCTAGTTCTTATCATTTACAGCCTTGATGAAATACACTGGTAAAAACAATACTCGACAGAGAAATCTGATGGATTGAACGAAGGCAGAGGAGAGTATAACTAGAAATTGGCGAGGAGTGATCCTTGCAGAAAGTACACTCATTATGCGCCTATAATATTTCACAATTACTGACTGTGATTTCTTTGATAAATAACTTTCATTGCGCTCAACAGTATCGTTCTCATCGCTTGATGTCGCTGTCTCTGGACTAGATGAAGTTACTGCGGCTTTCAACGTTCGAAATGGGACTTTGAAGCTATCACAGAACTAGAGGGTGTTCTGCACCTGAATGTGAAGGTAGGAGTACTGGGTGCGTTACTGTTAGGTCTGATGAAGGAGCTATATGAAGGCGTAAGTGGATTATATAGGAAAGCTGTCTAAGAGACTGTGGTGAAACGGCTGATTACAGAGTGTGAAAGCCGGAGAATAGATAGGAGGAGATGTGGCAATTCTAGAGCACGAAGTTGGGTTAAGATGTAGACTCATTGGTTCTGACGCTTACGCTGACCAATCTAATACTTTTAACACTTCCTAAATTAGAAGACTCCAGGTACACTTGTTTGTGTCAGCTCAGCAATTATTATTACTGCATTACATCAACAGTTTGGGAAACTAGAAAAGAACTGCGGTGATTTTCTCCTTAAGACGTCGTGCAATATACTACCTTAATGGGTGCTTATCATTACCATGTATAACAGTACTGCTGAAAAACTGAGTGTTAAGAAGATTAGCACTTTGATCTACGAATTTCACTAACTGGATCAAGGTCATCTAAAGGTCAGACGGTCATTTCGTTTCGTTTGAAGTTGAGCGTATCAGTAATATGCCCGAAAAACTTCAGCTTCTACAGAAACCAGCTAATTCTTCTTAGATGATCGACTTACCATAGATTGGATGATTACTATGCAAAGTGTTTACAAATTCTGCAGTCCACATCATCATTTCTTACAGCCAGGCACCTTGTCAACTGCTCAACTGTTGTCTCATTTCTCTTGAGAAGTGTCATCAAAAATTGTACAACCTGTAAAAGCCATGCAATTTACTTTGAGGTTCATGAGAATTTTATTTTTAAGCTAGTATTTATCACGGAGTGACTTCAATCGGAGGACCATTAAAAACTTAGGAGGATTCGAACTCCTCATCAGCACCCACCCACAACTTCACCATGAATCAAATTTAGGACTTTTAAGTTTCTTAGTAAGCGCGTCATGTATTCAGCCACTGATTCGGAATCCAACTCAGTCGGAAGTGAAGTGGATGCCAACTGACGACCTTAGTGGATAGTCGTGAATTGGCAGAAGTAGGAAACCGTGGACCGTTCGAACTCGGACCCAGTGGCTGAATGACTAATGCGTTCGCTGTGAGACTTGTGGGGCCTGAGCTTGATTCCTCGTAGGGTCATAGATGCATACTGCTGAAGAGTCTCGTACTAAGATAAAACAGCTGTCGAGCGCTCTCAGGTTTTCAGTGGCTCTTCAACTGATGCCAGCCTGTGATGAACACTTTCTTAAAAATGTGTAATTTGAACGTCCATTATTATAGGCTGTTTTTCCAGTAAAAAATACCTCTGAAGGCTGAAAACACCTACCAAACAGTATGTTATTCCTCTTTATTGTAAATAATAGCGTTACATATTGGTGACTTTCTTTCAATGTTAGCTAAAGCATTTATGAAAGGAAACAAGAGTGACCAACTTTTCACTATTCATTTTAGCTTTCATACGAAAGTGAATCTAGACTTGTTGACCAGAAGGTTTATTTTCACATATTCGTTAATGTTACTGATAAAAAGGATGAAAACAATTGACTCTCAGCACTTACCATGAGCCAAAAGTATGCTACCCAACTGATTGCGAACAATTACATTATTTGTCAAATTGGCTCGAATTCCATTAGTTAGTTGATTAGCCAAAAGAACTAGATGAATGACATCCCCAGAGTGTCTGGTAATATAAGAATTTTGTAAAACTAGATTACGTGAATTAGTCAAATGGAGTTTGACTGCTGGTGGACCAGTTACATTTAAAATAATCAAACCATTCTCTTGTAGTCGAAGATTTGATAAATGTATGTCTGGTCCGAATTCGCCAACACTAGTGATTTTTAATCCACCGCCTTGGTTGTTAAGAAACTCACATGTGTCGATTTCATGTTTTATGAACCCGTCTGCTGTAGGTAACAGAAATAAAAGTAAAATTTGTCATTTTACCAGTGAGAACTAAATAATAAGTTAGTATTTAGACTACTTATTTTCAAAAATAAGTAGTATAAAATTTACACAAAAATATAATAACATGCAGTCTTCATTCTGTGTACAAGAAAGAAAGATAAAATGTAAAAGATTTTTTAAAAATTGACCAGAATTGAAAGAGAATCAAAAATCTCGTCTGTTTTTCCTAAGAAATTCGAGATTATACTAAAATGTACTCTAGCGCTGATTAAATCAGACTTGTGACCCAGCTTTTTCCAGGATATTCGAAACAACTAATTTGATATGAATGGTAATCCATTTTTGCTGTATTGCGGAAACCACACTATCTGAAAAAACTACATATACTTTTTTTCCTGTGGAAGTTTGTAGTGGGAAATAGTGGCTCTGTGGCTTATTGGTATAGGGAAAGGATTTTCAACTGATGGGTTACGGGTTCAAACACCTCTCCACCTTTCGAGGTTTGGGCAGCTAGATAGCATCATTAATCCCTACACAATAGGTGTCGCTCATTGCTACTGTACGATTGTGCACAAGACTTCTGAGTACGTTTGGTTCGATTTCGAAAGGGAACCAATTGTTTTCAAGAAAGTATAAATTAAGTGAAAGTTAAGTAAAACGTTCGGATTTATGAAGTTGACAGAAAGTGAATATTATATTCATTTCGGTGACCAACAGTGGGGTCCAGAACGTGCATTTCGTTCTGTTTAGGACTTTTCAGCCAGATGTACCTGTACCCCAGTCAGTGTTGTTTCCACTGAAACTGGAACTCAGTACCCGCCGAATCAAACACTAAAGAGTTATACACCAGGCCACTGGGACATGCATCCACCTCTTGTGCAACGGGTATGAGTTGTTGTTTGGATACTTATCATTCCTCGCTGCTATAGAGGGCTGGATTGTTCTACCTTTGTTGGCAGATGGGCTTCTATGCGGTTGCCTTGATACAGCCAGATATCCATGAAGTTATTTTCATCTTGGTGAATACCATTGAAATCATACCCGTGGCCGTCATGGATAACGCTTTAGCGTTTGAAGCAATGAGTACTGGGTTCGAGTCTCAGTAGGAAAAACATCACTAATTGGGGTGCAGACAAATCCAGCTGATGGCTCTCAAATAGGACAAAACATGCATCTTGGATTCCGACATTAGTCACCAAGATAGATCTAACATCATGAATATCCGGCAGTATCGAGGTATCTACATAGGAGTTCATTTACGAACAGAGGTCGAGCAATTGGGCCCTGTATAGCGATGAGAAATTACAAGTATCAAAATGTGAGTATAGTTGCAACACTGTGGTCGATTTAATGTCATATCATCTACAGTCACCAACAGTAACACTCATAAGATCCTACTTAAACAACCTATACTTCTCTGTACAGTTCTAAACGACAGTAAGTGAATTAATGAGCTAATGTTCTGCCTTGGTCTCATCACCGTGATGCTTTTTCCAACTTTACTCTACTTCATTCAACACCGTGCATTCACTTAGATACTAGATCACTGTGTCACCTCACTTGGTAAAGGTTGTTAACCTCATATACTGGTCTACCTTTATCTTCCACAATAGGATTAGTCATTTTTAAAAGTCTCTCACCTTTCTTTCTATTTCTTAAGCATATATAGGTAGACTTTACTCAACACACGTAATCTGCATCTACTATGTGAAGGGATAAAACAGCTGGTCTGGATAATCTGACAGAGGAAAGTTGTGTGGTTAACTCATAGTTTAACTGAAAATAGTTTTAAACCTGATCTTCCTATGAATTTATTCGAAAATGAGGATGAAATAACAACCAGTCTAATTGACAGATGAATAATATTACAGAGAGAAAGATGGACGGATAGGCATAGCCGCCTAAAAACCTCATGCAAGATTGTGTTGGCTCGCTTGATTAAACTTTATAGAATTACACGAAGAGAAAAACAAAAGAACAGTAAAGACTTTCCTTAAACAAGAAGGTAAGGTAAGATAGTTAATACATATGCATCCACTGTAATCGTGTATAAACCGTGACATATAAAACTGCCAATAACTGATCTGAAGGTTCAAAACTATCAGACCTCTACTTTTCTTTTACCGCTCAAATAAAAGTCAGTGAGTTCACTGGTTACTAGCATACGCGTAGCAGTTCATTTATATACTTGATTCGAGACTGATTTACAAACACAATGCAATGTAGTATAATTCATCACTGTGCTACATATCTCTTCATTAGATTATGAGCCATACTTAGTGTATGGTGATATGCACTACTACCAGATATTCCAGGTTATAGTTAGTATAAATAGTTGGGAATCCAGTCATATCTGTGTAATTCATAACTAGATAGTGTTAGATACATCAACTACAAAAGTACATCGATCTTTGCTCCATATCACTATGTGATTGGATGATTGTAAAGATCACCACTTTCTGTACCAAAACTTGAATATTAACCTGAAAACTTAATGTTATATTCATACTCTTGAAAATGATTTTCCTAGCAAGATAGAAACGTTGAGGAATAATACAAAATATTTGTTTATTTTGTTATTTGTTCTAATATACTACGCTGGGATTACACAAGTAAAAATACACCTTATACAATGAATCATACTGACTCAGTGCTCAAGTTTTTTTAAACCATCCAGTCCATTGTTGGTCAGGATACTTCCAATACAAAATTATTTAGTGGCAGGACGACATATCCTTTACTGGGATGGAAATGAAAATTTCTACTCATATTAAGAATTTTATCATTGACTATAATTATCATTTATTAATTTAAACAAATGAAAGGTGATCAGTGTTCAATGACAAAGGTCAGATAAGCAAAACTTACTCATTTCATGTTGTTTACGTCCAGCTGATAAAGGTAAACTAAGAATCTCTGCAATAAATCCATACTTATCACTACTAGCTGAACTAGCCTGCACATAGACGCCGAGTTCATCATTAATCGGTGAAGTGATAAATGTATATCTTCTACTAACTGGAATACGTTGGTTTAACAAGGAATGTCGTGTTAAAACGGTAATCAATTGGCTTGTACTGAAATTTGCTCCATTATACAGTTGAATGGTATTCTGTTGGCCATATGAAAGTGTGGTATAATGGTTAAGGAAACGAAAAAATCAGTTACACAGTGAGATACAAAAAGGGTGGACTATTATACGCGTAAACTATAAATTGTCTTATGAATTTTACATGCTAGGAAGTAGTTAAACCAGAAGTCAGTGCTTCAAGTAGTCAGTTATTGCAGTATAAGTCTCTGAGCTCGAAACATTGCTTTGTACTCTTATATGGTTAAATTAATCTAATCATACAATTTAGTGTTTTCTGGAATTTGTCAAGAAAAACCAATCAGTCAACCTTTTTTCTTAGCAAACTTTTATGTATTCAAAGAAAATGTAGTTACAATGGTAAATTCCTACTGAACAAAAGTCGTTATCACAGTCACAGGCTAACACCTTTATCGTTTGCTATTTTCAGGGTTTACTGAAGCATAGTATACTTGCAAAGGTTTGGACAAGTGTTATTCGTCAGTGTTTACTAGTGATCTATTCATATACTTTATCTAATCTCACAGGAGGTCATTCTGAACCTGAATAGTGGAATGCTAACTTCTGTAACTGTAACATTGGGTGTTATACATTCAGATTTTTAGGAAGTTGTAGTTCTTTTGGAGCTACGGATACACTTTGTGAATAATTGTCAGAGAGCATGAAATCTAGAGGAAGTAGGGATTCATGTTCACTACTCTTATACATCTAACGAGTTTTATAAGTATCTCAATTACTATGCACTGAACTAACAAGAAGTTATTTGCTAAGCGTACTTTTCTTTAGCCTTCAGTAATATGATAAAGTTTCATTTAAGGGATTAAAAAACCCAGATGATACTGATAGAAACGAACATATTGTAATACATGTGGATTATTGAACCCATCTGATTATTGACTTAGATTAGAATTAATTACAATAACAGGCAGTCAAGTTGTGGCAATGATTTCATTTTCTTGACTGCAAAGTTATACTTATGTCGAGTAGATACTTTAAATGCTAAAACTAATTTAATATAAAATCCTGATGACCTGACGGTTTCTATGCCAATCAACTCTCAATTAAATTGCTCTCAGTTGAATGGTTTTTTTCTGATTGGTCAGTTTGTTAACTTTAGCCTCAGGTGTAAACAAGACCTATGTGAACCACTTCTGTTTCATAACGCCTATAGTATTGATTGTGTTACTGTAGAAAACAAATCGTGTGATGCCTATCTTGAGTTATATGCTTCATTTGATCTTTGTTGGTCATGTCATAACATGAAGACTTCCAATAAAATCTTTCTTTTAACATGATACATAAGGTAGCTGAAAGTTTCTGGTATAACCTAATCTCTAAATTATTAATTTATTAGTTCCTGTAATTTACCTATTCTTCGTTATTCATCCCCAATATCTTTCTTGGTCTACTAAAAAGGGACCATGTTATAAAGCGTATGTCTTTGAAAGGTGTCAGTGGGGTAAGTGGTATGCCTTTGGCCCAACTGATTAACACTGTAGTTGATAGACAAGCAGGCAATTAGCTACAGTCATTTTATCTTATACTAAGCATCCACTTTATTGATATCTGTCTCTTCTGAGAGGACTAGACGAAATTATATAAGAGTGGAGGCTCATACGGCTAAGTTATATGAATTCAACTGCGTCTTACTTAGTACGGATCTTATGTGAAGGAAGAAGTGTTAGGAAAGAACTCACTTATTAACTTTGCAATAATAATCAATCAGTCCTTTTAATGATTTAACTATTAATATGTGATTTTTCTAGCTTCCAGTTTTAGTAGGAATAACATCGCCCATCGGGAGGCAAGTATATCTACCTAAAGAGTCCCAAATATGACGAAACATGCATCAATTTTCACAAGAAAGCTGTGCTTAAGATGATGCAGAATACTCAAATTACCTAGGGATTCACACCAATAGGTTTAGATATTAATCAGCTAATATATCTAGGAGAATGTATATTAGAAATTTATCAGAAAAGAAATTGGATCTCTTATGATAATTGTACTACAAACCTTAATTAATGGATCATGATATAAGTTGACAGCCAAAAATCTCCATGCCAATCGTCGTCCAGGTACTGCTGAACGGAATACTTTTGTACACGTTTGAATACCATCAGACCATGATGAATATTTAAATTGAACAAGAACACTATCTAATACAGAGAGAATTCTTTCACTGGAACACATTGAAATGAAACTGGATATATGTTCTTCCCCTTGAAGTGGATATTCAGATAAGGGTAGACGAGATAAATCTTCGATTTTCCGTTGAAACAATAGTTCTTCAGATAATGGTTGTGGTAAAGGAACTAACGATTCTTTTACAGGTGGTAATGTTGATGGATTACTGTAGAATGACTAACAGATGAAATATTGTTTAGTTAGAAGAATATAATAGCGAGAAATAAAACAAAAACTGAGGCAAGTGCCTCAGTGGCCTGATAAATAACATTTTGGCAATTAGAGTGATGTGTACTGGGTCCAAGACCCAGTGGGGACACTAACACTCACTGAAGTGCAAGTACATCCAGCTGACGAGTCTCAAATGGGACAAAACGCACCTCCTAGATTCCATTGCTAACCACAAAGTGGACTATAACGTAATGGATATTCAGGCAGTACCAAAGCATCCGAATTGGGTTACATCTGCCAACAGACGTCAAGCAGTTGTATCCAGTATGATAGCGGGAGATTAAAAGTACCAATAAATAAAAATGCGGTAAGATCTACATAAAACACCCAAGGTCTGCAATAAATTTAAATCCATAGCAAGCTGATGTCAAGTAAAAGATTGCTTAATCTTATACATAGCGAGTTAGCTGCTTTCAAGTATCTTCAAGTCCACCTTTAGCATTATAAATTTATCACTGAATTACACGAACTCATAAAAATCAACGCAGCTTAGAACTGCCAAAATCAATTTCTATAGATGATATTTATCAACCTCATATGACTGATCATATGATACAGCTAATGCATTAGTATCTTATGCAACACTGTTCTAGGATAAAATGTGGTGGTCTGTAAAGTTGCAAATGCTTATTTGATTAGCTGTTGAGTAAGTTTTTGCTTCTATCGACCATCAATTCGAAGCTTCTAAGTTGGACAATGAAGTCAATATCTCATGAACCGACCAATCTATTAGTCAGGAATTCTTATCCAAATCCGAAATGAACTGAATTAGAGAGAGGGAGAATCATATTGATAATCAGTTTGACTGTTTGAGAATTGCGTTGATACTAGCTGATGAATGAATGTGAAGTAAAGATTTTGAAGATTGTTAGCAGAGCTAGTGGTGTAACGTTAAACTTTTGACTGAAACTGCTGTGGAAAGATATCTTAACTCACGTAAACATCTGGCAGGAGTTATTTTATCAAATGAACAGCATGCTCTTTAATTAAAGCTCTCAGATCGGGATTTTTAACACCAATGTCAAGTCAGTGCTTCTTTATGGTTCAATGACTTGGCGGTTACAAAAGGCATTTCCAACAAACTACAGACATTCATCAACAACTGCCTACACTGGCTCGTTACTGAAGATCAGATGGCCAGAATAACACGAATAAACAACAAGGAACTCTGGCAACGAACCAACCAAAAACCTATCGTTCAACGAATATTTAGGAAAAAGTGGAGATGGATTGGATTGGATATGCACTAAGATCATCGGGGACATTACGTGACAGGCCCTCGAGTGGAACCTCGATGGGAAACGACGAGTTAGGCTTCCAAGGGTGACATCGTATGAGGAAGAAATGAGAACTTCTGGGCTGTCGTGGAGCCAGGTTCAAAAGTTTACAGAGAACACAGTGCACTGGAGACGTGCTACTGGTGCCTTGTGTTCCACTGGGAACCCAAGTAACAAATAATAATAATAATAATAATAATAACAATGTGTTAGTCCTTAGGTAAGACCAGGAAAAAGTACATAAGACTTTATGCACGTACTGCTAAATATAAAAGCTCTATCATGCCTTATTTAGCTGGTATCCTGAGACAAAGAAAGTATCAGAAATGAACTAACTAATCAGCTTTTGTCTTTTTAAAGCAAACTTGTTAAAGAATACATAATTTGCTATTATTTATGCAATATGAACCTGATTGATAATGTGACTGTCTTAGTTAACTCTACATTTTTAAGAAAGTTGTTCATGGAGTAAATATTTTTATCTTTTTAGATGTAATCTCTGTCTATTTCTTTTTATTGTATATACGTTTACATTGTTTCTGTTCGATTGATGCTATATGACATGCTGAAAATTGTGTAAAGTATTCCGAAAATATCTTTCAGAATAAAGCCATTATTACTATTATTCCTTAGTTATCAAATTGCAGAATTTGATCGATATACGTCGATAAATATTCAACTATAAGGACTGGATAACTACATGGGATAACCACTGGTGACTATCTCTTATAGAGGTAGAGCTGTTGGTGTTATTGTTCAAGTTTAGTCAATCTCATATGACTATTATTAGTTGAAATATTATCTACCGCTGTTATATTCCTAGATATCCACTCCGTGAAATGATGTATGTCATCAAGGAAGTAGGGAATTGTTTGATTTCTCAAATTCAACTTTTTCGGTCAGTAGTCAGATCAAGTACTAGTTAGTGATCGGTGTAAGTGGTTGACCACTATTCATCTCAGCCAGTAGTATATGGTGCAAAGTAGTTTTAAATTCTAAATGAAAATGAATGGATGAGTGAATAAATAAATAAATAAACAAATAAAGGGAATCTTTGGTGTTACTGTGGTTCTCGACATTCATTTTTGATAAAACAGGTTCAAAATCATCACTCGCTGGCTTTCGTAGTTCCCACCTACCCGAAGTATCGATGAGGCATTAGAATATTTCTCTATTCAGTAGAATGTTGTGTTGATCAAACAATTCCCCTTGTTATATTCCAGCCATATTCCAGATGATATATGACCACTATAATCCCTTTCACTTACAATTCTTAGAGAAATCTATAACTCTGACAAATATATCAGTTTTATCCATAGCAATGAGTATGGTCTGTTAGCAAAGAAGTAATGGATAATAACTGATGGAAGTAAGTTAAATTTACATTACACTGAAGGATAGATTCTACTAACATTATTGTAACTTTAATTTCTGTTTCGATTGCCCCACATTTTAGCTTATAAAAACAGTTAACAGATAATTGGAGTTCAATATAAAGGTTTATGGAGATTTATTTATTGATTTCAGGCTCGTATTTACTATGGGCTGACGTCAGTTGACGAACCATAGGAAATCTGGGAGCACTGGAGAGCTGTTTCGCACTAGTATGGGACTCCTTGGCAATGCAGTCCTGTGACCCCGCCAGGGATCGAACCCAGGACCTTCAGGTTCCGCAGCCGGTACGCTACCACTGAAGTGCTAACAGAAGAAATCTTAAGTGTGGTCATATCAGTTTTCAAGCTATATTAATAATACATTTTGGTCTTATTGAATACTTACTTGAGAATCTTCTGTGCCAGTTGTCACTGGATCGGTTGAATCTCCATTAAGTATGGTTAAACCCAATCCATATCCAAGACAACCACTTACAGTACTATTAGTAACCTTTATTGGACCATTCGGAGTGATGAACTCAAATCCAGAGCCAAGACAGTTGGTAATTCGAATGAATGAAAGTCTGTTTGAATAGATCACAATGAAAGACAAATAAAACAGATGAGAAGTATGCTTGGAATAAATGCACAGATAAACTTTTAGAAAGGATAATAATAATAATGTTGTATATGTATCAATTAGTAGCGTAAAAGTTAGTATAGCTATGATGTAACCATTAGCTAGCAAGTGTTGTATACTGTAACCACCAAGCAGAATGACTCAGCTTTTTGTTACATTGCATTCCATGTTTATTAGATGAAGAATAGTTGAGACTAGAAGACTTAAAATCCAGTTTTATTTACCTTCTGTTATGTAGTACTGAGAGATAACTGCAGCATTGTGAAGCAGTTTATATTCTTTTTGTCCAGTGACTCTATTACAGGCGTTTATGCTACTCATAGATGTTTAGTTAGTGGTCAGTTTTCTTGGTTCACTTGTTCAAGGAGATAACTAAAGCCTTCGTAGTTTGCTTACAGCTGATATTTCATGGAACCGTACTAAGCTGCCACGTTTGATTCTCACAAGTAATAGTTATTTTTTGATAAATATCAATAGGCATGGGACTTCAATGCAAGGTGACATCATCCTTTCTCAGTGTGTAAAAGGATGTTTTTTACCAATCTGGTTCGACAAACTAACAGCATATAGTCTTCATATGTGTATACATGTATCCTTAAGTGTCCAACTCGTTTTTAAGACTGTTCTATTTGTTAATTAGTATTTAATGGAGTTGCATAAGTGTCTAATGACCTCCAAGTGAACGGACATCCGCTGGGCATTTGGACAGCTTACTAAGAAAATGTAACCGATAAGTCAGTCTGGAGGTTTGTGTAAAGAAATGTAGAGCATTGAATCGATGGTAGCGTGTTCATCACGAAATCTGACGGCCCAGATTCAGTTCTTGGTGTTATCATGGGGGTGCCCTGCCGAGGAGTCCTATCCAAGGAAGGAGCAGCTTTCAGGTTTTTCATGATTCTGCAACTAATATCACTCCACGGCGGGTACCCATACGACAACAACTGAATATGGTAAAATTACCGTATCTAGCAATGATCTATCCATTTTCAAATCATCTCTTATTCTACACTTAATTCATCTCAGTTCCTGTGCTTTATCCAATATTGTATATTCTTTTTGCCTGATTTCTCATCAATCAGTCGTTATTACTTTCCGCATTCCTAAGAATAGCTCTCAGTACACAAGTAGTGAACTAATAATCCTTAACTGCTTGGCTACTTGTAACAATATAAACCTGAGTGAACTATTTGGCACAAATGTCCATTGATTTCTTTCCAGATATCAGTGCTTCATTATTAGATGACTGTTATTCATTGCCCATGCCTAAAGACATTTTGAAGAAACTTCGGGTTGGAAAGTGTTTTGTAGATACGCTCTTTCTAGAAAAAAAGGATAAGTTTCTCCAAAGATTTTTGACTATCAATACGAGTACATGTTGAACTGATGCCAACGTTTACTCTTCAAATCGAAAACTGTACAGTAGGACAGGTAGACTATTTCAGTAATGTAATTGACTAAGTGATGGTCAAGAGAGAATACTGTCCTTTTGTCGTCTTAACACTTTTCCTTTGAAATCAAGCTTCCAGTTACGCAAGCAGCGATCGTTTCAAAAGGCAGAGCATTATACATATCACCACCGAGCCACGTTAGCCACCTCTTGTGCAACGGGTATAGTTTTAATAGAATCGCTTGTATTATACCATCGTTGATTGGACCAAACCGTCTCACAAGAAGCGGCTACCGTGGCTTGGTGGTGTAGTGGAAAACGCGCCCGCGTTTCAAGCCATCGCTCTCAAGTTCGAACCCCAGTGGGAACAACAACATTCACTGGGAAGCAGTTGTATCCAACTGGCGAATCCCAAATATGACGAAATGCGCATCCTAGATTCCACTGCTAGCCACTATCCACCACTACTGTAATTAAAACACAGGTAATATCGAGGCATTCGCACAGGAGTCCACATGCCAATAGAGACTGATCAGTTTGGTCCGATCAACGATGGTGTAATACAAGCAGCTACATTAATTACTTACTTGGCAGCAACCAATTCTATGTTCAATTTGGGAGGGGGGGGGGTTGCGGGGATTTATGGATTCCAAGTCGATATCCATCATGGGTTGGTATCAGTTGGAGGAGAATTGGGAACCTGAGAGCACTGGACAGCTATTTCTTCCAGCCAGTATGGGACTCGTCAGCAGTGAGTACCCATGACCCCGCCCTCCAGGGATCCGACCCAGGACCTTCAGGCTCCGTGGCCAGCACATTACCGTCGAGCTACTGGGTTGGAATCCAGTGGTTCATATTTCCAACTTCCATCACATCATGAAATAGCGCTACCACCACTCAATGTTATCGTAGAGTATTTGTCGTCACGTCAGGTTTGCCCCACTGGTCATAACTTTTCAATGGAACTTGAGAAGTCACTTCTCGAAGCTAATCACTAATGCGCATTAAATGATAAATATAATACCAAATGGAAGTAAATAAATCCTCACAAACCCCAAATTGAATTAATCCCGTCAAGCACTGAGTTAAGGTGTAACCAAATGCGTTCACTGCAGAAAATATGGATCTGAGTAGGATGTTGGTATTCAAAGAGGTATGCTCATCATTCCAGGATTATGAAGGTGAAATTTGGGTCTTGAAACTCAGTTAGCAGACTACAAGACTGGTAACTGTTAGAACCTCTGCTTAAAATCCTTCTGCCACCTAAAGTTACTTTTCAGTTTCAGTTATATTGCATTCACAAGTATCTTAGATATTCTAATCAGTAAATCATTAAGGAAAACAATGTTTTATATACATTATCAGTGTTTTTATCCTATCTGCTACTTAGTACAGATTTCAAGTCTTAGGTGTTCACAGTATAAGAGTGATTGTTGATTACTAGAAGTGAGATTACACGCTGTCTTCATTCTGATAAATAGAAAGTAGCAATAGTCAGATGCATGCATTAACTAATAAGAATTTGCTTTCTGAAAATAACTTGAACGCATCGAATCGAATCGTCTGACTAATCATATATCCTATATCAAACTATAAAGTTGTAGCAAAAGCCCTGGTGTGTAATGGATTTAAGTCTCTTTGAAAACAACATCATTCATCTAGTTGACCGATCCTAAATAGGACGGAACGTGCGTCCTGGATCCCACCTTAACTACCAAGTAAACTATGACATAATGAATATTCAGGCGGTATCAAGGCACTCGTATAAAAGTCCATCTGCCAATAGAGGTTGACCAGTTCAACCCAGTATAACAGCGGGAGATTATAAGTATCAGTAACCGACAGCTGATACCCATTGTACAAGAAGTGGCCCTCATGGATCTGTGGCCTAGTGGATAATAGTTTGCGATTTGGAATGACTAATACTCAGTCTGAGTCTCAATGGGTACAAAAGATGTCCAGCGAAGAATCCTTTTTTTGACTGACATCATTCTCAAGGTATACAACTGCATATTAGTCTTAAATTTAAATGGTGAAAGACAAATAACGTTTCATAAATCAAGAAAAGATTGCAGAAAGAACTACGTAACGTTTTAAATAGCCATTAAAAGAAGGTTAGTCAAGACAGAAGTAGTAATATTAACCTATCGGGGTGAATGATGTGATGAGAACTCAGGATTTTAGACTCGGAAGAATATACTGTGTGAGAAGACGTAATATGATAGTAGTATCGTGAAAGAAAAGATTTTGTGAGTCAAGTTCATTGCAAATCAAAAGATCTATTATAAAACTCCAGACCTCAAAATGTGGTTTGTCATGGCTTCCGCAGTTCGAAGAAGTTTTTGGTATATACAACTTTTGCAAGCCTAGAATAAATTCTGTGAATGAACTAAAAGTTGCTTTCTGCATCCACCGGATGGATAAGATAGAAGGTGGAAGGTTCTCTGCTTCCATCTGTATGGAGTCAGACTAGTATTCGGTAGGAGATAAGTTTAAAAAGCAAAAGCCGGTCATGATAAAAATACACTACTTTATAGAAGTGATTGAACTGGTCAATACATAGAGAGGTAAACTAGGGAGATATCTTATCCTTCACATATATTTGAAGTATTGAATAAGTAGGGAAAATTATTCTGATTTTGGCAACACAATAAGTATTTATCAATGAACTAAACAAATAGTCTCATGATATTTTTACTGACAAGTCTACTGTGAATTGAAGATGCATTAAAAGACGTTTCTCTAGGCACCGTAAAAGTATAATAAGTAGCTGCTTTCAGTTTTATAGTTTGTGCAATAAAACGCGTAGGATATTTGGTTTTCCATCAGAAAACATTTGCTGAAAAATTTAATTGATCTTCAGGACCGCAAATTGTCAGAATTCTATGGTATAAAGAACGACTCAGAAAACTCATACTCTGTCCATTCTATATTGGTTTCTTATGGTTAGATCTTTTGACTGTTACATTGTTCTGTCTTCTTAGCCGTATATCTAAGAGAATATTTCACAATCATAATCATTCCCGAATGTGAACTTGATTGGAGGCTAACAGTTGTTGAGATGATAGTGTGCACTATGAAGATTACTGGTAGTAAATTTTGGGTCGATATCATAAAGTCAACAAACGTTTCCAGCGAAATGTCAGTTTTATCTGAACAGTGAAGAAAACGCATTCTAGTTGACACCAGAGACTATTCTAATCAGTTTTGGCACAGTACTAAGGTTTCAGTTGTACATACAATTCTAATGAACCACGGATTGTCTTATCTTACGTGAAGAATATCCCTAAGGTTGCAAATAAACTATTGAAGCTTTTTAGAATCGTTCTAGCTCACAAGTCTAAAAAGCTTTTCATTCTCTGTTATGCAGGCCAAAAGAAACAGACAAAAGATAAAAACTGCGAAAATCACTATATCGGACAGATTGGTCTTCTTCGTATCCGTCTACATGAACGTCAACTAACAATGAAGCGTCATGTAATATTTTCGTCATATCAATGCATACAGAAAAATGTGAAAATGACTTTGACTGAGAAAATTTGAAAATCCTGGATAGAGGAAATACAAAGAATGCCAGAGAATTTTAAAAGTTTGGCATTAAAGTCAGTCAGTGATCAGCGGACATAGTGACACTGACCCAATCTATTAACTAATAGGAAACACATGAAACAACAGAGAGGTCAAAGTTTACGTCGACTGGACAACCAATCACACCCAAGGTCACCAGGACAAGATAACAAGCCATTAGTAGAGCAAATCGAATAGTTCACTTCTTTCTAAAGTTTGTGTGGTTGATGATGTTTTCTAGAATGATAATGAAAGCCTCACGATTAAGCCATCCCGCTCAGAGACCACAGTATCATCATAAAAAAGTATAGAATTATCTTGATAACATTTCTTTTCTAGTTGTTATTCATCGTGGACTGACATCAGTTGGAGGAAAAAAGCAACTCGGTAGCACTGGACAGCTGCTTCATCCTAGTATGGGACTCCTCAGCAGTGCGCACCCACGACCCCCCAGGGATCGAACCCGCGACCTTCAGGCTCTGTGGCCAGCACGTTACCATTGAGCCACTGGGGGGGGTCTTGGGTTCGCATTGCTGAGGAGTCCCACACTAGGACGAAACAGCTGTCCAGTGCTCCCAGGTTTCCTTTGTTCCTCCAACTGATGTCAGTCTATGATGAATAAGAACTTGAAATATTTCCAAATTTCCACAACTCCCTCAAAACATTTCTTTTCCTTGAATAGTTAATCACCAATACAAAAAAAAATCAACTGGTATAATTTTAGCACTTACTTTGGATAGGCATTGGTTATGCTCACTGCTGGTACACGTTCGCCGTGCAGTAAACCAGCATTTTCTATGTGTACATATTCTAGTATTGATTGTTTTTTATGTTGTAACATTTCATTGTCATCATGATGACCAACAGTAGCCCATGCCTTAGTATACTGTTCAGAGTTTGATTGTACAATACGAATATTACCCCAGTTAAATGTAGATAAGTTTTCTGTGTTTTTTCTTTTCATCATATTTGTCAGCATAGTTATATTATGTTGTGATATACAACGCAAAAAGACAAAATCTCTGCGTTTTAAGCATCTGTAAAGTGGAAAAAAGTTACTTTATAAAGTCAATACGATGATATGTGATAATTTGATAATCTTTTAAATTTTCTGCTTTAGATGGTCTTAGGCGTGATGGTATACTAAGCGAAATACAATTGGTCAAGTTGTTACAAGTGTCCATAAGAATTTCACTAGAATTAGTAAACATTAGCTATTTACGCCGCATTCACAAAAATGGCAGATATACAATGCTGTCTGATATTTCTCCATGAGCTGCGTGATAAAACATTGGTACAAAAAAGTTTGTTATTAAATGTAAGAATAGTATAAGAGAAAAGCCCTGGAATGCTGTAACTCTGATAGAATCTATGCTTTTCAAGCAATGGATTCGTCTAGTTAAGCGTTTCAGACTATAGATAACATTCTGTACTAATAAACTGGACAACCAAGATATTCATCAGGAAATGGTAACTCTTACAACACAGGATCAATAGTTGCTGAAACAACCATACTGAAATTACTTAATGGTAGAACTTACTCGGCATGGATCGAGCTGTCAGTTACCATCTAGATTTGTTTAGATCAGCTGTATCCACCGATGCAATCAGTATGACGGATATCGCTTATTCTCTTAAAGAAATGTTATCCTATCTTCTTTTACATCACATCTCGTCTCGAAAATAGGAAGTATATTATTTTTTAAGCTTATGATACACATTTTAAAATCCATAAGGTAAATGAGAATGTAATTATTTACACATAATTTAATGAAATAGTATTGAAAATGGATTTTATCAAATTTGACGTATAAAATCTGAAAACCATTTGTAAATTCTACTGTGCATACTGACATTTTTCACATCATTGTAGTTTTCAAACTACCTAACTGTGACAATACGAGGATTACTGGTGGAAACTGTTAACGAAGATCAGAAAGTGTAATCTGTAACAAAAAGGTGATATGAACTAACTAAACATACATTTTTTGGTTTAAAACAAAATGAACCTTTCATACTTATGAATTTGACTATCTGAGATAGCCATGGTTCGGTAGATTTGTACTGATACTGGGTGATGACTGAAGTTGGGGATTTGAACATAACCTATCTCAAAAATGTCACCTTAATACCTGAATACCAGCAAACAGCGAAAACCCTACCTAGTTTACTAGTTCACTAGTTACTAGCCAGTCCTATGCCCAGATAAAGAGGGAAGGTTGGGCGTAAGGCTAGCAACCCTACCCCGTAAACCAATCCGATCGCTAAAGAAACCTCATAGCACAGACGAAATGTAAAAAATAAAAGCAAGCATATTCCTCACTAGAATCGAGGAAACGAAATGATATCAGTCGGTGAAAGCCTTCGGAAAACCAATTGGTAGATGTGTCTTCTCTCTCGATGAAAGCAAAAGTAAGGATGGGGACATGGAATGTCCGCACCATGTATGAACCTATCAAGGCTGCCTAGATTGCAAAACAGATGAGAAGGTATGGTATGGAAGTGCTTGAAATCTGCGAAAGTAGATGGGATGAAAGTGGACACTCCCAACTGACAACTGTAGAGTCGATAATCTACTCCGATATTGTCAACCAGACGACAACCACGAGCACATAGTTCTGCAGTGGCTATCATTATGTCACCAAGAACATCGAAGGCTTTCATTCAGTGGGAACCAGTATCCTGCAGATCATGATAACAGGATTCAACTCAAAAGGAAGGAAGGTCACAATCATACAATGCTACGCTATACACCTACAAATAATGCAGATCAAGAGAAGGAGGAATTCTATAGACAACTGCAATCAGTACTAGACAAGACTCCACCCCAGATGGCGACATCAAACTCATTCTAATGGGTGACTGGCATGAATGCGAAACTGGGAGGAGACAACACAGGAAGAGAACTCATCATGGGTTGACAAGCACTCAGTGAAATGATGAATGAGAATGGAGAACCGTTTGAAGACTTCTGCACATTCAATGATTTGGTGATTGGAGGCAAACAGTGTGTACAACGCTTTTAAGGATATTCACAAAGCGAGATGGATTTGATTTCATCAGACACCAGGGCACACTACACTAAAAACCAGATCGACTTCATCTCAGTGTAAAGGAAGTGGGAATGCAGCCTACTGGACACAAGATCAGATGAAGAAGGGGAGCAGATGTAGTTTCACACCACTCAGACCACTATCTAGTGCAAGGAACCTTCAAAATCAAGTTGACAGCCTTCAAGAAAGTTGGCGACAGACCACAGTTGAAGTTGAACACCTAGAACATAAACTGAAGGACGAAACTACAAAGAAAATCTTCACATCAGCTATCAAGAAAAATGGGAGATATCGAGCAGCATTCCTGAACAAACCTGTGTGGATGAACACTGGAACTCTTTGAAAGAGATGTGGAAAGAAATCTGCACAGCCGTAATAGGAAGGAAGAAGAAGAGACAGGACAGGGAATGGATCTCAATGGATACATGGAAGCTGATAGAGGAGAGGAGGATGATGAAGCAGAAGATAAACCTGTGTAAGGATGCTCAACGACAAGAGGAACTGAGTACAATGTATAAAACACTGAACAAAGAAGTGAAGAATAGTGCACGCAAAGATAAAAGACACTTCTACGAAACACTGGCAAGTGAAGGAGAACAGGCTGCAGGTAGGAGAGACCTGACAACATTATGTTAAATAACCAGGTTACTATTCGGGAAGAGATAAACACAGATGAAACCGATATAAGATGATGAAGGAAATCTAATTACCGGAGAAGAGAAACAAAGGAAACAGCGGGGTGACTACTTCAAAAAATTCTTGAATCGACCACTACCTGCACTTCGTCCAGAAATACTACCAGAGACAGCAGAACTACCATTGAACACAGGCCCTCCGGCAAAAGCAGTAATAAAGTCCTGAACGCCATATAGTTGCTGAAGTCCGGGAAAGCAGCAGGACCAGATGGAATTCCTCCAGAAGCACTGAAGACAGACGCAGAGACAACAGCAAACATGCTCACACCACTACTGAGAAGGCTTGCAAGGAAGGAAAGGTGTCTGCAGGTTGGAAGAATGGCTACCTTATAAGCGGAATTCCAAAGAAGGGAGATCTAAGTCTTTGGAAGTCCTGCTTCTGTCTACCCCAAGCAAAATATTATGTCGGTTCATCCTGGAGAGACTAAAAATCCTCTAGATTCCAAATTACGACCGGAACAGGCTGGCTGGCTGGATTCAGGAAGAACAAATAATGTACCGATCAAATTGCAACGCTACGCTACGCATCATCAGAGAGCAGAACGGAGCATAGAATGTCAGTCATCTCTCTACCTCAACTCCATCGATTTTGGAAAGACATTCGACAGCGTCAACCGAGAAGTAACTTGGCAGACAGCTGCTTCAACACTACGGAGTACCACAGACCCTATCAACCTCATTCAACAGCTATGTACTATGCTATATGATGAGACATGCCAAGTGATTCATAATGGAAAGCCCAGCTCAGTAATGTCTTTGAAGTGAAGACAAGAGAAAGACAAGGCTGGTGCCTACTATCACCCATGATCTTCCTGACTGTGGTCGACGCGACTCGACTGGAACATTGAAGAAACTGTGAGGAGCGAGAAGAGGGCATACACTGGCTGACCGATGAAAACACCCACAGGAGAACATTTGAATTTCACCAACGATAACCATTTATGTCTCATGTCTTGTGGCACAAACTCGAAGATCTACAGGCAAAAACTAACAAGTTGACAGGAGAGTCAGGGCAGCGAAGACCGGAATTCCCTCAGGTGAACGTAGAGGAGATGGAGGTGATGAAGATACCCAACCAACCAACCAAGCAACAACAACAACAAGCTGCAATCACCATCAATGGGAGGAACGTAAAGCAAGTTGTCTCGTTCACCTACCCACATTGGCAGCATCGTTTCGGCTACAGAGTGGAGATAGATTGGGCATACACCGTGAAGACCGACTGGGACATCACGCGCCAGGCCATGCCCTCGAGTAGAAGCCAAATGGGAAAGGACTAGTTGGGCATTCGAGGGTGACATGGAAGAGTGGTGAAGCCAGGATGAAAAGACTGCAGAGAAGACAGTGCAATGGAGACGTGCTACTAAATCCCTATGTTCCACTAGGAACCCATGGGACAAATCATAATAGTATATAACAATAATAATGATAATCACTACTCCCTGAGTTTTGGTTAAACAAGCTGTAAACCAGAAACAAACAGATTATATTATCGTAGAACCTGAGATGTATGCTAAACAGAGAAACAGGAAGAATGAGAGATGATAGCGATATGCTTTCGAAAAAAAAGTCTACCGTCAGAGATTTGCAAATAAATAGGATTTTGAGTTGTGTCAAAGGACAAGAATGAAGACTTGAGAAATAGTCTGCATACACTAAGTGAATTGAGAAAATAGTCAGTGAAAAATCTCAATCAGTAGGACATTTTCAGGCATGGAATTAATACTTATAAGATAAAGTGTTCCATAATACACATCAAAATAGACAAATACCCATTTCATATCCTTTTGAACTGCGTTTACCAATTTACATGTACATGCAAAAGTAAATAGACTGGAAGGATAGAAAACAGAAATTTGCACACCTTCCTGAATATATTGTAGGAAGTTTGAATTTGAAAAGACCGATTGTCATTAGTAGTTTAATAGCCTGCCATCTATTGAATCCACGACATGATGTGGACACTGAAAATTTTTTCCAAATAAATAATAAATGATGGAATTCCGCATTGTTTCATTTCACCTTTATATGTAGAAAGAATCAGCAGTTCATCTTCAGCTACCTCGGTAACAAGATAAGCAATTGGATCTCCGTCTTACATTATTATTTTTATTTTAACTGGTATTACAATTCATTGAGTTGAACTCAACCTTACCTCCCTTTAAGATGAAAATCATATTTCTTTTGGCTTCTTTGTTAGACTACCTAGCTCATTTATCAACGCTATTCTATAAATATCAGTCGAATTTGCTTCATTACCTTGTATAGAGAAGAAGGAGAATGCAAAGGAATACATTGGATCCCTTGTAATCAATAAATATGTTCATTCTTGTTTCAGTTAAACTAATCAAGGGAATCAAGTGTATAATTACTTTCTAGCTTAAGAATAACACTTCAGGATAATTTTGAACAATACAAGAACAAAGACATTTACAGAATAAACTGAGCTCATTTTATTTCATGGCCTTTCATCAGCTGCGAAACAGCCTTCAATTGAAATTCATGGTATCATTTGATGTTTCTGCATTGTTTACGAACATATCAGTGGATAAAACGATAGACATAATCTGTCAACAGTCTGATCTACTACCATTGCCAAAAACAGAACTCAATTACTCCTCCTCTGTACAGAAGGTGTTCAGTTCCAGTTTCATAATCAATTATACTGGCAAACTGATGGAGTAGCTATGGGTTCACCACTAGGACCTATCTTAGCTGATATATTCATGGCTCATCTTAAGAGAACAAGTCTGGACTCTGCAATCAAAAAAAACGACATAATACTACAGGTATGTCGATGATACTTTCATTATTTGTGATAACATGAATCATGCATCAAAGTTATTTGACGCCTTCAATCAAGCTCATCCAAATATTAATTTTACAATAGAATATGAAAATGAGTACAGATTCAGTTTTTTTGGATCTAAGTATAAGAGGCAGATGTGATGGTACAGTTGAGTAAACTATCCACAGAATGACACTTGGATTGGTCAGTACCTTCACTACAATAGCTTCTGTTCTGTCAGCTATAATTGTGGTCGAGACGCTATTCACTAGAATAAAAAGGCTACGCTCTAAAGCGAAAGAAGAAGAGGAATTTGGTGCAATTGAGAAAGCTCTTATAGAGAAGGGATATCCGAAAAAGTTCATCATGAAGCATGGAAAGGAATTTATTGAGAGACCAAAACACCCAACTGTTGAGAAGAAGCCTGTTTTCCTTCACCTAGCATTCAAAAGTGATGAGAAATCTGAAAGAATAGACAGAAGAATATAAGTTGCACTGAGAAAGAGCTTCCCTGCCACGAGACTGATGAACTGAAAGAAGGGCGTCTACTCGATTTTATGAGGATATTCCGAGAAACATGCGTCTGAATGATATCAATCAAGGTCACTAAGAGCTTAATCGCCAGGCATCTAACGGAAATAGGACATCAAATAAATGTTTCTCAATCCTTCAGAATAACCAACAAACAAAAACGACATTTTCATTACACTTCGCTATCAAACGTTTTCAACCTGACCTGTGCGCTTAAAAGGAGACTGTAATTAACCTGGTAATTTACCCTGGTAACTGTAAATAATTTTTTCTATGCATGTGTATGTATACAGTTTTGCCTTTTCTTTTAATTGCATCATCTCCTCATCAGTTACTTACGTAATATTAATCACTCGACGATGTCCAAGTTTTTCATACGATTACGTAACCTACTAGTTCTTAAACGGTTCTTTCTTTTACACTGATTTTCGTTTGTTTTCCTTCCACTCCATAGCTTCGAGATTTTCTATCTCACCAGATATAATTAGCCATTGATTTTGACCAAGATTTGTAAGCATTATTCCTGTATTTCCTTGACTTACTACCTTATTGTTTGTTAATCTTGGATTTCAAATCTCCACTTATTTCTGCATGTTTAAATTATGTCACGTTATTATTACTACTAATAATTCATTTCAGTTTTAGGCTGTTTGAAGCTGATGAGAGGCTATGAATTAAAATGAGCTTATTTCATCCTGCAAATGTCGATAACGTAATTAGAAGACGAAGTTTATCTGAGCAATATGATGTATTTGAGCATAACATTTCGAACAACCTGATCACAAGTCCACTTGTCAAGTCAATATATATTAAGCCGAGGACTTAGGGGAGGGATAAATACAACAATTAACACTATAGGGGATTAAAGTTAAGAAAGATGAGGACAAACAGGAAGTGACATAGTTGATCCTTATCTTGGTAAGAAAACAAAGTTTACCAAGGTAGGTGTAGTGCTAGAACAACCTGTTTTCGTACGCATAAAGGTGGTTTGAATTTGTGTATGACTATGGCTTCCGCAAATCTCAGAATACGTCCCTGACTGTTTCTATATAAGACTTTGAAAGCTGTTTGAACATTAACTTTGTGACCTGTTTCTATGATATGTTTAGCTATAGATGAAGAGGGTCGTCTCCCACCAGCGTTTATCACTGTTTCACACTCCATTTGTTTTTGAAGCCATTTAGGCACATGTTCTCCCACCCTCAACTGCATGACTCAATTACTCCTCCCTATGTATGTGTGAACACACACATGTAAGTTGGTAAACACATCGGGATGTGACGTAATCACTGGTACAGTGTTTAGGTTTTTGGTGAAGCATGTGTTTTGTTTTCTCCACTATGGTAAGATTCACTGCGTAATACGTTTTCTTAATGGCTGATGTCAGCCTACGTCTCAAAATGATACTACTTAGCTCCCCTCTGTATGGTAGAGTGATATAGACATTTTTCTTAAGGACCATGTATAGAGTTGGCTTTGGTGCTACTTGACCTCTACAAAGGTTCATAAACTTCGTGGATATCCATTTTCCATAAGTGCTTTGCTCAGTAGTTTGATGTCTTCATTCATAGCATCTGGTGTACTGATACCATAGATCCTATTAAACAGGCGTTTTACTAGAGCTCGATTGTATTGTATTGGACAAAAACTGTGGAAATTCAGGTATTGTCCTGTTCATGTAGGCTTTCTGTAAACTGACCTTCTTACTGAACCATCTTCTCCTGCAAATGTCTTTGTTCTTGCATTGTTCAAATTTGTCAAGGGAACTAAATGTATAACACTACAGGATAAATATCATACCATAAAAAAGTGGTTGTTTCACAATAAATCGATACTGCGTCTACGATATCTTCACTTACCGAATAGCATCATAATTTAGTCGTTTAGTACAATAGGCGCGTTGACTTTCAAAGCCATTACAAGTATAACTTTCCATCCATATATATTTGTTATTCAAAGAATTTTCATATCCATACACATATTGGTCAAATAAATTTGAAAAGCGTACAATTGCATTCAGTGTAGATATATTGAATTCTGAACAGATCACCTTTAAGTGCATGCCGAATTGAAAGGAAGCATATTCATATGAAGTATACATGCATATATTTAAATAATCAGAAATATGAATCCAACTATTAGTGATATTAAAGACCCATTCTAAATAATCCAAGAAAAAAGTTTCTTCTTGACTGCTTAGGGCAAGCAAAGGCGAACGAGAGGACAATTACTCAGGCATGACAATGGATGAAGGTTACGCTATGTTGTGAATTGACAAGAGCAAGAAAATACAGAACATTGGACTCCGAACCAGTGACTCAATGATAGCATGGTAACCACGGGACCTGAAGGTCTTAGGTTCAACCCGTAGTGAGGTCATGAGTGCGCACAGGTGAGGGACGAAATAGGTGTTCAGTGCTCTCAGTCCACGAAGAACATTAATTTGAAATCGACCAGTCCTCACAAACCTCAAAAAATGCATATTCAATAGTGATGGATCTCACTCTGGTTAAGTTTGTAGTCGGATAGTAAATTGGTAAAATTACGATCTGAAGTATCGTATTTGACCTAAAATGTGTCACAAACTTCTAAATTATTCATCCATACTAAGTTTTGCTGTAGTATATCAATCTGAAAAAAAGTTTCCCTTTTCAAAGGTTAATGTTTTTACCTTATGGTTAATTGATGACATAAGTAGCTAGAAGTAATTGGCTATGATTTCATGTTGTTGCCAGCTGGACTAGAATAATTTCCACTACGGTTTAGTTTTCAGTACTGCAGTTGGTCTCGGTAGTTTTTGCTGAACTGCTGCTAATGTGCCATGACTATATACTGAAACATACAGTGTCTCTTTATTTGTCATATACTGGGATGTCAGATTGCTTATTCTATTAAAGATGATTGTAGTACCTAGTTACCTGAAACTTACTTGTTGTGGATGGATTCAAACGAGTCCTGAACAAGACGAAACACGTGTGCTGGATTCCTCTGTTAGCCAGCATCCATCAATAATATCAAGGAATGAAAATACCGACAATATTCAGGCATCCGCTCAGAAGTACATATGCCAGTAGCGGCTTATGAATTCGTTCTATTCATCGACAGTGGCTTACAAGCATTACATAAAAACTATACTATAGTCGTCCTATAATTGGATGGCTATCGTGCCTCGGAGATCTAGGGGATAATACTGTGGCGATTAAAGCAATGAGCACCGGGTTCTAGTTTCAATGGGACCACCATCACTCACTGAGAGGCAGGTACATTCGGCTGACGAGTCCCGAATAGAAAGAAACGCATTTCCTGGACCCCACTGCTATACAGTAATTATCATTATTATCAAACTAGAAACAGTGGCAATGTTGAGGCATCTATGCAGGTGCCCGTATGTCAACAGTGGCCTATTAACGAAGGGTAAAATTACAAGTAATAACATAAACCGTTGTCTGTTGAAGTTACACACAAGCAGTTTACAAACTTTTCAAGAGCTTCATTTACTGCAAGAACATTAGTTCCAAATCATCACGGTAGTCAAAGCAGGCAAATCTGGAAAACAGATGGGTTTCAGGAAGACTAACGTAAGTGTTATGAATGTTTAAAGTATCAAAATGACTCTGTTGTCATCCTGAAAGGAACTTAGATTGTTTCATGGGGAAATTGGCAAAGGAATTAGAAAAACAGTCCTAGATTAACTGATGAGGAAGCAGTGACTTTTCTATGATCTCCGCTTTTACTTAGAAGATAATGAAATACCAATAATTCACCCATCTTATTAATTTTCACTCAGTTTGGGTTTCATTTTATTATTATAATATTATTATTAGTCCCTTGGGTTCCTAGTGGAACATAGGGCTTCACTAGCATGTCTCCAGTGACCTCTGTTCTCTGAGATCTTTTGAACCTGGTTCCACGACAGCCCACAAGCTCTCATTTCTTCCTCGCACGACATCCTCCATGTCACCCTCGGACACCCAACTCGTAGCTTCCCATCGGGATTCCACTCGAGCAACTGGCCTGATGCGTGATGTCCTCAGTCGGCCTTCTCAGTGTATGCCCACTTCAATCCATCTCCACTTCCTCCCAATACATATTTGTTGGGTGATAGATTTTTGGTTGGTTCGTTCCCAAAGCTTCTTGTTACTTATTCTCATTATTCTGGCCATCTGATCTTAAGTAACGAGACAGCGTAGGCAGTTGTTGATGAATGTCTGTAGTTTATTGGAAATGCCTTTCGTAACCCGCCAAGTCACTGAACCATATAGAAGCACTGACTTGACTGAATTGGTGTTGAAAATCCGGATCTTATTCCGCATGCTGAGTGTAGAAGATCTCCACACTGGTTCCAGGCTAATGAACGCCTGTCTTGCTTTTCCGATTCTGACTTTGACATCCTCGTCTGTGTCTGTGCTGCCTGTAGTTGAAACAGTGCTTCCTGGATAGGTGAAGGAGGTTACTTCCTTTAAGTTCCTACCGTTGATGGTGACTGGAGTTTGTTGTTGTTGGTGCGGATTAGGTTTCATTGCGATAAGTAAATACAGTCGACCATTTCGTCCTACTGAGCCCACATCTCTCTACCGTATAATACTACAACATATGCATATTTAGACTTTCAATCAATCAGCATTCTATCATAACCTCTGCTCAATAATGGACTATTGCTTTACAATATCACTACAACACATTTCATTCGTTTTTAGCTTATTTTTTCAATGTAGCATCAATTGAGAGATGAAAAAGAGAGTTATCAAGGTAGCTAAACTGTCTGGAGGTTTCTTAGATGGAACTAGTAAATAGTAATTAGTGCATTATGGCATACTTGGTGTTAGAGTTGAGCAAAGAAAATAAGTCTGATCATATTACTATTTGATGACAAAAATGTAGTCAATCAGTCATGTATATCATTTTGGGGGGTTCAACAAAATTTTCGTTATTCATATCTATTGCAAATGAAAATTAATGTACCAGAATGGTTTCTATCTGAAGGATTATCTTTTCATAATGATAATTTTTAATTAATCACCTCAGTGAACTGAAATATAATGAATGGATTCATATATGTAACGTTTCCAATGTTCAATAAGCATCCATTTATCATGTATTTGATAGTGAAAAATGACAAATTGGAGAATAAAAAAAATTATATATAAGTTTAAAACGTTAAATAAAGGTGTTTTACTTGAGCAACACGTGAAGAGAATTGATTATCACAAGCGATAGACCATTTTTTAGTTGAATGATTTAAAAATTGAACAAAACCTTCATTTGGCTGAAATAAACAAAAAAAGGAGTGTAACAAAAACCAGATGAAATATTAGAAATATTAACCTTAAACTCAGTTGGATAAACTTCTGTTGTCTGTAATTCTGTTCACTCTATAAATAATTGAATGCAATGCTGTCATGGAACTGATCACTTTTACTGTCTGCTTATCTTGAGAGAGATTAGTTCTTAATTGGATACAGGGGATTGACAGAAAGGCTGAACATAGGTTTCGTGCTTGTTGGCTATCATCAGCAAGCTTATCTACTACCTCTACGGAACTGGTTTCTAACCTGAGTTCCAGCTCCACCTCATACAGTGCGGCAGTCAGTGATGTTACCACTGAGCTGTTTGGGTCATGGCTGACCTCCTTTAGAGGTGGAGTAGACACACTGTTTAGTCACTGGAGGATGACCAACTTCATGTTATCTAGTCCAATCGAGTTCAGTTCACTTAGTTAAAGCATTTGATTGGTAACCACTAGATAAAAGTTTCGAATTCTGTTTTGTTTGCTTCAGTATGAGCGACTGGATAACTTCATAAGGCGTCATAGAATAGGCATGTATCCTGGTGTGATAGATCGAAATCCTTGCCAGGTTGTTGAGCGCTACTATAACTATCAAGAAGTTTTAAAACAAATGCTAGTTGAATGGATATGATCTGTGGTGGTCAAACCTCAAACTAGTAATCTTATCTAACCGTAGACATTACTTGTTGCATGAAGCAGTTGAAGATACAGAAATTAATCTTTCAACAAGCAGATGATTTTCTTGTTATATGAGTACTTTATTGAATTTCTTAACGCCTCAAGCCCGAATTATGTTCCCAAAAAGAAGTGCAGTCGAAATATGTCCATGCTGATAACCCATCTTGACTGTTGTTCGATTACATCATCCTTTATCAACCTTAGGTGTCTATCCATTTATCTTTATTCATCATCTCTTGTTCAGATTGAATGTTTTTAACTAACTGAGCCTAACTTACAACATTTTGCTTATTTATCGTATGACCTACCTACGTAACGTAATTATATTAAGTACCTCAACAACTCAAAATTGAAATCCCCATTCATCTCAAAATATATTACTAATCTTGCGGTTATTTTAATTTTGGGAAAATTCCATTAGGTTATGTATATAATTATGATCGTTTCTGAACACTTTTGACCTTTAATCTACGATTGTCTCTAATCGTCTTAACCACTGACCGATATTCTATTCTCTTTCAACGGATTAAACTATTGACGAATTATACCCATTTATTCATGAATAAGAACAAGACATTTAACAGCGAAGAAATATTTCTTTTCAACGACTTCATTATCAAGCTGTTCAGTTGTATTTATAATCGGTAAAATAAAAGATAAATGTAATAAACAGTTGCTCAATCAACATGGAAAATATACAATAGGCGTTGGTTACGGGACCTGTTCAAGTGGAAGAAGTAGAAAATGGGTCACTGAATAAGGAAAGAATTGATATTCAGTGGTGAAATATTGTGATTGTGGTGAACTAGATCATGCAACAAACTGTGAGGAGCAAGAAGATGAGTATATGCTGGCTGAACCGATGAAAACACCCCCAGGAGAACATTTGAATTTCACCAACGATAACGATTTATGTCTCATGTCTTGTGGCACAAACTCGAAGATCTACAGGCAAAAACTAACAAGTTGACAGAAGAGTCAGGGCAGCGAAGACCGGAATTCCTTCAGGTGAACGTAGAGGAGACGAGGTGATGAAGATACCCAACCAACCAAGCAACCAAGCAACAACAACAACAAGCTGCAATCACCATCAATGGGAGGAACGTAAAGGAAGTTTTCTCGTTCACCTACCCACATTGGCAGCATCGTTTCAGCTACAGAGTGGAGATAGATTGGGCATACACCGTGAAGACCGACTGAGGACATCACGCGCCAGGCCATGCCCTCGAGTAGAAGCCAAATGGGAAGGACTAGTTGGGCATCCGAAGAGAGGGTGACATGGAAGAGATGGTGTGAGGAAGAAATGGAAGTTTGTGGGCAGTGGTGGAGTCAGGTTTACAAGACTTCAGAGAAGAGAATGAAATGGCGACGTGCTAGTGAAGCCTTATGTTCCACTAAGAACCCGAGGGAGAAATAATAATAATAATTACCTGATTATGATAGCTACCTTGGGACCAAGTAAATACCTATTAAATGTATAACTGAATACAGTTTTGATCCATAATTCTCACACCTTAATAAAAAAGTATGCAGAGAAATAAAAACTACCACTTACTTTTGAAAGGAATACGTGAGAATATGTCTGAGGAGAATATCACTTCATGTGATTGTACCAAATAAATTTTGCCTTCCAACTCGATAAATAAATTACGTTTAAAACAGTTGAGCCCACTGATGGGATCATATTTAAGGAATTTGATATATTTTTGTAATGCATTTCATGCATTCTGGTCACATTTTTATTTTTCAAAGCATGTCAGGGAAAGTAGAATGGGGTCATAGAAACAATTTATGGTAATAGATATGAAAATAAAAGTATGATACATGAGGGATAATAAGTTTCCATACTGTCCTTGGAAGTAAACTTAGATGTTGATCACCAAAGAAGCTTCCTTAAATATGATCCCATCAGTGGGCTCAACTGTTTTAAACGTAATTTATTTATCGAGTTGGAAGGCAAAATTTATTTGGTACAATCACATGAAGTGATATTCTCCTCAGACTTATTCTCACGTATTCCTTTCAAAAGTAAGTGGTAGTTTTTATTTCTCTGCATACTTAAGCGTAAGGTTAAATGTTTTTAAAGCGGTTTGTTCTCAGATACCCACAAATTAACCTGCTACAACTGGAGATATTGCTGATCTCATTGTTAGTGTTTCTGTTTGTCAATATATTTTGATCGGAAGCTTGAAGGTTGTGGAGGTTAGCTATAACTTGTAAGCCTAACATGATCTCATCAACCGATATCTTGTTTTTACAAGTAATTTCTGAGTTATTATTTAGCTGATTTTTAACTTCCTTCAGTGCCATATTGATTTATGTTTTATTGTAAAGGCTTCTCATATCAAAAATAACCATTTTTCCATCCTCTTCTAAATGTAGTTCATTAAGTTTTAGTTTCAGTGAATAGGAATTGTCTAGTATTGAATTTAGACGGTTCCTGATAGAACATAAAATCATACCGAGTATTTTGATAGTTCATATATTGAAGTACTTCTGAAGTCAACCATTGGTCTTATAGTATAATCTTTTTTATGAACCATAATAGTACTGTAAATTTCACTGGAATACTGGTCTTAGGAATTAAATTATACCATTTAGACTAACCAAGAGATGGCTTCAGTCAACGTATCAGGTTTCCTAATCTTATTCATGACATTTTCTAAGGGTTTATTGATCGCTTCACATGATATTAATTGGATATGTTCATCATTTTTCAGAAATAATCTGATTTCCCTATAACTACTGTTAAAACACCTTAATCATGTTTCATGGTTACCGTGTAACTATCATGTTGTAGATTGTTTAGAACTAATATCGATGGTCTGATTAAATTTCTTTCTATCTTATTTTGTTTTTTCGTTGCTTGTGCACGCTGTGCTCTAACCTATTGAGTGCTTACTCCATCAACTGAGTTTAATGTCAGTTTTGTGTTAGGTAGAATGTCTTTAGGTTTTAGATGACCTATTATCATGTTGAAGTTTGATCATTTTCAACTTACTTTCTTTCAGCAGAGCTTGAAGCTCTTCGGGGTAGAATGATCACCACTTTGTTCTGTCAATAGTTGATGATATTCCAGAGTAAGTTGACGTAGTAAACGCCATGCTAGAACTTTACGATCACATGCATAGATCAAACTAGCCTATTTAGGTTAGTTATATGATCGAAACATAAGATGTGTTGTATAACTTTTAAAGCTTTCAATAACTACCTTTTCATAGGTTTGCGTGGAGATATTCTCCGAGCTTCGACTCTTGTTACTGATATTTTATCATTAGGTTAGGTAATTTCATCAGCATTTACCTTATTAAGAGTCACTTCCATGGTGATCTATCAGTGGCTATGTAAAACAGTGTTTGTAGTGATGTATTCTGTATTCATATAGTCTATCAGGCTTCCTAATATCCCGTTTATTAATAATACTTAACTAGAAAGTTGTAATCGTTTCTTTTTTATGTTTGCTTGAATAAACACAACCTTAGAACAGCTCACAACAATGCAAGAAGTGAATATGAAGCATGTTCTATTTTCTTACTGAGGACAACTGTGACAATGATTTTCAATGAGTCACTCCCAAGCCTTATGTTAATCAAAGACTACATTCTCATGAGAAATAGTATACATTCAAGAAATCATGATAGTTAAGATTATAGTCATTTTCACTTTTAGATAAGATTGATTCCCGGCTAAGAAATTCTGTCCACCTTCTGTTAAACACTTCATTCCACTGTAACTGCTTGTCGATTTCACTTAAGAATGATCAAATCAGTGGTAGCATAAAGGATAATACGAATGTTCGGAATGACGAGACAATATGAACAGGTGTTCAGATAGACGGACAGACAGATGGGTAGAAAGACAGACAGACAGAAAAAGTAGCTCACAACATGATGTTGCTTGTATTATCTACCGATAATTGGGTCAAGTTGATCGGTCTCTTTTAGCATATGGGTTCATGGACGGATGCTTCGATATTGGTTGCCATGATACAATAGCCTAATGGATAGCACCTTGGCGTTTGGAGTGATGGATGTGGATATCGAGTCTCAGTGAAAAAGTACAACTCAATAGCGTGCAGGTACACCCATTTTACGAGTCCCAAATAGGATGAAATACGCGTTCTGGACTTAATTACTATCAAATATTCATCATTAAAGTAAAATAAGGTCAAAGCTCGGTATAGGATAAAAACTTTGTGTAATAGTGGGGGATAAAGGTAGGAAATGAATAAAGTTTGAATGTGAAAGGGGTGATAAAAATAAAGCAAAAAGGGGAAGGAGTACATTTTAAAATTAATAAGAAGGCCATTCATTAGGTTTTCCTTAGTCAGGGCAAGGATGAAGCTATACAAATTTCTTTTGAAACAATAACTTTGTATTATGCATTTCAATTTTCTAGCTTCATCTGTATGTGAAAGACGAATTAGAACTCCACCGGAAAGGTTCGATAGAATGTGGCAAATCACTTTGAACGCTTTCGTTTTATCCACACTGTGACCACTATCAACTAGATGAGACAAAGCAGAACTTCTTATGGATTTAACATTTTGCTTGTCAGTCACTGAGGTTTTATTGCACTAGTACATTTTCTGTGATCATTTGCAATTGAAACCGTATTGTAACTAGTTGTAACTACTTTATACTGGTGTAAATGAAATCTTAGCAAACGCTTCGAGTTCAATTAAATTATCAAGCTACTTATAGATAGTAATTAGTTAAAATAGAATGTCAAAATAAATAAGTAACCTACCTGTGTACCACCGATTAATCTAACATTTTCAGTGGATAGGGTTATTCTACCAACTGGCGAGTTAGTCTTCGTCACAAGTTTACTACCAACAATATTAGGACGCTTGAGCTTTCTAGATGAAACACCAGATTTCATAGTTGAGGCGAAATGATTGTTTTCTGCTTGAAAATTGTTTAGGGATGTGAAGATAACAGGGTTATTAGGTGTTCCACGCGCTTCTATTCTACCAAGAATTAATATGCCTACATGTGGGGCGAATTCTAGTCTTACACCGGCCTCGATTCTCAACTCTACTCTAGGCATCACAGTTATGTCAGATGTAATCTACAAACAACAGGAAAAACTTTTTCGTTATAAAGTGTGGTTTAAATAATAATAATAATAATAATAATAATAATAATAATAATAATAATAATAATGGTAATAATAATGACTGTATTCTTAAAAAAATATTTAGGGAATACTGTACAGAATTTTCGGCATATCATTCAGCACCAACTGAGCAGAAACAATATATATGTATACACAATAAAATGAAATAGGCAGAAATTATATATAAAAACATAAGAATATTTACTCCATCAATAACTTTCTTGAAAATGTAGAGTTAACTTAGATAGTCACATTATCAATCAGATTCATATTGCATAAATAATAGCCAGCTGTGCAAGCTTTCGTTGGTTTGCTTTAAAAAAACAGAAGTTGATTAGTTAGTTCATTTCTGATACCTTCTTTGTCCCACAGGATGTCAACTGAATAAGGTATTGCACAGTTTTCACACTTAGCAGTACATTCATAAAGTCTAATATACTTACTCCTCATCCTTCCTGATGACTGACATGCAAACAGCTTTAATTGAAGAGGATACTGATCATCTGAAAAAATAAATCCTGTCACATGTTTACATGAATTAAGATGTTTATTCGCAGCAGTCTCAATCCGAAAGTTTGTCGTTACATCACTGGTTCTACTAACAATCTTCAAAATTTTATTCAATACAGCAAAGCACTTCTTCAGTAACCCAGGAAGGAATAAAAGGAAGCAATAGAGAAGAATAGACGAGATGTAGGAGTTTGTGAAACACAAGAGAAGAGGAGGGGTTATACCAGATACTCTCAGTTTCATAATACAGTAAGTTAAGCGGAAGACTTTTTGGAAATTAGTAAGAAATGGGAGGACCAGGGAAGGTCCGAAGAAAATGAGACGCCGCGATAAATCACACTTATAACATTCTCCAATACATAGCCATCAATAAAAAAGAATCGTGAAACTTAAGTGGTTTACTTAGGTTATGTTCACATCTACAGCCAAAGTTTATAGTTTGACACTGTGAGGAATTATTCACAGGACCACTCACAGTGGACTAACGTCTAGTAGTAGGTAGGAAGTTGTTCATTTGCGAACAATCTGGTGAAGCGAAGACAAGTATGGTAACTGTCAGGTCATCGACATTTTTCATAAAATTGGTACTAGCTGAAAGAAGGAGTAAAGATCGAGGGAAAGAACAATACCAACCAATCAGTAAGTAATGTAGTGTAAACAGTATATTGTTTCCTTTTAGAGAAATAGGAATACAGCTAGATGAATGTTCAGGGCTTTATATTCGTCCCTACTAGCTTGTCCGACAAGAGGGGTATGAAGATATAATCAAATGCCGAAGTATAGTCTAAAATGGCATACCTGACATACCTGGCATTTCTGTCAAGACTAAAAGTAACGTTGTGATATGAGATAGTGGTAGCATCCAAAGTGCTTCTTTTGTTTCTGTAAGTAAAGTGCTCAGGACCAACAAAAACCTTCAATGAGGGTTCAGGCACTGGTATTATTAGCTTCTCCATTATTGTCAAAAACGCAGAAGTAGCTGCAATAGGACATGAGCCTGGAATCACCAATTCAGGTACTGGGATTATCTCAATATTTTTTAGGCAGCTGTTACGGTGTTTCCTGAAAACGATCTATTAAACACATTAGATAGTTAATGGATGGCATAATACATCATGACATTTTGTGGGTACGAAACTTGATGTACCATCCGAAAGGAAACTGTGTGAATGGTTCATGAATTTGAGACACTGGAAAACAACTTTCTGTGTGAATATAGGACAACACCCTTTAACTGGAAGTGGGCACTGAGAGTGGGATGGGATAATGGAGTTGGCGAATAAACTAATTTTTTAAAGCATATATATCAGCATATCCTTTCTTACAAAAGTGTTTACTACCAGTGAGGTCTTTGAGAAGTTTCCACATGCTGGAAGAGCCTTTGGTTAAGAAAAGTTTCTAGTTGTAGATATTTAATTTTCGATCGAATTAAGATGTTCAATCGACGAGTGTCAGAGTTATTACTTACTTTATGTAGCCTTTCTTTTTCTCTTCTTAGTCTCTTAAGTTGATTTGGGGATATACCATCGAAACGTAGAAACAGTTTTTGTCTATTATAATAAACATCTAGACAAAACTTGAGATGTCATGTCACACTGCTGATAGTGTTGTTCAAAACGACGTTGTCAAATATATTCCATTCAGTACCTAGTAACACTCCTCTTAGCCAAAGCATGTTACTTTGTGGGTAGTTTCTACGTATGATTTTCTTGTACCGATATTTGCAGGTTGTATTGTGTAGCCCATGATATATTTCGGGTAAAACACGTATATGCAGTGATCTGAGTTAGATAGTGGTGCTTTTTGTCGAGTTTCGTATATGTCAGTATAAGTGACGAACAGAAAGTTCACTACTGCATCCTGACATGTTGTGAAGTTAACAAGGTTCTGATGACTGAGAGTTTTAAAAAAGCATTGGTCCCAAGAATTAAATCACCACATTATTATGGACAGAAACCACGTAGCATGAGCGCTACGAATTCTGTAAGTATATCAGAGGAACCAGATAATTCAAAACAATTGAAACCGGGTGTCACATAAATATTTGTGATATAAATAAGTTGATATTTTTCCAGATGTACTGGGTGGCATTTTATAATGATGTAGCCTATGTAATGATTTTAGAACTCGAAATACACCACTTCCACACTTCTTAGTAGAACTATATCGGTCCCGATGGGAAAATATGATGCCATTAGGATAAACCGAATAATTAACATAGAGATCATGTAACCAAGTTTCTTGTAATGTAATTACACTAACTTCAAGGTACATTATAGTGAATAAAAGATATTGTAAGCAATTCACTCTTCCCTGCAACGATCTGCAATTTGTGCTGAGAATACCAGGTAGAGTTATTCAAAGTGCGTTTCAGTCCACTGTGATGCTTTTTCCTCGTGTTATTTGATGGAAACATCGCAGCCGGTTGTAATGTGATTAGATGACACTATAAACTGATAAAACCGTATAAAACTTCGATGCAGTATATAAGATCAAAAACCCAGTAGCCTAGATATTTGAGAAGGCCACCATCAGTCAAGTCGAGTAGTTATCATGAGGATATAGTTATATCAGAAGTGAACGTTTTTCGGTACATTATGGAAATGAGTTTTACTTTCAGTAGTAGAATAATGCAATCATTTTGGTCAGAATAATATCCCTTTCTGTTCTGTATTATTGGTAGTAAAGGTGACAATCATACAATATTTTTTAAAGAGAACAACTTTTGATCAAAAATGGTAAAAACAAATATCTACATAATTTAATCACTCACTTTATAGGGTTGTGAACGAACTGGAATGAACAAATTTTCTTCAATTCGTCCTCCCAAGACACTCCTTTCTTTTGGTATATCCTTCTGCTTCAATGATGAAAGCTTTGAAGAGATCTGGTTATTCGTTAGCTGAAGTTGCAGGTAAAAGTGTTCATTGATAAGAAAAATATTCGTTGAAGCGGTAAAGCACAAAACAAAGTTTTAGACGAGTTTTATGCTACTCACTAAATAATCAGTAATATAAAATATCTGAACAATTATTTAACTTGGTGACATTCTATTCTTAACTGTTGTTCAGTTAAAACTACTTCCAGTTAGGTGCATTAAAATCTATATAAACCAGCACGCAGATACTTTCATTTTAATATATCAGGCGTTCATTTTGCGATATTTTCCATCTTTCCTGTATTAATTAACCAATGGGATCATGTACCAACTTTCTTCCGACGATAGAACTGCATGGTTTGCAACTGGATATTAGCAAGTTTTAATTTGTAACTTGAAGACACTGATGCCTGATTTTTAAGGAAATGAGTTATCAGAATCAATAGCGTAGCTGCTTCTGTGGATCTTAATTCATATAACATCCAGTATGTTGAGCAACTTTGAAGAAACGTATCTAATCTCTGCTAGTCAATTATAAGCAAATAAAGACAAAATTGTCAACAGTTGAGTTGTGCTAAATAAGTTCGTCACATGTTTATTTCATTAAACTGCTTGGTGAATAGTTTGCGAAAACACTTAAGCTAAACAGAAGGTTAGTCACTTTTGAGACTAGTCAGGTAGAAACTTTTCTCTTCAAGAAACTAAGGTGTTATGCGTATCGCTCTAAATACATATCCTTGATCAATACCAGCAGACCCACGACATAAGGTTACCCACGTCTTGTTCATAATCAAAAGATAAACATTTCTGAACGATAAAAGAGATAATCTGGCATCACCTTATACTGCAGGACGACCATTTTATGGGATACTTGATCTCTTAGTCAGACACAGCGCAATACCTAGGGACAGAGTTCCACATACTTAAATCTATGAGTTTTCGGTTTCGTACTAACATCAGTGGCATGTAAATACAACTGGTGGACTTTATGCAAAACATCTTCTTCTTCTTATCATCTGTTTTGATTATCTATTCGGTAGATATCGATCTGTAAGAAATTATTATTGTTATTGTTATTTCTCCCTTGGGTTCTTAATGGAACATAAGGCTTCACTAGCACGTCGCCATTTCATTCTCTTCTCCGCAGTCTTGTCAACCTGGCTTCACCAATCCCCACAAACTTCCATTTCTTCCTCACATGATCTCCTCCATGTCACTCTCGCTTCGGATGCCCAACTCGTCGTTTCCCCTTCGGATTCCACTCGAGGGCCTGGCCTGGCCTGGTGCGTGATGTCCCCAGTCCGTCTTCTCAGTGAATGCCCAATCCAATCCATCTCCACTTTCTTCTACTGCATATTTGTTGGGCGATGGGTTCTTGCTTCGTTGATTCGTTTACAGTCAGATTTCCTTGTTGCTTATTCTTATTATTTATTCTGGCCATCTTATCTTCAGTAACGAGCCAGCATTGGTAGCTACTGATCAATGTCTGTAGTTTGTTGGAAATGCTTTTCGTAATGCGCCAAGTCTCTGAACCAGCACATAGAAGCACTGACTTACTTGACTGACATTGGTGTTGAAAATCCGTGTCGTGTTCACGCTTTGTGCTGAGTGCAGTAGATCTCCACACTGGTTTCACATTAATGAAAGCCTGTCTTGCTGTCTTTCCGATCCTGGTTTTGACATCCTCGTCTGTGCCGCCGCCACCGCCATCGCCACCGCCACCTCCTGTAGTTGAAATGATGTTGCCAATGTGGGTAGGTGAACGAGACAACTTCCTTTACGTTCCTCCCATTGATGGTGATTGCAGCTTGTTGTTGTTGTTGCTTGGTTGATTGGTTGGTTGGGTATCTTCATCACCTCCGTCTCCTCTACGTTCACCTGAAGGAATTCCGGTCTTTGCTGCCCTGATCCTTCTGTCAACTTGTTAGTTTTTGCCTGTAGATCTTCGAGTTTGTGCCACAAGACATGAGACATAAATCGTTATCGTTGGTGAAATTCAAATGTTCTCCTGGGGGTGTTTTCATCGGTCCAACCAGCGTATGCCCCTCTTCTTGCTCCTCACAGTTTGTTGCATGATCTCGTTCGCCGCAATCAAGAAGATCATGGGTGATAGTGGGCAGCCTTGTCTCTGTAAAGACATTAAACTAGGAATTCTCAGAAACTCATCAATCTATCTGACTGAAATCTAATGAACATACTGAATGAAGTTCATTTGAGAGATTTGAATGAACTTCGAGTGAAACGAACTTCTATTATAGTTAAAATAATATCAGTTTTATTAAAAATTAATAGTTATAGTTAATTTGAACTTACATCAGATGAACTTAAATAATGATCATAGTTTATCAAGGATAAACTATTCCATTTGTCGAAATCGAATATTCGTTCACGAACTTCTTTAATATTTGATGTACCCCAGTAGTTTTGTTGAGCATCCAGAAAATTTGGAATAAAGACTGAGTGTATACCAGCAATCAGTTCATAACATGGATAACTTTCTGAAAGAGACTAATTATGCATAAAAGAGATTAGAACGAATTGTTAGTTAATTCTATAAACAGAAAGGTACATAAATAGTTCTATTATCTGAGAGAGTATTGGTTTCACAGATTTGCGTTAGTGTGCAGTTATTGCGTTTCAAGTAGCAAACATAACTCATACAAAGGCTTAAACCAGTGACATTCGAGTTATGCATTCATGACTATACTGATTGACCATTGAGACTCAACGGTGTGTTAGAATAAAACAGACAGACAGACAGACAGACAGACAGACAGACAGACAGACAGACAGACAGACAGACAGACAGACAGACAGACAGACAGACAGACAGACAGACAGACAGACAGACAGACAGACAGACAGACAGACGGACAGACAGACAGACAGACAGACAGACAGACGGACAGACAGACAGACAGACAAACAGACAGACAGTCAGACAGACAGAGACAGACAGACAGACAGATAGACAGACAGACAGACAAACAGACAGACAGACAAACAGACAGACAGACAAACAGACAGACAGACAGACAGATAGACAGACAGACAGATAGACAGACAGGCAGACAGATAGATAGATAGACAGACAGACAGATGGACAGACAGACATACCATAGTATTTACCTCTTGTTTTAATAATATTCATCAAAGTGTAGTACGATGGTGAGCCTTCTAGCTTGGTGACCAAATCATAAAATGATCGATAGAATTCGGCCAGGACAACAAGAGATTGGTTACTTTCCAGTGAACTACCAGTGTACGTAATCCAGTCCTATACTAGGTTAGTTGTTCTTGGAATAGCTCAGTAGTAGTATTGCTGACTGCAACATTCAGTGGTACGAGTACAAATCTTAGAGTGGATATTAGTTCCGTCAAGGTTGCAGACACGCCTTGCTGGTGAATGTTCTCATCCGGAAAACCAAGTCAGGTAGGTCTTTCTGTTAATTAAATCCAGTCAACTTACACGATACTAGTTACAGTTATGGTAACAGCTGTCAAAATAATTATTGACACTCTATTTATTTATTTCTATGTATTTGGATTTTTAATTCTTCTTATCTCATCCGATGTGAATGACTTTTTGTTCCGAAAAGTTGTGTTCATTCTTCCGTGCTTGAATGAGTAAAAACTGTGCAAGACACAATATTGCTAACTAATCTCCAATACAAAGAAAACATACTATTTCTTTATTTATTTATATAGTTCACAGTGTTTGGTTATTTACTAATTATGCTTTGGTAATTTTCTAAGATATATTAGAAAACGTTTTTTCTACTTCAGCAGTGAAGAAAAGAAAAATTTAATAACACATTGTCTTTTTCATGACGCTTGGGCTTGTTATAGTCTGTTTTTATTCTAACTGCAATAAAATTATGAATTTCTTTCCAAAAAATTTGGGATTAAAGCGAATAAGTGACTTCTGAACAATAAACCAAACGCTCGAGTTGTGAGTAAAATCCAAAATACTAGATTTCTCTGAAATACGGTTCTATGTTTATAACCAGTGTTGGCTAGTAAAATAGAAGCTTCGATTCGTGAGGTATCTGTAGGTTTATTGATATCAAAGCACTTTGCAGAGAGTGCTTCAACAGTAACAACAGCAAAGGTGTGTCCAAGCAATCAGAAGGGACTATGATAAGCGCTTGTAAGTTCCCACGATAAGGCAAAGACAGAAGATCAACAAATATTTAAGGTTAAATAGCACATTAGAGAAAAGAGAAGGAAATTAAAACATCATCATGAATTGGGAAGGATACTAATATCTAGGGATGTTAAATGGTGAACACCGTACGATTGAACAGAATGAACCGTGAAAGCTGTGAACGGAGTAACGTTATAAGTAAACATATTGTTGCTACTTAATAATATTAAGTAGTATAAAACTGAATTTATAAAAAGGAATACAAAGACAGCACGTAGGTAAACGAGAACAAGTAAGAACGTAATTAACAAAAACATTGAAAAATCTGGCACAATAAATAAATCAGCATGTTGAATAAAGCTTACAATACTGTCATTCTATCATATGCATTGTTTTTTTGATAGCTAATGTAATGGTTCATTGCTAATTTTGTTTTCTTCCTTCTAATAAACTTTTAGTTAATAATCATATATAGCGCTAATACATCAATTCCTTTATGTCATATTTGTCCTTCCCCCATTCCCAATAGTCATATTGATTCACGGAGTCTAGAAGTATATGACAATCATCAGCTGTTGTCTCTTCTATGAAACAGGTAACACTGATTAGCAACGCGTTAAGAAAGGACCTCTCTATTCATTTCTTCACAGTCCCAATTAGTAGTGGGAAAAAGCGGCTGTTAGTTTGAATGTTCCAAAGTAAATGATGTAATCCAAAAATAACTTATTGCTCCTATGCATACACATATATTTTGGCAAAAGAATTAGCAAACAGAAGACTCAAACATATGCCAGTCAATACGAAGAGGCTAGCATTGAGAGAGATAAAAACGAATAATTATCAATAATATTCACTATAGATTATCTTTTGCGTAGAAAACCAAAAATATGGATTTAGTCAAGTTTTCATAATAATAATAATAATAATAATAATAATAATAATAATAATAATAGTAATCCACTTTATTCCAAACAATTTGTGGTACAATTTGGAATTCTCAGCATAATAAATTGTAACAACAACAACAACAACAACAGAATATAAGTATATACATACTCCTTTACAACATTTCGAATTGTCTTATTATAAAAATTTAAGTTGTGTGAAGAATATTAAAAACGAGGAAATTTTACATTGTTAGTTGAATTGTTGAAATGGGATTTTTAACTGTTACAAAGTTGATGTGTGATTTCTGTTCTAACACTTTTTTCCTCACAAAATGTGTGCCAGGTAAGGTACAGTAGAATTCTTAGCTGTACGAGCATACAGTCTTATGTAGTCTGTCCTTGTCCTCCCTGAGGAGATACATGGAGAGAGCTGTAAATGAAGTGGATGCTCATTGTCAGTTAAAATTTCTGTAGCTAGCTGCTTGCAGGAATTTGTATGTCGATCAACTACAGTGTTAATCAGTTGAGCCAGAGACACACCACACACCCTACTGACGGTCTTCGAAGGTCTACACAACATAACATAGTCCTTTTTTAGAAGACCAGGAAAGATTAATGGGGAACAATATAGAAGAATAGGTCAAATGCAGGAATTAATAAATTGTAAAAGAAGCAGTTGAGTTATACCAACCAGAAAGCCTCAATTTCTTTATGTAATAAGTTAAACGAAAGATTTTTTTACAAGTCAATAAAATATGGGATGACCAACAAAGGTCAGAAGTAAAATGCAACCCAAGATAGTTCACACTCGATTTACTTTCTGCAGAAATACCATTGATGCAGCAGGCATCATGAGATTTAAGCAGCTCATATAAATCTTGTTTACGCCTGAGGTTAAAATTGACAGTCTGACATTTAGAAGGGTTTAGTTTGAGACCATTTGCCAACTTCAGACAAGAATTCATCTAATTTAGAGCAATCTAAGGAAGAGTTTACTGGAATAGAAACCATCAATTCATCAGCATACTTGATAAAATTAGTTTTAACAGAATAAGGCAAATCGTGCAAAAAAAACGCAAACAGAAAAGGAGAAAGTACAGCACCTTGAGGCACACTAGCTTCAGTAAGCAATGAAGTGGAGCGCATCCCTTTATAAGTAGTGTACTGTTTCCTTTCAGAAAAATAAGAACGCAGCGACTTCTTAACCCATGGCTCAGTGTGAGCTATGGCAAGTTAAAAATAAGTAAGTACAATCAATTGTACTTGTCAGTTGGACAAGTGATTAATCCTGGAATTGATGGCAGCCTCTAGGCATTATCACAGAAAACATGATTGCCATTGCTTCAAATAATGCATAACACCGCTGACAGAAAACTAGTCAGTCAGAGAGTGTAATGTTTGAGTGTGTTGACTATTTCACTTACCTGTGGAGTAGGATCAGCCCTGATGGTTCAGTGGCCGGTGATATCTCTACACCGATATGTTCGATTGGCTTTGCCAACTTACACCACCTGTGGCGCCGCCGTGATGTCCGATTGTCTACTAAGGGTCAGGTGTACTGCACAGCAGTCTGCTCTGTTCTACTGTATGGCTGTGAAGCATGGCCATTGAAGGTGGAAGACATGAGAAGGCTTCAGGTGCTTGACCACCGTTGCCTTCGTGGTATAGGCCGTATTCCGTGATGTCACCACGTGAGTAATGCATAAGTCAGGAGTAGAGTTTTTAGGAAAAGAGGTAAGTCGGTTGACTAGGTTGTGAACATTCATCGACTGAGATGGTTGGGATACGTGTTACGTATACCTAGTCGCCGATTGCCTCGTCACACAATGTTGACCGAAGTAGGTGCAGGCTGGAAAAAGGCCCGAGGCAGTCAGACCAAAACATGGCACCAATGTATGAAGTCTCTGACTGTTGAATTGAGCCATGTAGGGCGATACAGACTAGGTGGTTGAGGTCCGCAGGACAAGCGAAACCAGTGGTTGGAGACTCTAGGTGATCATACGGCTGAGAATCGATGTGAGTGGCGCAGATGTATACACACATTATCCTCATCTTAACAACGCTATACCGAATCTCACTACTTTCTCATTCTTCGTTTCTCTGTTCTTGTACTTTATATTTCCTTTGACTGAATTCTCTTGCACCTCACTGCCTTTTTACTTGATGTACTGACATGAGCTGTGGCAACTCGGACCGTTACACAGTAATGCCTGGTCCTAGGTTGATCTAGATGGATGGATGGAGTCAGTTTTTCAGGCGTTTTTGGCGAGGGGGGGGATTGTCCTGTTGTTCACTTCATCTTATACAACTTTTTGGTGAATAGTTTTCATTTAAGAAACATTTCAGTAAATCATTTTGCAATTATACGTTAATTAACTTACCTTGCAATTGTTAAAGCTATTATATCTGATTGTTATATTCTGTGAACCAAAAACACCAATTACATAACATTCCCATGGATTGATGAAGTTAAATCTATTCATGTTATCTTTACACACTTGATTATCATGAAATATATTTTTTTGCATATATGACAAAGGAGTAACAGGATTACTAGACTGACTTTGACCTTGTAATTGTATAATATATTGACAATTCGTATTTCTTAGAAGATGATTATTTGAAAATATGATTTCTTTTTGCATACCAATAAATTGTATTAGTCCACTTGAAGAAATTTTATTAGTTATTATAGTATTTTCACAGAGATTATCAAAAAATTGATTATTTTCAATATTGACTTTAGCAGAATAACCAGAAATTTGGAAATCAAAGTTTCGATTGAAGTTAAATTGATTACGTAACAGCTGAATTTGACAATAATAGTAATAATCATAATACACTCCATACTCATTACGCCAATCAAATTCATTTGTGATAAAGGGTAGATATAATTTTAAACCATGTTTTAAAGTTTTAGAAGTTGATAGATGCTTTAAAGTTGTCTTGTTATTGTTTAATAGTCCATTTTCAAAGAAATTACAATCAGTGATAGAGTAAGACCAAATATTATTTGAAAATTCGATTGGATTGTGTTCAACTAACAAGCTTCCAAAACCATTATAAGAGAATTCACAGTGTGTTATAGTATAGTTAATAAATGAAATACGTTCAACTGACTGTTTGACTTCTTGATTATCAAGGTGTAAATAGTCATTGGTGAATTGTGTCATTGAATGTATGTGTATACCAGTGTAGTGATTTTTTCTTGAAAATCAGCAATTACAAAAGTAATGGAGTAAAGTATGTCAGTAATTTTTTCAACAAAACATATGAATAATATAGAATTAATAGTAATTAACATTAATGTACTACTGAGGAGTCCCATACCAAGGCGAAACAGCTATCCAGTGTCCTCCCAGGTTCCCATTCGTACAGCAACTGATGATGAATACTATATTGAGATTTCAACCAATCCTCACAGGACATCAATTCAAATTGATTGGTGTTATTTATTATCATTGGACCGTATCTGTTGAATGAGTTTGGGCTTGATTTAATAATCAAAGACTTAGCTACTAGTCTTCATCTTCCTTCGTCCAACTGAGTTAAATGTCAAGAAATTCTTGTAGTTCTCATCTGACTGTTTGATTCTAAGTAGTATGGTCAAGCTTATTACTAGGATAGATATTATATAATTAGTGACAGTTCTATGCATCACTAGACTAAGTAATTCTGTTTGGCTGTTTTGTAACAGCCTATTCGACCTTGTATTCATGACAGAGATTTTAAATAAACCAGATAATAAGCTCACGATATGGATTAAATATTTAACTGTAAAATCTTAAGAATATAGACTGATATCTTAGTTTAAAATATGCTCAGCGGTGACATATGTCTAACTACATAAAAACAAATTTAAATGTACATTGGTAAAAAACTTTCTGACATCAAAATTGTGGGACTACGACTATTGCCAATTGATAAACAAGACAACAAGTGTTAGGATAAAAAATCTTTCCAAGTTTATACTAAACAATCATTAGATGTGGTAATTCTTTTTATATGAGATGACTTTACGTGATTAAACGTAGTGCACAGTCTTTACTAGTAAAAATTCCTATTACGATGTAAATTTTAGAAAATTAAAAATAGCTTAGTAGAAGACTGAATTTAATTTGAGAGATTTAAGTTATTACTACGAATCAGCTAATGTATATCGGCTTCAAAAATGTTACAGTGAACCTTACAGGATGCATGTAGGAGAGGTCTGACAACATCATATCAAATAACTAGGTTACTATCTAGGTAGAGGTCAACGCAGATGAAATTAATGAAAGATAGTGAGGGAAACTTAGTTAACAAAGAGGAGAAACAAAGGAAACAGTGGATTGACCATTTCAAAAACCTTTTGAACAGACAACCAACACCACCATCTGCAACCCATCCAGAAATACCACCAGCAGCCCAGCTACAGAAATACCAGTGAAACAAACCCTCCGACGTAAGCAGAGGTGAAGTCCTGAATGCCATATGGTTTCTGAAATCCGGGAAAACAGCAGGACCAGATGGAATTCCTCCAGAAGCAATGAGAACAGACTCAGATACAACAGCCGACATGCTCACACCACTACTGAAGAAGGCTTACAAGGAAGGAAGGAAAGGTACCTGCACATTGATTGGAAGAAGGACTACCTTGTCAAAATCCGAAGAAGGGCGACATAAGTGTTTGCAAGAACTGGCGCGGAATCATGCTCCTGTCCACCTGAAGCAAAATATTTGGCAGCATCATCCCGAAAGACTAAAGTATGTGCTGGATTCAAAATTACGACCTAAGCAGACTGGCTGGCTGGCTGGATTCAGGAAGAACAAATCATGTACCGATCAAATTACAACGATACGCTACCCATCATCAGAGAACAGAACAGAGCATAGAATCGCAGTCAACTCAAATCAACTTCATCGATTTTAAAAAGGCATTCGACACCGTCAACCGACAAGTAATTCGGCAAACAACTGCTCCAACACTACAGAACACCACAAACCTTCATCAACCTCATTCAACAACTATATGAAGACTCCACATGCCAGGTGATTCACAATGGGAAGCTCAGTGATGTCTTTGAAGTGAAGACAAGGGACGAGAGTAAGACAAGACTGTCTACTATCACCTATGATCTTCCTGATTCTGGTGGACTGGATCATGCAACAGACACCTGTGGGGAGTGAGAAGAGGGACATATGCCGTTTGACTGATGAAAAGACCTCAGAAGGAGATTTGGATTTCGCTAATGATGATGATTTATGTCTAATGTCTTGTGGCACAAACTCGAAGACCTACAGGCAAAAACTAACAGGTTGACAGCAGAGACAGGGCAGCCAAGACCGGACATCCTCCATGTGAACGTCGAGAAGACAGAGGTGATGAAGATACCCAACCAATCAACCAACAAAAACGAAAACAACGACAAGCACCATTCACCACCAAGGGGAGAAATCTGAAGGAAGTTGTCTCTTTCACCTACCCACATTGGCAGCACCATTTCAACTACAGACGGCACAGGCACAGATGACGATGTTAAAGCGGTCACGAACGGAAAGATAGCAATACAAGCCTTACTGCATTAATCTGAAATCAGTGCGAAGATCTACTGCACTGCACTGCACTGCACTACACTACACTGCACTGCACTTCGCCTCACTCAGCATAAAGCGTGAACAACATCCGGATTTCAACACTAATGTCAGTCAAGTAAGTCAGTGCTTCTATGTGCTGGTTCACAGACTTGGCGCATCACGAAAAGCATTTCCAACAAACTACACACATTCACCGCATGAACAGCTACCCCACCCCACCCCACCCCCAACGCTCATTCGATACTGGCACTGAAGATCAGATGGCCAGAACTACAAGAATAGGGAAGGAGGAGGTGTGGCTGCCTGGCTGGCTGGCAACGAACCAACCGACCAACAACCTATCGCCAAACAGTTATGCAGAATAAGAAAGTGGAGATGGATTGGATTGGATTGGACATAAACTGAGGAGAATGTTTGGGGACATCACACGCAAGGCCATCGTGTGGAACCCGAATGGGGAAGGACGAGGTGAGCGTCCGAGATGAGGGTGACATGGAGGAGATCATGTGAGGAAGAAATGATAGCTTCTGTGCAGTCGTGGATGCATGATGAAAAGACTGTAGAAGAGAGAGTGATATTGTGACGTGCTATTGAATCCTTATGTTCCACTAGGAACATATGGGAAAAACAATATAATAAATGAATAGTTAATGACCATATGCATAGATTTTATGCTTCAGTTTTCTGATCTTTTGCGCTCTTACACCTTGAATGCTCAGGATGCATGAATGATGAAATGATGTTTCGTATTTATCATGAGGAAAAGAATTTTCCAACTATTTATCAGCACTATGTAATTTGTAGTGAGTGGAAAGGCCACATTTTGAATGCAAGATTCTGTTGCCAGCATTTTGAAACTATGAGAATTTTTAACACTTCAGTTTGTTATATTAAAAAGATGTTGATAAAAAGATGCTAATAATTTAAGCTGTAATAGTGTCAGGAGAGAATAAAAGATAAAAAAGCGAACAATGTGAACAATTGATAGGATAAAGAATCATGTACTATGATTGGTAAACGAAAAGCAACCAATCGCATGTTGTCTAGTGCTGAGTGCAGACGAATTCTATCGATCACTTTGCAATGTGGTCATTAAGCTAGGAGGCTAACCATCGTACTGTAATTTGATTGATGTTTGTTGGTTAACTGACTGAAAAACTGGGTGGCGCGGATTAGAACCTCAGAAGCGACATCAGTTCCCTCGAGTTTGCAGATACGACCTGCTGATGACTGCCAACAAACACGAAACCTAGGTCACACAGGGCTTCCTGCTGATTGCTTCCATCCAACTAACATATCCCAGTGCATCGCGATGATGGACCTTCTAGCTTGCTGACCACATTGCAAAATAATTGGTAGAACTCAATCAACATCTAAGACTAGAAAACATGAAGTTCGTAACTGTTCAGTGAAAAATCAGTCCAAAAACGTTTTCTTTGCTTTCAAAAACAGTAAAATGCCACTACTTTAATGGAAAGTTAGCCACTACTTGTATTCAACGTAATTAAGGTCTGCTTTTGATTGTTTCTAGTCTTCAATGTATCTTACCAAAATGTAGAATTTTGCATAAAGGTTTGTGGAACATAGTTGTACCTCTTAACTTACCTTATCTTAACATTTCGAAAAGTGAAAGTCTCATGTTTATGGCGCCAATATAGATTTCCAAATCTATCGATTGGATCACTGTAATGATATAAAACGGCACCAACAAAATTATCTTCTAATATAGTATTTTCCACCTGATAATTTGGCATCAATGTATAACGTGGATTAAAGTTGTCTAGTTGAAATTTACGAGATTCAGTAGTAAAATGCTCATGATTTACATTGTTATGCATATTGAACAATGAATCTTGATATGAAGAATAAGATAATAGATTCTTTGTTTGAATAGCGAACAAAAACTGGCCAGATTTTATTCCATCTACACGAAGTTCAATAATCAATTTATTTGTTGATGAAATTATTGGGAAATACGTTAAATCTCTTGGTATACGCCAACTGTACACTTGAAGTGGATTGAAATTGGTAAATCCTGTATCATAGATAATAAGTTCTTCTATTGTTTCATTCATAAATTTATCTCCAGTTAATTTTTGAGCAGTGTTATAAACTGCTGGTAGAATTGAATTGATATGAGTTATTAAAGGACCAATAGTTGCCTTAGGATAACATTCTGCTTGTTGTCTACTTGTTGGTAGGCTAGTATCTCCTGGAATTTCAAGTAAGTCAATAATAATTTGATGCAAATGGTGTACATCGTCGGCTGTTAACTCTGTCCTAAAGATAGTCTATTTTTAAAAGAAAACAGATGTAGATAGTGTTGAACAATAATGAACTAGTCAACACTTACAACCCACTCAATTTGATATACAGATGAATATAACATTGGAAAGGATTTTAGTTTTGTTATCTGAAATAGTTCACTGATTAAATCTTCACTGTGGTACTGACTGATACAGATAAAGGTTGTAAATATTATGTGTTAACACAAGCCTGCATCATGTTATGGTTTTCTTGGTAGCTGGCAGCGGAATCTAGGAGGCAAGTTTCGTCCTAACTGGGACTCGTCAGCCGGATTCTGTTGCTAGCTGCCAGGAAGACTACAACCATGAATATTCTGGCAGCTTCAAGGCATCCACACAGGAGATTATTTGCCAAAGGAGGTCAAGTAATTCAACTCAGTATAGTAATGAGAAATTACAAGTGTCAAACAATATGTAAAAATCAGTTTGATAATGATTTACAAACCTCATAGTCTACAGTGACATTTCATTCTCACAGCTGAGTAATTTTCAGCTGCTCAATTGAGGCGTCAACAAAGTTTTCCTTTGTGATATCAACTAATTCTGCTCTATGATTTGAATTTATCAGGGTCCATTGCTGATGAACTGACTCGGCCCCAAAAGAAACAAAACGACAGTCCAGTGTTTAGGTCACCTTAATCAGGCTGCCTGTCGAAATATAAAGATCCGCTTGGGTGGTTTCGAACTACTCAATTTTATTCAATATTAACATAAAAGCATGAAGCTTTCTGATGATTTATTCTTTTGAACAAATATAGGTTCCAATTTGTTTATTTGGCTTATGTAATTGTTCATTAGGAGTAAAGATATCCATAATATATAATGAAAAGCAATCTTGGGTTTTAGTTACACGACGGTGAGAAAACCCATGCACTTCTGTCAGTTTCAATGACAAATAAATACCCAATCACTTGGCGCATTATATTATGCCATAAAGAATTATTTATTATATTATTTGTCCCATATGTTCCTAGTGGAACATAAGGATTCAATAGCACGTCACAATATCACTCTCTCTTCTACAGTCTTTTCATCATTCATCCACGACTGCCCAGAAGCTATCACTTCTTCCTCACATGATCTCCTCCATGTCACCCTCACCTCGGACGCTCACCTCGTCCTTCCCCATTCGGGTTCCACACGATGGCCTTGCGTGTGATGTCCCCAAACATTCTCCTCAGTTTATGTCCAATCCAATCCAATCCAATCCATCTCCACTTTCTTATTCTGCATATCTGTTTGGCGATAGGTTGTTGGTCGGTTGGTTCGCTGTCAGCCAGCCAGCCAGCCACACCTCTTCCTTCCCTATTCTTGTAGTTCTGGCCACCTGATCTTCAGTGCCAGTATCGAATGAGCGTAGGTGGGGTGGGGGGGATGGGGTGGGGTGGGGTAGCTGTTCATGTGGTGAATGTGTGTAGTTTGTTGAAAATGCTTTTCGTGATGCGCCAAGTCTGTGAACCAGCACATAGAAGCACTGACTTACTTGACTGACATTGATGTTGAAAATCCGGATGTTGTTCACGCTTTATGCTGAGTGAGGCGAAGTGCAGTGCAGTGTAGTGTAGTGCAGTGTAGTGCAGTGCAGTAGATCTTCGCACTGATTTCAGATTAATGCAGTAAGGCTTGTATTGCTATCTATCCGTTCGTGACTGCTTTGACATCTTCATGTGTGCCTGTGCCGTCTGTAGTTGAAATGATGCTGCCAATGTGGGTAGGTGAAAGAGACACTTTCGTTCAGATTTCTCACTTTGGTGGTGAATGGTGCTTGTCGTTGTTTTCGTTGTTGTTGGTTGGTTGGTTGGGTATCTTCATCACCTCTGTCTTCTCGACGTTCACATGGAGGATGTCCGGTCTTGGCTGCCCTGTCTCTTCCGTCAACCTGTTAGTTTTTGCCTGTAGGTCTTCGAGTTTGTGCCACAAGACATTGGACATAAATCATCATCATCATTAGCGAAATCCAAATCTCCTTCTGAGGTCTTTTCATCAGTCAAACGGCGTATGTCCCTCTTCTCACTCCTCACAGGTGTTTGTTGCATGATCCAGTCCACCAGAATCAGGAAGATCATAGGTGATAGTAGACAGTCTTGTCTTACTCCCGTCCCCTGTCTTCACTTCAAAGACATCACTGAGCTTCCCATTGTGAATCACCTGGCATGTGGAGTCTTCATATAGTTGTTGAATGAGGTTGATGAAGGTTTGTGGTGTTCCATATTGTTGGAGCAGTTGTTTGCCGAATTACTTGTCGGTTGACGGTGTCGAATGCCTTTTTAAAATCGATGAAGTTGAGGTTGATTTGAGTTGACTGCGATTCTATGCTCTGTTCTGTTCTCTGATGATGGGTAGCGTATCGTTGTAATTTGATTGGTACATGATTTGTTCTTCCTGAATCCAGCCAGCCAGCCAGCCAGTCTGCTTCGGTCGTTGTTTTGAATTGAGAGGATTTTTTAGTCACTCGAGGAGAGAATTTTTTTGGTTTTCTCTAGGCAGTGAAGAAGAATGTTTTGAGCACCCCGAAGCTACCGGAATATTAGTATTGAATCCACTGACGCTCTTTTTTTTTGCAATTGACCTTCAGTTAATCAATGTACTGGATTGTAGTGTTTATTTTCATTGGAACAGAAAAGTTTTCTCTATCTTTCTTCATGAGAAGATATTGTATTGCATTCTCAATTGTTATTCTTTGTTTTTCTGTCTTCTTTTGTCGAATAATTGATTGAAAAGTGAAGTTGAAACTCAAATATTTTTCACCCAGATGTCAATGATTTATTCAGTTGACCTATGAACTTCCTTGTGGATTATGCGTGGATAATTTGCACTCTGGAAGAAATTAAACCAATACATCGACTGGACACTATGTAGTTTTATTTTTTTCTTGTGAATGAAGACTATATATAGTCAAGAGAATTTTTAAGGTGACTGTAAAGTTCATTTCCATGTTAGATTTTGAAATGTAATCTGCAGAAAGTTGTCCCTAGGTATGCTTAATCAGCCGGTTACCTCTATGACTACAAACAAACTTAAGCTACCACAACAGTTCAAGCATAAGTCATACAATGTTGGACATTACCGATACATGTAGAACTTTTAGCAAAGCTAGAACAAGTAGTTGAGCAGAATACCATGGATTCATTGTGTTTCGTCATTTTCTCCTCAACCACATACAGGCGATAAATTCATTGGAGATATATACAGAGGAATCAAATCCACATAATCTACTTATCATAACGATGTTTATATAGTGAGACTGTCATCCTGAAAGTCATGACCAATCAGAAATGGAGTGGAAATTAATACACCAGAATATGTTTAAATATATAAAATGTTTTTCATGAGTTAAGACGAAGTCAGTCAGGGTCAAGTAGTAAACTGATGGAAATGAAATAGGAATTGATTGTGAATTCGGTTCTAAAGGGGGCTGAAAATACAGAATTTCCGAAGGAGTTATGTTGAATGACAAAACAAATCAATGAATATTATGGAAGTTGGAAGCTAACAGCTGCCTCTTTTTGGACACAAAATTTCGTTTTAATTCTTCTAATCCAATTGCTTCTACAAATCTTAGTAGCTTAACATTATTTTGTTTGTCAATTATTTTAAATGCTTTTGAGTTCTGGATGTCGTGTCTTGTGTCTTTGAGATGATTTGTTATGAAACTTCTAAGGCATTTTGGCTCCTTTAAGCTTATTTAATTTGGAATATGTTCATGAAACTTAGTCTTAGCCCTCCTTTCTCTTCTTTCAATGTACGTGCTCTGACATGTACATGAGGATTGGTAAATAAAATTTGAGGCGACTTGAAACAGAAACCTGTCGACTTTTGATTACTATAGTGAACACTTTGTTTTGCACATGGAAGCAAAATTTGGCTGATGAGAAAGTGATTTTTAGTGTAGTTTTTTAAAATTTTATTAACTTGGTTCATGATTTCATCCTCCTTGAAAGTTAGATGGAGGAACAAAGATTACTTCTTAGGTTTATCAAGTTCACTTGTTTCTGCTGTCCTCATTTTGACTTTTTCGATAAACCTATTAGGGTAACTATTTTCTTCCAGACATCTCTCGATAAACTAACTTTCTTCAGTCAGTTTGTCTGATGAACAAAGTTTCTTAGCCCTTTAAAATATCTTTTTGACTATTCCTTGCTATAAGTTATTGGAGAAAAACAGTTAAAATGAAGATACTGTCCACTCTATGTTTCTTTTCTTTTATGACTCATCTATTCTTCGTCGAAGTCCTAAAATGGGAAATTCATTATTTATCTCGTGTTCCTTAGTAAACTCAAGATTTGTATGTGCCTTTATCAATATTTTTAGCGGTAGCACCGTATGACTCGTATCGTTACATAAAACAAACATGTCGTCAACATACCCACTATACATTGTAGTTAGACTGACAGTTGTAGCTAGTGTGGTTATTTCAAAGTCAGACACAAATATTTGGCTCTATATTTACATTATTAACTAACCACATATTCTGGTGTAATAATTTCCACTCCATTTCTGATTGGTCATGACTTTCAGGATGACAGTCTCACTATATAAACATCGTTATGATAAGTAGATTATGTGGATTTGATTCCTCTGTATATATCTCCAATGAATTTATCGCCTGTATGTGGTTGAGGAGAAAATGACGAAACACAATGAATCCATGTTATTCTGCTCAACTACTTGTTCTAGCTTTGCTAAGATTATTGAAGGTAATCAGCGATATGAAACAGTTAGAACTTCTTGTTATTTCTTTACAACCAAAAATATCTAACCATAAAGTTTACTCATTCTCTGTGCTTACCCCACTAGAATAAAAGTTTTACGAAAATTATTGTTAATTGGGAAGGTTCTGAATTTGTTATTTGAGACCACTATGACAGGAATTGATGAAGATGATATACTGAGTGTGTAAATGTTGATTAGTTGATTATGAACCTTTTTTTCCCATCAGTGTTAAACGAGCTGGTCTATAAAGTTGTGAAAAGTGATATCTGTTTTCCAGTGTTACTCGATTAAGTGGTGAACAGATTTCGGTCGACGAAGGGAGTAAATACGAAGAACGAAGTTCAGGCTTTAAACTGACTGATAATCGTAAGCAAGGCAAATCAATATTGATACCTGAACAGAGGTTATCACACTACGCAAAAGTCGAGAAGGAGGATAAGAAAAGGAAAATATAATGAAGAATAATTTGGGCAAACAATTGTCATCAGTAACATTATTTTCAGACTGTGTATTTATAACTCAATGAAAACATGTGCAAAACACTAGAGAAAATGGAATGGCATTCAAAAAAAGAAAAAGGGGTATGATAGGAGAGATGAAGATCACTTACTTTTTCTCTATGTTTACCTACAGGTACACTGACAAATGTTATACCTGTAGGATGTAGTTTTTCATACGTTTCCACTACATTCCATCCTTCAGCTAATTTTCGAGTTGTAACCATACGATTAACATTTTCTGTATGATCTTTTATATCTTGAAATAAAGTTATAGTGGGTACGATGCCACCGTGAAATAAAAATCGATCTTTGACTGATAATGATGGATTAAAATGAATTCCAGCATCGGTTTGACTTCCTGTTACTTTGCAGTTAATTACAGTGAACCATGGAGTATGAACTAGTAGCCCTGAACCAAAATTATTTACAAATTGACTTTCGGTAATTTTCACACCCATCAATGGATCACTATGCAGTAAAACAAGACCATCGGAAGCACTTTCAGTAATCTGTAAGCGGGCAAGTAAGAAGATGAGCAGAAAATAAAAAAGACAGTGAAACGCTGTATAGTAATGAGAACATCCAAAACAATTAGCTGTGCACAATGATCATGCATGTGTTCTATACAAGGCAAGACATAGATGGTGAAGACTTTTGAATCTTGCCATGTCATCATATTTAGGGAATAATGTCTACAGTTTTATAAAAAGTTAAGATGTGAAAAACTGAAAAAGATATTCGAATTCTGTTAAGTCACAGATTTTAATGGAATAACAGAACGTAAAGAAATAAACTGACCAACTTCAAGACTTGCTGACTATTCGCTACTATCACCGTCAATACTCACAGCCATAGGCTCTAATGTTATACTTACAGATAGAGGTGTAATACCCAAAAGCTTCCACCATAAGCTCCCAAACAGATTTCCTAATTATCCTTCTGGGATTAAGAGAATAAAACCTCCCGCCTTCAGTGAATCCCGATGTTGAAAGTAAATGTTTCTCTTATCTAATTTGCATACAAACAGCAAGAAATTCAGTGAAGTGCTCCCGTTATCAACATTTATGTGGAGATTTATCTGATAGTTTTTGATGTACAAACCAAAAGGCCAGAGGTATACTACCTGTCAGAAATCTTAAATTGGATAGAAATCTAAGTAGTATCAATTCTGTTTACATGTTTTATTTTTCTGAAGAACTTAGTTACGGCCAATGGTTAATAACTTATTTCTGTAGTATATAATAATTTCTGAAAGAGTGGCATTATACAACATTTATGTTCGCCACCATTTCATCAACAGACGAATAGTCTGGGACAACATGTTTATAGATATGCCCAAGTAAGAGGAGAAAAAAGCTTGAACTGTACTCAACACTAACTTTCTGACAACTTACAAGACAACACTAGTCGCAAATATACTACACAAATAACTACTAGTAGAATGTTTCCATTTATCCGTAGGATAAGTACAGTTTTCTGCTCTAAGATGTCGAGAAAATGACTGGAAAAACACAAACATCAATGTAATTGGAATCAAAGCTTTACCCATGATAATACAGTATTTGTCAACAAGAGTAAACTTCGTTGGAGAAACAGTGTACTGTTTTTACTAATTGAAACAGTAATTTATGAAGTACAAACTGTTTCTGTAGTTTTAAGCCAAAACATAATTTAAATGTAGCTGAAATGCAACAAATATCAAAGTACTTGTGATCTACAAACCTTACCATTCGATATCCCAATGGATTCAGATTAGTTGAACCTAAGCTGTAATAAAAATTAACTCAAATGAAAAAAATCACAGGAATACTGAACTAAATTTACAACTACTATACTAAACAAGCAGTAGCAGAAATCCTTTTCATATATTTCTGGTGAATTCTGTATCACCTCCGTAGAGACGGTCAGTTCTCAGGATATAGAATATGTAAGCTATAATGTCCTCAAGAAGTTGTTAACCGGTGAGTGAATTCAAAAGCAGTTAGATTATCTATGAAAAATTACAAATCACGATTTCATCTTCTGGTTGGGTGATTTCACAAAAAGGCATAACAACAGACTTGTGGGATGTTCTCCATATTGAAGGTCTATTTATAGACATAGATGACATTCTAACAAACCTTTCTTCATGTCAATCCTTCTTTTCTTCGAGGAATCAAGGAATTATCAAGAATGAAGTGTAACGATTAATGATTGTAAGTCCAAATGCATATTATCATTTCATGTTATATTAAGAAATATAATTGAAAAAGAAATCCGGAAACCCACTTTTAATTTTGTTATAGTCCCACTGAAATAGTCCAATTGTAAACTTGGCATATATTCTAAACGTGCATAATCCAAAAGACCACCATGATGTATGTGAACATGAGAGATTATTGTTCGAGATCCAAGATCTGAGGCAGTCACATGTATTCCAGTCCATCCAGGACGATGACATTTAATAACTAAGTCCATAGAATCTATGCATTCTTGTGAAGTATCTTCCGTAAACCCACTACCATATTCACACTCAGATAGATCTGTTTCATGACCTTGACAGTCTATGTAAGATATACGATCCATTGAAATTTGTGAAACATTCAGCAAATCATTTGCTTTATTTATTGTAGCCTTTCGTTCACTGATTGATGGGAACCAACTCTTTATGTAATAAATTTTAAGAAAAACAAGAAATATTACTTTTTTGATCAACTATAATAGTAGTACTAATGGATAATGACAATGACAATGAAATATACTGAAATCTGTGAAAGATAAGTCAACCAATTAAATTTAATGAAGCAGATCACTAACTCAGTAATCTAATATTTACATTTTTATATAGATTTACCATACATCATCCTGTTGTTTGGTGTTAACCGCCGACCAGATTCTGTCGATCACATTTTGCAATGTAGTTACTAACTCAGAAGACTTACAGTTACGATACAATACTACAGATGTTAGTTAGATAGAGGCATTTGTGAGAAGACTCTTCATCAGGTGAGAATAAATTCACAGAAACATTTACACTGATAGTATTATTACGAAGAATCATTGACTTTTGTGATAACAACAAAAGGAATTGAAATTTCCTAGTTCTCAAATGGGGGGAAAGTGATCAGTTTTTATGACATAACTGTGACAATAGTAATACTATCATTATTACTTTTGATACTAGTACTGCTGTGATCAATAATAGCAGTAAGAAAGAATCCCTATGGTATCCTTTTTGTGATCTCTCACAAACTGTATTAAAGTTTATAAAAGTAAAACATGGGCACTGTGGTCGAATGTAATTCCAGTTTAGTCTATTTATTAGAAATATCCCACAGTGCAACAGTAACATTTACTGGATAACGTTTCGGACACAATTTATTGTCCATATTCATATCAGGTTACTCCATAACTTCGAGACAGACTTTATATATTTCTAATTTTCTCTCCTTCTCTGTGATGACAAGAATAGTAGAATTTTCCATATATCTGGGACAGGTGCAAAATCATTTCCATCCATCGCCTGTATTTGGTGTTGATTCGATAAACAAAGATTCGGTTATCAATATCTCCCTCCACGCAACTAAGTTGGTCGTAAACACTGTCCCTTTATCCCACCCCACTGTGTGACTGTGTGTCATCGCATGCAGAGTTATAGACAAGTTTTTCTCTAGATTTCTTAACTTATTAAGATCTACTAAACTTGATGACACAATCATACTGTATGATTATGGATATAAATTCAACTTTGAAAATATAGAAATCTTGGACAGAGGAAACACCAAAAATATCACAAAATTCCTAGAAGTTTGACACTTAGGTCAGTCAACAGTTAGTAGATTTATAGACATTGCCCTAGTCTACCAACCACTAAGATAGGTGATATACAAGATCAGACGTGAGGCAGAGAAACAGCCAACAGGGAAATCTATGCCGTCAGTGCAACAACTATCAAAGGAAACAACCAATCACAAACTGATTCGTCAGGTCGAGCTACTGATTTTATCACGGAGACATCCATTCATATTGAAGGTATTGCTAATGATTTTACCTAGAAAGACAATGATGGCTTCAGGATTAAACTACTTAGTTCAGACAGCGTAACACAACCAAGAAGCACATTTAGGTTTAGGGTTTGTGTTGATGTAAAACGTTTAGTAGACTTGATAAATTTTTGTATTGAATGTCACTATGAACGCTTTATAGTTCATATGAGATTTTAGTGGTTACCATAACCTTTTAATAATTAGGCCTAGTAAAAGTTAATGAATAACAGCTGTAACGATAACTGGTAATTGCAAATAATATTTAGTCATCAGGGGATTAGCATACGGTATCTAAGTTACATTATTTTTACTACACTTGAAGTATACAAATCTTATTGCTCTAAAAACAAGCTGCGATGAATAAAGTGAAAACTTACTCAGTGTAGTTAATGAAAAAGGTCAAGTTAGTTCCAAAAGTCAAACAAATTACCTATATAGGGAAGAAATTATCGACTTATACTGTCAGTAAAGTTTCAAGGTGAAGACAGTGGAACCTCCCTCAATATTCATATAGAAGATAAATTTAACTTACGTTAGAATGACACTGTCCCATTAGACAACAAAGCCTTAGCGACAGGAATCAAGTAAAAACAATTAGAAGTTAATTCAATGGCACGATGTTAAAGAACATAACTCTCCTGTCATAGACCAGTCGAGAAAAATCAGACAAAGTTGGTCATTCACATGCTATTCAGTTCAGGAGAAATTCTCTGCTAATACTCATAACAAGTAAACCTTATTAACTCCTTCCTCTAAGAGTAGTAATAAGTATAACTTCTGGGCTAACGTCAAAAGCTCTACTACAGAAATTCTAAGCTAAGAAATTATCAAGACTACAAAACGCTGTCAGAGTATGTGTGAGAGAAATAAAGCCGAGAAGAAATAGAAGCGAGTTGTATCGCTCCACAGCAACTCGTCAACATATATAATATGATATTATCTTATTCGGAAATGGTGGCGAGTATTTATAGCTCAGGTGGATGGTTTGGGTTGTATTGTGTTCTCTCAGCTGGGTTGTTTAATCATGAAGCTCTCATCGTATTGATAGACTACATCATTAGCATTAACTTCACTATGAAGTGAGCTGTCAATATCTCTCCGTCAGTGATTTAGTAGCTTGCCTTGATGAAGTGGTCTGTGATTGCTTGTTTCCTTTGATTGTTGGATCATTGACTGACTGTATAAACTTTCCTGTTGACTGTTCCTCTGCTTCACCTCTGACATTTCTGTGATCTATCATTTCTATCATTGCTTGATAGATTAGGTCTATGTCTATACATCTGTTAGCTGCTGACTGACTGACTGATCTGAACGCTAAGTTTTTAGGAATTCTCTGACATTCTTTGTGTTTCCTCTCTCCCTTCAAAATTTCTACATAATCGAAATTGAATTTACATCCATAATTATCCACGTGCATTGAAATGAGTGGTGAGATGTCGTATGTGACGTTTAATTGCCAATTGATGTTCATGTAGATGAAGGCGAAGAGGGTAACCACTTTGTTCAATGTATTGTTGACTGTAAATGATATTCGGTTTGTCTTCTTTGGTTGTCTCATTCTCTGGTCTGAATAATAGTGTTTGGAGGGAGTTTGTTGGTTTATGAGTCACACCAATTCCAAGTGGTTTCAGCAATGTTGTCGTGGTTTGTGATATATTCTCTACATACTGCAGGACGATCTGTTTGTTAATTTCTGTTGATGACTTTTCAGTTGATGATGTATGGGATAGGCATCTTGTGATAAAGTTTCGTGGGTAGCCGTTCTTCTTTAGGATAGAAATAAATTCGTCTAGAAAGACGATGAGAACTCCACGATTAGACAACCCAGCCCAGAGAACACTGTACAACCAAGACTGTCTTATTCGCTGTGAGATAGCAGGGTTAGAAAACAACTAAAAACTACGGAATGAAGAACAGCTGTTTCGCTCTATTTCGGCATTATCCAGATTTTTACACCTACGACCCAGCTAACGACATTAGGTTATTGTCTGTTATATCACCAAGCGATTAAATTTTAAAAATGTTGGCCATTCAATTTCCGAATCATGGGTAAGTCGATATTTGGTTACTTTAGTTCTGGTACGTCATCAGCTCAATCGTCTTTGATGTCTAAGCTGCCTTTTGATGAAGTGGTTGAAACTATTAGGTGACATTTGTGCAATGCACTATCATTTTCAACTGTCTAATTGGTAATATCACTACGTGCTATTGTGCTGTTAAGATCATTCAGTCTCATATATATCATCAATAAACTTACTTTTGGATGGGCTACTAAACCCATACTAAGACAGGCTAACATCGCTGCATATCGATTGAAACTATCTTCACATACTATAGCCCAGCTATTGTATTCCATACCAGTAGTATGATTAATTCTTGAAATCCACACTTCTAAACGTCCATGATAGCTATTGTTACTTATTGACCAACTACCACCAGAAAGACGTACAGTATTATTGTTCAATGATTTGTCATGATTTCGATCATTGTTAGTGGATTTATTGAAATGATTCATATTGCTCATTGTTTCTTGAGAGTGATGATCAAATATAACTGGAGAATTGACGCTTCCTTCAAGTTTTAATTCACCCTTTTTATTGACAATACAGGAAAGAAGATGAGAATGATATTTATAAAAGGTGAAAACTGAATAAATAAACCCAATTTTGCAAATTGTAGCATTTTGGATGACATTTATTGAATATACATTCATAATTCTCATTGTAACATCAAAAACGAGATATGCAGAGAAGAAGACTCTGTTCGACGAATTCATTCTCAAGTTATACATTGGGATATATATATGATATTTAAAGACAGTAATCCTTGAGGAACATTTAACTTAAATAATGGGGGGTTGAAATATAAATAATGGTGGTTATAATAATAATGTTACTAGTTGATGACGTAAAGGTTGAATGATAACAAAAAGGATTACCTATATGTATACGGGAACATATTCCTGCCTGGTTTTATAAGGGTGAAAGGAAATGTATAAGAAGTTCTACCCTTGAACATTTAATCAATTCCAACCATTCAGCAGACCTAAACAAGGATTTTAAGGTTGTCTATCGAATTCGCTCAAATACCTCATGTTTCCTTCGTGTTCAGCTTCTAAAAACAGCAGAGGCCTTGGGTATGTATGAACTGAAGCCAGCCTGACCTTTGTATGCAAAAGACGTATGTATGGTCTTTGTTTCTATCTCTTGGCCTTAACTTATTTTAGTTTTGGTGTGCTTTGTTCCTTTTTCATTTTTTCAACCCACTCCATTTTTGTCAGACTAATCTTTGTACTCTTATATCATCATTATCACTTCATTTTTATACTTAATTGTTTCCGGTGTTATTTCATTTGATCTTCCTAATAATTGCAACTTTGAATAAAGTATCTTCAATTTATCCCAATTAGCCTGTTGGCTCATTCATATTACCTAGTCTCTTGATTATTTATTAACTCTACTCTATCTTTTAATCTATGAAGCTTGTTTCTAAGCCAGTGTGTTGGTTTCAGTGCCACTCTAATCCCAGTGTTATTGAGAATTCGTAATACTTGTGAGGTGCCTTCCTTGTATGGTAACACAGTGGAGACTTTGAGTTCCCCATCAACCCTGTAACTACTATTATTATTATTAGTAGTGGAACTATTATGAATAACACCTGTATTACTACTAATACTTCTAATATTTTTCTTTCAATTTCTTATGAATTTATTTATAAATTTAGGTGGGTAATTACTGAAAAGTAAGAATTCCTTAATGTGTCTAATTTCTTGTCGTAGATTTTCTATCCTACTCGTAAGCTTTTTGGCCTAAAAACTTGAACATTTAACTAAGATAGAGTGAGATGCTTCGAAGTCTAAATAGCGATTCGGATTGGAATGATTTTGATAGACACTAGCCTGTAAACTTCCACATAGCTTTCGTTTAGTCTTGCAATTCAACCTTGCTAATCTAACTTCATTACTTTTCAAGTCATAGGTAGGTCGGATTGCTTTTATTACAAATCATGTGAATGATATCTCAAAGTTGTATAGTCAGCTGATATAATTGTAGACAATAAAATCATGTCTGAGACGTTATTCAGTAAATGGTATTGTTTCACTGTGTAACACATCTCATAAGCCGACTAAAATGAAATTACAATCTCTCACAGTGCTCAAGTTTTACTCCGATATTCTACAGACGGGCTAACTTCACATACAAGAAGATGTATATATTGATGTAACTGGGTCCTTTTAACTGATCAGGTAGACAATGTATGGAAGTAAACACTTATATGATATATATATATATATATATATATATATATATACACGAAAAGTTCTCACAAAGTTATTTTAGATGTTACTATTTGTTACTTCCCTAAACTCATCAGTAATTCGTTATGAAAGATCATAATTTTTATAACCTGAGAGGAAGTGTACAGCTAGGTGGTGATAAGCAGAAGTGCAACTCGAAATACATTCACCTCCTTCATGTGTACTACTAGTTGAATAAATGTGACTGAATTTTAGTAAGTGTTTTAAATGAATTTTTAGCCTTTAATGGACTATTCTACATACCATTTACACACATCATTGGCATCACAACATTTTGTATTCAACATCTGTAGTGCAATTAAGTTAACCATAAACTGACTTCTATCACTAAGATGCATTTTATGTAGCATTGCTGTAAAGCTAAGACACTCTAAAGCATATTAACAGGAGATTCTGAATATCTGTAGAAGTTTTTTGTCTTGAAATTGAATATATGACTTGATGTAGTAGTTAGCTGACAACTAATGGACATCATATCTACTTATGGACTATCAATAATATGAAATAACGCAGGAAAGTGAGGTTGTTCATCGTAAATTTGAAATTTCTCCCTGTTGTCTAAACTCATAAGATACGATTTGAACAAGAGACAGAATATGGAAGATAGAACTAGACGAATAAGTTAGACAAATTCATGAGAGAACTATAGAAACAAAAATTAAGTGTAACTATGATATTTTCAGATAAATTTCATGATCAACGAATATACCAAAAGATATTTGTAGTAAGTTGAATGACAAGTCCAGGTAGATCCTTTTTTTGAGATGAATGGGGATTTTTAATTTAGAAGTAGTATTCATCATGGACTGACATTAGTTGGGGAACCATTGAAAATCTGGGAGCACTGGATAGCTGTTTCGTCCTAGTATGGGACTCCTCAGCAGTATGCAACCACGATCCTTTTTTGTTTACTTTGTTTCATGTACTAAATGCATAAATTTTTAGGATCGTGCACGCCAAAATTTAATTGCCTTGACCTTTGACAACAGACAAAGTAGAGCGACATTGGAAAGAGGTTTAGTTTTAACACTTTCAGTGTGTGTTATATGAGAAGGTGGAAGTTTTCCAACCAGAATTTTTCCAAATGATAAGAATCAGTGGTTTGGAACACTTGGCTATTTGATTCAAAATCAGTTACAACTGGACAGTTGTATATATTTTTTGTCGTCATTCAAATTTTGAGCCTTTATTTTATTCACCCTTTTACTGCTAGATATTTCTGTTCACTATTATATCATTTTTCTATTATTTCACCTCACTTGTGTGTATTCAACTATAAAAGTTGACAACTCGAACTAAAGCATTTCTGCAGCAGATTGAACATTGAATTTTCTGTCTTTATGAAATGCAACTAATTTGTTTGACTTATATTACTGCATATAAAATATAGGAGGATGTAGTAGGTTATGGTATAGAACTCATTGCTTTGACTATTCAGTGGAGTAAAGGAGAACGTATGCATTTTGTATACATATGTGACCGTCAAAATGAGTCACATTGTTTTCAATAACTCAGTGTATTCCAATTAATCTAATAGCAGATAGACAGACAGGCAGATAGACAGATAGACAGATACAGACAGACGGACAATATGATAGATCATGCGAAACTAAGTTGACTTACATTATTATATTTAAAACAGCATACAAAAATTAGTAACGATAGCCGTAGTAACTTCTTCAATATCTCATTACAGCAATGAACTGCACATAGCATCTGAGAGCCTAGTTGTTAGTCCTTATGCATTTCAAGATTCTGGAAGCGGGTACCCAATAAAAAAGAGTGTAAACATTCAAATAACTGAACTCATCAACAAGTTGAACCACTCGCATTCAGACATGCCCCCACATCCTGTTAGTTATGTGTTATTTCTAAGAAAGTTCCTCATCGAATAAAGATGATGATCTTGTTTTTCCGGACTTACAAAAAAGATGGTTTTATGTATATGCTATCTAAGCTGCACTGAACACTTTGAGTGGGAATTTGAGAATGTTTGGGATGCGATTTTCACCACCCAAATGCAAATTTTTGCTCCAGGATTGGTCTTCAGCGGTGCTCCACCGTGGCTAACAATAGAGAGTGAAGTGGTTGAGTGTGTTGACCACTTCACTTACCTGGAAGTAGGATCAACCCTGGTGGGTTAGTTGCCGATGAGATTTCTGCACGGATACAAAAGGCTCGATTGGCTTTTGCCAATTTGCGCCATCTATGGCGCCGCCGTGATATTCGTTCGTCTATTAAGGGTCGCGTGTACTGCACAGCAGTCCGGTCTGTTCTACTGTATGGCTGTGAAACATGGCCATTTAAAGTGGAGGATACAGATGGCTTCAGGTGTTTGACCACAGTTGCCTTCGTAGTATAGGATGTATTCCGTGGTGTCACCATGTGAGTAATGCAGAAGTTAGGTGTAGAGTTTTAGGGAGAAGAGGTAAGTCAGTTGACGAGATTGTGAACCTTCATCGACTGAGATGGTTGGGACACGTACTACGTACGCCCAGTCACCGATTGCCTCGTCACACAATGTTGGCTGAGGTGGGTCCAGGCTGGAAAAAGGCCCGAGGTGGCCAGACTAAAACATGGCACCAATGTATGAAGACTCTGACTGTTGGTTTAAGCCATGTAGGACGATGCAGACTAGGTGGTTGGGGTCCACGGGACAAGAGGAACCAGTGGTTGGAGACCCTAGGTGATATGGCTCAGAACCGAAGTCAGTGGCGCAGATGTATACACACATTATCTTCATCTTAACAACGCTATACCGAATCTCACCATTTTGTCACTCCTCTTTCCTTTCTTCTCATACTTTATATTTCTTTTGACTGCATTCACTTATCTTCATCCTTCACCTCACTACCTTTTTACTTGATGTGCTGATATGAGGTGTGGCAACTCGGACCGTGAGGCAGTAATGCCTGGTCCTATGTTGATAATGATGATGGTGATCTAAGCTGCATTTTGAAAAAGTGCAGTTTTGGTTGCACTTAGAATAAGAAATGATGAATTACCTCCGAAAGTTGACTTATATAAATTTTGTTTTCTCATCAGGTCACTTCTATTCACAAGGCAATAACATTGAAGGTGGACAATTATCCATGATAAACATTCAAGCAAAACCAAAAATGATTCACTTCTACATAAAGTGAATACTAAGGAATTCGCTTGGGATGGTGGTGAAGCGTCCAAGAAGAAATTTCAAAGGTTGAAGAACACTAAATAATTGTCAGAAACAGTATGATCATTTTGACTACCTGATATAGCCATGGTTTGGCTTACTTATGCTGGGTAATGGTTGAATGCGATTGCTAGTTAAAATCATACTGCAGCTCATATTTCTATTGAATGTTAAGTCATCACACAGTAGAAATAGAATTATTAAGCTACAGGTTAGTGGTTTAACACAGTGTCTGCTAAGGTACATCATAATGAAACGGGACATCGATGAGTTTTTATAAAAGGGAGTAATTATGTTTTGATTATTTATAGTTCAAAAAATGATAGTAAAAACGAAACACTTGTGTTCAAAAATGAGATATTAGTAAAATTTCATTACTTTGTAAACTGATAATCATATAGAAAATTAAAATTTAAGGTTGGAAAACAACTTTACCTGAGAAAATAGCCCAACACCTGTATCAAAAAAGATTTGAACTCCTGGACGAATAATTAAAATTCCCATTGGTGGAATAAAGATATCCTTTGTCACATGATAGTAACTTTTTGAATTATGAAGAGGTTGTAATATCACTTCCCTGTTTTGTTCTACTGGAATTCTTCCACCAAGATAGATTGCTTCATTTGTTGATGAAGTTTGTATAAAGTTTGGTATATATGGTGGTTCATTTGAAGTGATAAAATCACTTCTTAAATTTAAGTCTTTCAATACAGGATGATAGATGATTTTAGCAAGTGTATAGCTAAACAAGAAAGGATGTTAGTCAGAAAAGGCATCAATAAGTTTAAAGTTTTTTGATTAGTATTCAGAAATGTAGATTATTAGTTTAGACATAAGAACCTTCGTGCACCTGCCTAACTTTCAACAACGAGGGAATATTACAGCTCCGAAGCTGTGGATAACCATTAGTTCAGGATATCAATATGTTTTACGGTATTGAGAAAGGCGTACAAGGAACAGTGTTATGCGAAACCAGTCAATTGGAAAACGTTGATTAAACGGTACTAGGGAGTGCCTTCGACAGCGTCGATCGAGAAGTAATTTGGCGACTGCTCCAACACTACGGAATACCAAAAACCCTTATCAACCTCATTCAACAACTACACGAAGGCCCCACATGCCAAATAATTCACAATGGGAAGCTCAGTGATGTCTTTGAAGTGAAGACAGAGGGCATGAGTAAGACAAGACTGTCTACTATCAACCATGATCTTCCTGATTGTGGTCGACTGGGCTGCATCATGCAGCACACAATGAGGAGCGAGAAGATGGGCATAAACTGGCAGGACCGGAACAAGATCCTAGAAGATTTGGATTTCCTCAATGATTTGTGTCTAATGTCACACAAACTTGAAATCTACAGGCAAAATCCCACAAGTTGACAAGAGAGGTGATGCAGCGAAAACGGAACTTCAAGTGAACATAGAGAAGACACAGGTGATGAAGATACCCAACCAACACCATCACCATCACCACCACCAACAACAACAACAACAAGTTCCAAACACCACCAATGGGAGAAACGTGAAGGAAGTAGCATCTTTCACCTATCTAGACAGCATCGTTTCAACTATAGGTGGTGGCACAGACGAGGACGTCAAAACCAGCCACGATCGGAAAAGCAAGACAGGACTTACTGCATTAATCTGTAATCAGTGTGGAGATCTACTGCACTCAGCACAAAGCGTGAACAACATCCAGATTTACAACACCAATATCAGTCAAGTAAGTCAGTGCTTCTATGTGATGGTTGAGAGACTTGACGCGTTACGAAAATCATTTCCAACAAACTACAGACATTCAACAACAACTGCCTAAGCTGACTCGTTACTGAAGCTCAGATGGCCAGAATAATGAGAATAAGTAACAAGGAACTCTGGCTGACAGCAAATTAACCAACAATCTATCACTCAACAAATATGCACTGGAAGGAAGTGGAGATGGATTGGATTGGATTGGGCATAGACTGAGAAGACTATTTAGGGACATCACGTGCCAGGCCAGGCACTTGAGTGGAACCCAGATGGGAAACGTCGAGTTGGGTGTCCGAGGTGAAGGTGACATGGAGGAGGTGGTGTTAGGAAGAAATGAGAGGTTTTGGGCAGTGGTGGAGCCAGGTTGAAAAGATTGGAGAGAAGAGAGTGTAATGGAGACGTGCTAGTGAGGCCCTTTGTTCCGCTCGGAACCCAAAGAAAAAAAATAAGGAGTGTCTCAATATTCAGTGAACTGGTCTGATCAATATATTTGCTGTTTAATACTCGTAATCTCTTGTTGCCTTATTCAGTTGAATTGTTCGACATCTGTTGAGAGATGATCTGCAGTATGGATGCCACGACACTACTCGACTATTCAGTATCTTATTGTCTGCTAGCTAGTAACGGGAGATCACAAGAACCGAAAAACGTCTGATACCAGTTGGACAAGAAATGGCTATTTGGTATTTGAAACAATGGCCACTGGGCTCGAGTCCCAGCTGGGACATTATAATTTAATCGTATGTAGGTACGTTCGGCTAATGAGTCCCAAGTTAGAGAAAACTCGCGTTCCCAAATTCCACTTCAAGCAGATTACATGACCATCATATTGATTCAACAGTTTGATAAGTATACTGTTCATATACGGAATTCTAACCCCCTTAACAATGTCAACTACCTCCCTAAGTTTAATAGTCTCGATTGACTTCAAAACTAAACATGTCGAAGTAGGTAATACTATTGAAGATTTTAATTCTCAGTTCGTTTCTTTGTATAACTCAGTTTCTGTACGTTTATTTACAATTATCTGCAGCTACTTAGTGGCTGCACTAGAGTTGATTTAGTTTAAAAGCTTAGTTACTTAAATCAAATGATGAAGTGTCAGAATACAAACATGAACCTCTCCGGTTCAATTCCCGTATAACCAAGATTTTCTTTCAATCTTAGTCAATTTCGGTGTAAATAAACTTCTGTACGGATGGTGTAAACTGAGGAATTCAGAAGGATTACGATACAAAAATACCCCATTTATCTCGGCATTTACTAACTTTGTGATGAAATATGATGGACAGAGAATAAACGCGGCTAGATGCTTGCGTGTCTAACATCAATGAAATATCATTGTTTTCTCTGTCTCTTTACTTATTCAGGAAAACAGAAACGAAACGATATGTTGGCATACAATAGAAGCTGGAGTATGTGGCCTAATGCTGCATATTTTAATGTCATAGTCTTGTCGGATTACTTGAGTTGCAAATTACGGTATTCTAGTCTCAGCTTGATGTGGAAGACGTTCTGAAGAGCATATAAGTCTATGGACGTGAACGTTCTGCAACAGAATATGGTCATAGCATATAAATTCCGAATGTGAACTCATTGTGTCTAACAACGGAGAAGAACAAACATGGGGCAGAACTGTAAGAAGGTTACTAGTGTGTAGTCTATTGTTGTACACTTGAGACTTTGTTTGTGATTCTAGACAATCGAGTTTTATAAATGTCAACTCTTCTTTCTGAAGCAAGTGTTTTTTTGCTTAGTAGTTCATTCTTTTCCAAAGTATAAAGGGAGATATTTTATTTCTACGACCAGATAATATTTATTTTCTAGGTTATAAGCCATTCAGATACGAGATTTTGATATGCATTAGTGTCTAGAAAATGACATTTAGTTCCTAGAGAGATTTAAATATAACTTCTTGTTGGTAGTTGAAAAAGCTTGGTAAATATCTTTATCACACCCTGGTTTAAGTTTTGAAACTGCTTCAAACTAGTGAACTTACAACAGTCATTCCTCTAGAAATTTACATCCTTAAACAGTTTAAACCTGTGCAAAAAATCGAATTGAGAAAACTGACATTTTACGGTTAGCTGCTTAATGTTAAGTAAGCCAAAGCTATTCAAATGTATTTACAACCATCTTAGTTTTTTAACGCATGAATAGTCTTCCACATTATGGTGATCTACTTGGTTATGACTGGCAGAGAATTCTATAACGCGCTTTTCATCCTAGTTGGGAATCGTCAGCTGGAAGTACATGATGCTGTTCTTACTGAGACTTGAACCTTATACTCATTGCTTCGAATGCCACAGCGTTATCACTAGGCCACTAGAGTAAGATAACGAGTATTAGTTATCACCATATATATATTTCAGCAAGTGATCTGTATTGTTGTTAATACATTCGTATCCTTAGATAATTGGACATAAAATTAATAGCTTTACTCCAAATAAGACTTGTGGTACAGTATGGAATTCTCAGCATGTTATAGTTCACCTCATTTATTCCCTTTATTATTCATTCCATTTTTATAATGTTGATGATAACTGTAATAAAAGCCACAATGTGAAACAAGCACCTGGTGGAGGTAGTTTATTCAGGAAGTAACAAAATCTACAATTTGTTATAGTTATTCAAGGAATAGTTATATGGTGTATTTTTGTACATTTATAAGCCCATCTCTTACTGGCGTATCGTTTATTCTTTGTTTCCTTGTTAGCTTGAAAAATGGCTGTTTGAAACCACTTTAAAAGTGTGCAACAGTATTCAATGCATTTAAAAGATTAAAACAAGTTGAAAAAGAATCATTGAATGAAATAAATTAGGTGGAAAATTTCCGGTAGCCCAAAGTTTAAGCAGGCCGCCATATATACATAAGTGGTTTCAAAAACAAAATATCTCAAAATATCCGAAAAGTGCAAGTGACAGTTACCCATCTTCATCTAGTATCAAACACATACTAGAAACTAGTCATAGGGAAGACATGAAAACAGTTTTCCTAGTGCTACATAAAAGTAGTCAGGGAGGTGAGCTTAAATTTATTGATGCTCAGACCCTCTTTATGCATAAAAAAACAATTTGTTCTCACACTGAACTTATCTTGGTAGTATTAATTTTATTTTTCATGTTGAGAGTGATATGATATGACTTAGATTTTGTTTTTGTTCTGCCCTTCCTGTACTTATGTTTGCTTTAGACAACTTGACCGATTTCTTTCGTATATATATATATATATATATATATATATATATATATATATATACTTCAACAAGTCCATGTGTACATCAGATTGTTCGAAGAGAATAACGCTAATATACTTCCTGTTTCGAATAACCTTCGTCTTCTCATTACGCTGCTTAGATTAAGAAGGGAGACTACTTTGCTTTCAAATATCTTTGTCTCAGAAATATATAATAGTATAAACTAAGTTTGAAGGTATCCTAACCAATAATGAACTGGATGGTTTGAAAAAACTTGGGGATGAAGTTAGTTTCATTCATTGTATAAGGTGAATTTTTACTTGTGTAATTCCGGCTTAGTGTATTAAAACAAATAAAATAATACAAAATAGTTGTTTATTTTGTTATTTGTTCTAATATACTAAGCCGGGATTACGCAAATAGAAATACACCTTATATAATGAAGTATAAACTAAGGTTACACATTAAAATGGTATTGACTGGTTACTAAAGGGTAACAAACATGATGTTATCTCCATTCTTGTGTTGACTGTATTTTGTCCATCATTTTGTGATGTGGCGATACACTTTGAAAGGTGTTAATTGTTAGTTGCTCAAATCCAAATAACATTAAAACTGCGTTATTTTGGCATACTGAAATGAGTCATGATTGACTAGTATTTATTATTATTATATTTCCTTGGGTTCTTGGTGGAACATAGGGCTACAGTAGCACGTCTCTATTCCACTCTCTTCTCTGCAGTCTTCCCACCTGGCACCACGACTGCCCACAAGATTTCATTTCTTCCTAACACCACCTCCTCTATGTCACTTCACGTCGGACACCCAACTCGTCGTTTCCCATCTGGGTTCCACTCAAGTGCCTGGCCTGGCACGTGATGTCCCTAAATAGTCTTCTCAGTGTATGCCCAATCTATCTTCGCTTTCTTCTGCATATTTTTTGGGTAATAGGTTCTTGGTTGATTTGTTGCCGGAGTTCTTTGTTGCTTATTCTTTCTGGCCATCTGATCTTCAGTATCAAGCGTGCGAAGATTGACTAGTATATCATCATCCAATTGAGTAACATTTTAAAATATAGTAGACAAAAATTAATTTCAAGTTCAATTATTCAAGCCTTACCGACTATTTTGATCAAATATTCTATTGAATACAGCTTTATGCAGCATACTCCAGTCAGTTAAAAACCATTCTTGTAAATTTCCCCAGAAGTTTAATGTAGCGTTGATTAATTTATCTGGGAAGATAAATGACTAGCTATTTCGCTATAAAGAATAAATTGAGAGGAAACCATTAGCTGAGATAATAAAAATATTATGATTGGTCGAAAGTAGAAAGTGAACATTAGAATTTGGGAAGACGAAATGAGTATGATGCACCATCTGTAAATGAATGATGACAATGTGTACACGTAACAGTGAGATATGACCTAAGTCACGTTTCACAATTTGCTATTTTCTTTATTATTTGTTTTGAGCGCAATATTTATAAATTGCTAAATGTTTTTCTATAGTCTACGTCTGAACAGATCTGTTTGTTGAGATTCATGTTCTTACTGTTCAAAGTTCTTCCTGATACTTACAGTTAAAGTATAATCAATTCTTTATTGACCCTTATATTCAATTAACGACAATTATATTTCATTCACAATATGACTTTTGGAAATATAAATAGATATAAAGACTAAAGGACATCGCATTATTGCAGACAAGTACGACTAGCTGTATTTCGTAGTACTGGAGCTCTAAGTGTTCCCAGTGCTGAGAGCATTGGAACCGTGACATGTGGAGTCAACCAGTCGGAAGAGAAGCAGATGCCAACTAAAGATCTTGTGTGATAGTCACGCTATGTCGTGAGTTGACAGAAGGTGGGAACTGTGAATCACTGAAAACCGACCCAGTGGGTGGATGTTTAACGCATTCGTCGTGGAACCTGAAGATCCTAAGTCCGATCCCTAGCCGGGTTGTGGGTGCGTACTGCTGAGGATGAAACAGTTTTCTAGGGCTCCCAGATTTTCAGTGGTTCTCCAAATGATGTCGGTCCATAATGAATGCTAACTCTAAGTTGGATTCCCCATTCATCTCAAAAAACAAACATATCTGTTAGTGAAATCTTCAGTATTTAAATAAGACTGTATTATGGACGCACCACTGCGGCTTTGACTTATTATGTATTATACAGCATACATAAAGTCTCTGTCAACGATTTCAGTTTTTTCAAGGAGCTTAACTAGAAAAACTACGATTCCCTACATGCCTGAGAACAACAGTCGTGGACTGCACGATCTGACATTATATATGTCTGACTAACTTCAGTTTTCTCACAAACGAATTCTACTCCGTCTGACTTAGTGCATCATAAGTCATTGATGTATCATTGTTTAGGTGAATACCGTCTATATCCTTATCCCTTCAAGAAGTCATAAATAGTAAAAACATTATGAACTAATCAGGTCTGTTGCAAGATGTTTGGGAGACAATATTACTCTACCTTTGGCTGATCTAATAAAATTAGGGCTAACAACCTTCTGGAAAAGTCTTGAAAAGTTAAAGTCACTTGTAGATAGGGTGATATTTTGTAGTAATAAATGTCTTATCTTTTTTACTCCTTCTTTTATCATTGAAGAGTAGAGAGGTCATGAAGGTCATCTAATCTTTACTGCATAACGTGGTATATACGTCAGTAAAATATCAACCGATGAAGATGACACTTTTTCATGACGGCTTTCTTACAAAAGTAAAACAAACAATGTGGACAATTTTATTATCGTTATGACCTAGTAGAAATGATTACTGAAATAGTGTTAAGATGATTACAATGACGTACTGTACCAGTATATATTATCGCTGTTATGTTGAGGAAGTTTGTAAAAATCAAAGGAATTTTTACTCAGTATCATTGTTTTTCATGTAAAGTTTAAAAGCTCGAGCATTTTATGTTTAAAAATAGAATTTGTACAATCTATGATATAAACTTATCTGGATTTCGCCAACGATGACTTGTGTCTGATGTCACACAAACTTGAAGATCTACAGGCAAAAACTAACAAGTTGGCAAAAGAGGCAGCGAAGATGGGACTTTAGGTGATATAGAGAAGACAGAAGTGATGAAGATACCGCACCAACAACTCCAACAACAACAACAAACTCTAATCACCATGAAGGGGAGAAACTTAAAGGAAGTAACCTCCTTCACCTATCTAGGAAGCACTATTTCAACTACAGGCAGCACAGACGAGGGTGTCGAAGTCAGAGTCGGAAAGGCAAGACAGGTGTTCATTAGCCTAAAACCAGCTTGGAGATCTTCTGCACTCAGCATATGGAACAAGATCCGGATTTTCAACACCAATATCAGTCAAGTCAGTGCTTCTGCATGGTTCAGAGACTCGGTGAGTTACGAAAGGGATTTCCAATAAACTACAGACATTCATCAACAACTGCCTACACTGGCTCGATACTGAAGATGAGATGGCCAGAATAATGAGAATAAGCAACAAGGAGCTCTGGGAACGAACCAACCGAGAACCTATCACCCAACAAAATGTGCACTGGAAGGAAGTGGAGATGGATTGGGCATACACTGAGAAGGCCGACTGGGAACATCACGCGTCAGGCCAGTTGCTAGAGTGGAATCCCCATGGGAAGCGACGAGTTGGGCGTCGGTGTTGAGGGTGACATGGAGGAGATCTTGCGAGGAGAAAATGAGGAGTTGTAGGCTGTCGTGGAGCCAGGTTAAAAAGATTGCAGAGAAGCTAGTGTAATGGAGACGTGCTAGTGAAGCCCTATGTTCCATTAGGAACCCAAGGGACTAATAATATAATAATAAATAAAATGATATAAACTTACAAATCAGAGTGAGGATTCCATAGATGATTACGACAAACATGAATATTAGAAGAACCAATTACAATTACAGCAGGACATGTTGAACGTGGTTTAAGTAATGAATATCGATTTTGAACACTGATATATTTCGAAATAGAAACAGAAAAAGTATAGTAATTATTGTTTTTATTGAGAAAATATTTATTAGATGATCAGGTTGAAGACTGAATTATATGATTTAATTTACAAAATTAATAAAACATCCATTAGCCTACATTTTCATCTACAGCAATGAATTTTATGTAACTTTTCAACTCACAGACGTAGTAATCAGTTTTATTAGTTTCAGCAAAACAAGGTTAACAAAATTTGTAGAAATGAAATGAATCGGTTTCATCTAGAGGAGTTTTATAAGCTGAAGACAGTCAAGACTTACAGTATTCATTACAGTGTGAACAAAATTCATTTATAAGCAGTGGAATGATTATACTGGAATATTGGAAAGCTAATAAAATATAAAAGCTGTATTTAAATAGAAACAAAAATTCCAAAAGGCGTATTCATTACAGACTGATATCTGTTGTAGGTTCACTGAAAACCTAGAAGGACTGGACAGCTATTTCATCTTAGCATAGAACTCCGGTGGTAGACACCTACAACCCTACCCGTGTTCGAACTTAGGACCTTCATATTTCACGGAGACCGAGTTAGCCATTCAATCACTGTTTGAGAGTTCAATGGTCCTCAGTTCGTGATATAACGTGAGTATCCACCAAACCCTACAGTTGGTATCGGTTGACTTTACAGGTCATGGCTTCTTACTAGGATAACAGAGTATAAATCTAGAAGCATGTTCGTTACGAGCACTAAATAGTAATTTAGTCTAAGGTTTGGAAAGATTTTCTGTATTCCATGGTAGTAGAAATGTAAATACTCAATGCTGTAGTCTCTAGACTTCACTTGGTAACGAGGTATGGAATTGACGTTTCTGGGTTACGTCAAATACAGAACTGGCAAACAGTGCAGAGGCTACTTCAATTTTCAAAGGCCATAACCACGAAGCGTTCTCAAAAAGACATATGAATACAGTATGAAACCGTCACTAACCTTTCATTCTGTTTTTAATTAGACTTTGATCTCATTTCATTTATACAGTTTGGTTTTTCCGCATCTCTTCTTATTTTAGGCGTTTAACATCCCTTTTGTACTTTTGACTGGATCATTTATATCCATGGTTTATTTTACTAGCAAACGTTTTAATATATTTCTTCTCCCCACAATACAAAAGTGAACAGAGGAAATTGGTGACTTATGTCGAAGTTTTGCATATTGAAGAGATTTAAGAGTATAAAAAGTCTAAGTAATTCAACTTAATAGGTTCCCTTAAATTTGTAACGTTTTTATGTTGAAAAATGCATATTTCATAGGGAATGAGCTTAATTTGATAACCATGTTATTTTCTGATTGTAAATAGCAACAAGAAGAGGTGACCATCTATCTTTTCCGTCTTTACGGCTTCTAATGTACCACCTTGGACCACTAATTTGAGCAAAAAAGTATTATTATTATTTTTCCCTTACGTTCTTAGTGGAACATAAGGCTTCAGTAGCACGCTTTCATCACACTCTCTTTTCTGCACTATGACTGCCTATGAGCTTTCATTTCTTCCTCACATGATCTCCTCCATGTTACCCTTGCCTCGAACGCTCAATTCGTCGTTTCCCATTTGCGTTCCACTCGACGGCCTGGCGCGTGATGTCCCAAGTCGGTCTTCTCAGTGTGTGTGCAATCCATCTCTACTTTCTTATGGCAAAAAGTATGCAAAACTAATTTTCATGAAAATTTTATGTTCAAGTTGTTGAAAATAATTATACCATGATGAATGATCTTAATGAAGACAGTCTTTACATCAAATGATTTCTAGCTGTAACATTTTGATGCTTTAAACGCAAGAAAGTCTAGACTGGCCTATTTTGCATGCTGTGAAGTAATTTGTAAGGTGGGATAGAACAGTTTGGATATCAGAAAATATCCACTTAGCAGTTTGAAGAGATGTAGATGAACAAAGCGTGCAACACACAAAGATTTCACATTAGTATGGAAGGAGGAAATCAGCAAATACAGCTGTATGCCACAGTAAGTAACTGAAATAGATTCAAGTATAAAGTAAACATATGGAAAGGATGTTTAAGATATTGAAGGAGGTTAAACGTGACTACCTCTACATCGGTGTTATTGAATTTTGAACAATGCACTTAGGTTCTTATCAGCTTAAAAATTTCGCTACATGGTTCAATCAGATGCCGATTGGTACTAGACGTTAGACGGACATCTTGGTTGGATTGTTTTCTCTGAGTTGGGTTGTTTAAGCGTGGAGCTTTCATCATCTTGCTAGACGACATTATCAGCACTCTACAGCTAAACAACTCAGGGAACACAATGCAACCAAGATCATCCACCGGAGCTGCAAAGATTCTCCACCATTTCATCAGGCAGAAATCTTTGACCCTTTCGATGTAATAAACGAACAAACTAACTAATTTTTCCTGTGGTTTGCTGAGGCCATAGTCATCAAATCCTTTAAATCTGTTCAGAAAGAAGGTAACTTAACTTCTTTCCACCTTGGTAACTCTTCTTGTCTATTACTTGGTTACGTCATGCTGAATCAAATTTAGATCCTTATCCCTTCACTTTTATTTCCTTGTATCACTTTTTTGTTGCTGAATGTTTTCCGTTTAATTGAGGTTAACTGACAATAAACTGCGTGATTTGTTGAGTAACTTACTTGTGGTACGCAATCTCATAATGTTAATAACCCTAGTGTTACAATTACTACCTATTTTACTGAAGAAAATCCCGTTGGATTGTGTGAAATTATGACAACCTGTCACCATTTATTAACCATCTTTGATTTAACAGTATGGTTAACCTGTGACTATTTGTGACTGTTTTAACCACTGACTGATATTCTGTTTTCTTACAGTGAGTTCATTCATGTTGAATTTTTACTGAAACTGTATATTTTGATATCTTAACTTAGGAGGAGTTGACAAGACATAAAAGAAATGAAACAGGTTTCTCCTGTGGTTTTTCTTATTCTTTTAAGATTCTTAAGGTGGAATTCATATACGAAGCTTAAATTTACTCTACCTGGCCAACACAAATAGATACCAGCTTCATAGACCACTACCATTATAATTATTATAAGTATTCCTTTGGGTTCCGAGTGGAACATAGGGATTCGCTAGCACGTCTCCATTACACTCTCTTCTCTGCAATCTTTTCAACCTGGCTCCACCACCGCCTACAAGCTATCATTTCTTCCTAACACCACCTCCTCCATGTCACCTTCACCTCGGACACCCAACTCGACGTTTCCCATCTGGGTTCCACTCAAGTGCCTGGCCTGACACGTGATGTCCCTAAATAGTCTCCTCAGTCTATGCCCAATCCAATCCAATCCAATCCATCTCCACTTCCTTCCAGTGCATATTTGTTGAGTGATAGATTGTTGGTTGGTTTGCTGTCAGCCAGAGTTCCTTGTTGCTTATTCTCATTATTCTGGCCATCTGAGCTTCAGTAACGAGTCAGCTCAGGCAGTTGTTGTTGAATGTTTGTAGTTTGTTGGAAATGATTTTCGTAACGCGTCAAGTCTCTCAACCATCACATAGAAGCACTGACTTACTTGACTGATATTGGTGTTGAAAATCTGGATGTTGTTCACGCTTTGTGCTGAGTGCAGTAGATCTCCACACTGATTACAGATTAGTGCAGCAAGGCCTGTCTTGCTTTTCCGATCGTGGTTGGTTTTGACGTCCTCGTCTGTGCCACCACCTATAGTTGAAACGATGCTGCCTAGATAGGTGAAAGATGCTACTTCCTTCACGTTTCTCCCATTGGTGGTGTTTGGAACTTGTTGTTGTTGTTGTTGTTGTTGGTGGTGATGGTGTTGGTTGGGTATCTTCATCACCTGTGTCTTCTCTATGTTCACTTGAAGTCCCGTTTTCGCTGCATCACCTCTCTTGTCAACTTGTGGGATTTTGCCCGTAGGTTTTCAAGTTTGTGTGACATTAGACACAAATCATTGGGGAAATCCAAATCTTCTAGGATCTTGTTCCGGTCCTGCCAGTTTATGCCCATCTTCTCGCTCCTCATTGTGTGCTGCATGATGCAGCCCAGTCGACCACAATCAGGAAGATCATGGTTGATAGTAGATAGTCTTGTCTTACTCACGTTTCCTGTCTTCACTTCAAAGACATCACTGAGCTTCCCATTGTGAATTATTTGGCATGTGGGGCCTTCGTGTAGTTGTTGAATGAGGTTGATAAGGGTTTTTGGTATTCCGTAGTGTTGGGGCAGTTGCCAAATTACTTCTCGATCGACGCTATGGAAGCTCTTTCAAAGTTCATGAATTTGAGGTAGAGTTGAGCTGACTGCCATTCTATACTCTGTTCTCTGATGATGCGTAGCGTAGCACTGCAAAGTGATCCTATTTATTGGTAACTTTCCATCCACTTATTTCTTCTTCATCTTTTGACTGGTTTACACTTTTTTTTACCGAGAACCTTACCATAGCCCAGTCGATGAACCTAAAAAATTCCTGAAAGATTTCAGAAACACAATTTGGACAACCACTGATTATTTTGCTCTCCACGTTTGAGATTCGCTTTATAGACAGTTAAATCTCGGTGGCAGTGGACTTATGGAACTTCTGAAGGTATCTGTTGTATTCTGACCCATTGAATAAGTGTAACCTAGACAAACAAAATATCATTAAAGCTTTGTCTCACCGATTACTGAAGAATCGATTGTAAACTAAACTCAAATGTTGTGATTCAGATACTTCGGTTAAACGTAAGTGAACCACATATGATCCTTGATTATTTCTGAATTCATTATGACTAATAGTATAGTCAACTGGAAGTTGACGGAATAACTGAGACTTGAGCATATCTTCCTCATTATCAATCCAGATTACACCATGATGATGTTGTTCAAATGTACAGTTTTTTATTTCACCAACCATACGAATCATTGGTGATATCAATATTGAATTTCTTTTATTAGCATTGAAATAACTGAATGCCACGGTGAAATTAGTTAATGTCTGAAAAGAAAAAGGAAGAAATACTTCATTTCAGATGTTTATGAATAAAAGTATGGAGTTTCAAAACGTTTTGTTCAACAGAAGACAACAACTATGAGTGGAAATTATTTTTGCCATCGAATACCGAAATCCTTCCACTTTTAGATACTAGTCTCTGAATAGTACTTAAAGAAAGGTTTTCCAGGATTTATTATATCCTACAGATAGCTTACAACTATGTGCTACTAGGATTCAATTGTGTATCTTAGTCGAGTTCAGAAACAGAACTGAAGTATCAGGTATAAAGATGCGTAGTACAAGATGATCACTCTAATATATAGTAATAGCACGTATCAAAATTAATATTGTGAATATCAAGTTTATCAGAAAAGGTTCTTTTGAAGTTCAAGGAAAAACATTGGTTTCAAAGGATTTTGTTTAGTATGTTGTAGTTATCATCATTATCATCTATATACCTAAGATTTTAGCACAATTGTGAAAGAACCTGTGTGAATTGTTTGAAATATTTGCTTGGTAAAATGATTTGGATTGTCGATTTCAAAAATGGTTTGACTCCTTATGCTAAAACAGTCTGAGTTCACTTCTGATGAACTCGATTCCAAAAGAGCAGAACGGTATTATGATGTTCAGATTAACTTGATCTAGATGATGAGAACTATTGTAAGTCATAGTGGTCTATAAATGCGTATATCTATGCTTCGTATACACAATAAATATATGCCTTCTGCTTGTTTGAGAATGCAATCGTTAATTATTAGGCATTTTTACAAGAAATCAACCAAGTAGCATTATATGGATCATTCTGTTATATTCTCAAAACTGTGTTTACTGAATCGATATGAGTAAAATACTACTTCAATGACTTAAGGAGAAATGATAGTAACCTGATAGACTTTCTCCTATGAAAAGTAAGTGATATTTCATTTAGCAACGATCAAATACGTACCTTTAGTTGTCGCATAACAGTGGTAACCTTCTAGCCGCGCAACTTGAAGGTTCTAGATTCGATCCCCAGAGGGTTCATGGGTGTGCACTGTTTAAGAGACCCATACTATGACAAAATAGCTGTCCAGTGCTCTCAGATCTATAATGGTTCCCCAACTGATGTCAGACTTATGATAAATACCAAACTGAATAACACTGTCTTGAAGTTCATATCTTATTGGACTTGTTCAAATGCTATCAAAATTGAACTCATTCAACGTTTAGGTGTCAATATACTGAATAACATGATTAGTTACTAAGCTACTGAAAATGAAAAGGGCATTTCATTACTTAGATCATATCGATGCAAAATTTATCATTTCGCTTATTACGTCCATTAGCCGCATATATTAAGGGCCTCAGTGCACACATGTTCATATCAAGTAGTTTTTAAGCTATCTGGTTTGTTTAATAGTAGTAGTAGTAGTAACACTGATACTTTCTAGCTTGACAAGGAAACGCTCTTCAGACAATTTCAGCTTAAATAGTCTATCTCAATATCTTCCACTAAAGCCATTTATATTTGTGTAATATTACAAGGTAAATAGTTCACTCAGTAACTAGAATTTTCACTTATTATCTCGTCTATGTTTTTCTGTCCAAATTACAGCAAACAATATTTTCATGTAACATTCAATGACTCTGTGAGGAATTTATTTTACTAAAGTGAATAAAAAAAATCATTCAACTTACATTGACACTTTTATTAAGGCATGAATAAACTCTGATAGCATTACGCTGATTCTGTATAAAATGCGTAAAATTCACCAAGATTTCCATGAATGCACAAGAATTATAAAAATGGATTGCATCATGTTGATTCCCTAAAATTAGGATACATAAATTAAGACATAAATGTATATGATAAGCTTTTGTCTTTATACAGTATAGCATTTTAATAGAAATTTAGTTTGAATCAGAGAATAGTATTTTTGACACCTCATATTCCAGTGATGCTTTTTACCAGTCTCCTATACTAATTAAATATATGGTCGTCCTATTTGAAGACCAGTCAACAAACACATAACTTTATACAAGTCGTTGACAAATCCAAAATTCAGCATCTTAGAAATCAAATCATTCCTAAGTATCTACATTGATGCGCTCTAATTTTAACTGACAGGTTTCAAGGATAATGTGGACTAACAATAAAACGATAAGAGAAAAAGAAACGAAATATACCCAAATTACAAAGAGAAGCTCTTGAAAAACTTCAGAATAATAATATAGTAGATACCGAAATGAATAAAGGCAACTTAGTGGTTGTCAAGAGCAAACAGAGTCAGGCTTATGTGAAGAAATCAATAAACTAGTAGATACTATTGTAAGGCTAAGAAATTCACAGGGGATCTAATATGCCGAATGAAGCTGTTTCAAGCTGAATTAAAATGCCCAAATTTAATACCAAAAACCAGTAATCCTAGTAGAATTTATGGGACTTCTAAGATGCATACGCTATAGCAGATTTTAGAAACAACTCGAATTATTACTATTCATTGGTATACTTGTAGTTCTCCGTTGTTTCATTGGATCGAATTATTCGACCTCTATTGGTATATGCGCTCCTGTGCGAATGCCTCGATATTGCCTAAATGTCTTTTGTGGTGGTTTTGTTGGTTGTGGCTAGCAGAGGACTCCAGGTTGCGCCATAAATGACATTCAGGCAATATCGAGGCATTCGCATAGGAGCCCATATACCAATAGAGGTCGAACAATTTGATCCAATGAAACAACGGAGAATTATGAGTATGTCAATAAATAGTAATAACTACTGCCTGTTGTACAAGAAGTGACTGTCACTCCTCCATGGCATAGTGGATAACGCCATGACGTTTGGAGCGATGGGTACGACTTTCGAGTCCCACTGGGGTGCAGGTACATCCATCTGACGAGTCACAGATAGGATGAAACACGAGTCCTGGATTCCTCTGCTAGCCGCAACCAAATAAATCACTACAACTCAAACCATGTCTGTATGAATACTGGTGAAGATTCAACCGAATAATCGTATAAATATTGAATATGTTTGGATTTCTTGTAGTCTGCAGCTCCTTTAAAAAAAATCAGTTCACCATACTGTAATCCAAATCAGTTATGCATACTAGTAAATATTTTCAACTTAACACAAATATTACATGATTACTTGGACATGTCGTCCTCTTGAACCATTCCCTAAAATGGGTTGTAACTTCAGTCTAGACATCATTTTTTGTATAACCCGGAAGTTGTTTTGCTGTTCATTACCTGTGACTGATCTGATCTAGTTTCCTTTTAGATATATGTGAAACTTGGGCACTGTGGTACAATATGATTCCAGACTGGATCTGCTTATTTGATTTATAACACAGTGATGCAGTATTATTTACCCGATGACGTTTCGGGCAAAATCTATCATCGCTCATAACCATATCAGTGTAATCACACTACTTTCGACATCCGATTTCTATAGTCCTGTCACCTCTTTTCCCTGTTTTTATTGGTAGTAAAACTTTCCATATCTCTGGTGTAAATGTTGCGTCATTTCTATAACATGTGTTGAGTGTTGATTCAATGAGCAAAGATTCAGTAATCAATCTCTCTCCACCTAATTATATTACACTAAGTATATTGTACAGTGGTTTTATCCCACACTATTGCTTGATTGCAACGCTTCGCATCATCATAGAACAGAGTATAGAATGGTAGTCAACTCTACACCTCAACTTCATCGACTTTGAGAAGGCCTTTAACAGCATCAACCGCAAGGTAATTTGGAAACTGCTTCATTACTACGGAATACCACAAACCTTTATCAACCTCATTCAACAACTACACGAAGACGCCACATGCCAAATAATTCACAATGGGAAGCTCAGTGATGCTTTTGAAGTGAAGACAGAAGTGAAACAAGGTTGCCTACCATCTCCCATGATATTCATGATAGTGGTCGGCTGGATCATGCAGCAGACAACTGTGAGGAGCAAGAAGAAGGAGAAACTCTGGCTGGAGTGCGGAAAAGAACCTAGAAGATTTGGATTTCGCCAACGATGACTTGTGCCTAATGTCACATAAACTTGAAGATCTACAGGCAAAAACTAACAAGTTGACAGAAGAGGCAGGGCAGCGAAGATGGGACTTCAGGTGAATATAGAGAAGACAGAAGTGATGAAGATACCGCACCAACAACTCCAACAACAACAACAAACTCCAGTCACCATGAACGGGAGAAACTTAAAGGAGGTAACCTTCTTCACCTATCTAGGAAGCACTGTTTCAACTACAGGCAGCACAGGCGGGACAGACGAGGATGTCAAATCCAGTCAGAATCGGAAAAGCAAGACAGGCGTTCATTAGCCTGGAACCAGTGTGGAGATCTGCACTGCACTCAGCATATGGGACAAGATCCGGATTTTCAACACCAATATCAGTCAAGTAAGTCAGTGCTTCTATGTGCTGGTTCAGAAACTCGGTGAGTCACGAAAGGGATTTCCAATAAACTACAGACATTCATCAACAACTGCCTACACTGGCTCGATACTGAAGATGAGATGGCCAGAATAATGAGAATAAGCAACAAGGAGCTCTGGGAACGAACCAACCGAGAACCTATCACCCAGCAAATATGCACTGGAAGGAAGTGGAGATGGATTAGGCATACACTGAGAAGGCCGACTGGGAACATCACGCGTCATGCCAGTTGCTGGAGTGGAATCCCCATGGGAAGCGACGAGTTGGGCGTCGGTGTTGAGGGTGACATGGAGGAGATCTTGCGAGGAGAAAATGAGGAGTTGTAGGCTGTCGTGGAGCCAGGTTAAAAAGATTGCAGAGAAGATAGTGTAATGGAGACGTGCTAGTGAAGCCCTATGTTCTATTAGGAACCCAAGAGACTAATAATAATAATAAAATTGTTTGGTTGTGTTTGTGTGCATGCATTGCAGTAACCGAGGTTTTTCTACATAATTAATCTAACTGGGACCTGTCATTCGATATCTGGCTAAATTCCTATGTTCCATTAATCTAACTGACTCCTACCGGCTAGTTTAATTTAAGTACCTGACCTCACAGTATGGAATTTGGTAGACTTGACTATTTTACTTAGTTGATTCTGTCGGATCCTTAAGCCTACAAAGCTTATCTTTGAATGAGTTTGTAGGTATAAATGGAATTAGGGTGGCTACTGCAATGCATGCCTTATCAGACAACCACACAATAGGCTGGGTGTGGTAAAACCATTGTACTCAAGTCCAATATAATTAGGTGGAGAAAGAGATTGAATAATGAATCTTTGTTCATTGAATCAACACTCAACACATGTAATAGAAATGACGCAACATCTATACCAGAGATATAGAAAATGTTACTACCAAGGAATAAGAGGTGAGAGGACTATGAAAAGCAGGTGTCGAAAGCAGTGTGGTTTCATTGATTTGATTATGAGCAATAATTTATGGTTCAAAGGTCATTATCAAGTAAATAATACTGTATCACTATACTATAAATCAAATAAACAAGTTGAATATAGAATCGCCTTTCGATACTCAAATTGGTTCTTCAGAAGGAAACGAACAATAAAATAAAGTACACATATTCTACCTGTGAAATTAGATAAATGAACATTTGTCCTCAATGGAAGATTTGAACTGCGTGATGGAATGTTTATTTGATTTAAATTCCATACAACCAAACCATGACCAAAATTATTAGTGAACAATGAATTGTTGATTTGTTTAAATCCACCTGTAACACTAATATTAAGACCACAGTTTTGATTTTCAATAAACCTTCAAGAGAAGTTTAAAAAAGACAGAAAATTGATGAACAGGTACATACTAACTCAAGTGAAGTAGTTAAAAGCAGCAGAATGATTGATAATAACTTCTTGGTACTTTTAACTATCAGCTACTTCTATCAGTCAGTATTATATTGTAAATCTTACAACATATGTGAATTGGAAACAAATCATATTCATTGAAGAGTCATTCTTTTTAGGTGCGCGATCCTGAGACTGTAAAATCTGGATTAAATTTCTCCACTTAACCAACTTTTCGATTATGTTTGGAAAATAATGAAGCTCCTGTGGCTACGTTTATATTTGCTTATCGATTTATCTGCTTTCATGGAGGAAGGTGTGTTGATCTTATTTGGGATTACTTTTCTAAGCGTAACTTCAAATACATCCCAAGTTCATTCTATAGAGGTGAAAGCACAGCACCTTGCACTTTCGTTTCACAGCGTTTAATTGATTTTCATTACCTCATCAGTGCAGAAGGAAACTTCAAGTTCATTTATAGAGTTTATTTTAACCTCATGAAAGGTGTACGCCAGAAATTCCTGTAAACTGTGGAAGCCATTACCATTTATATTTTATCATCTGAACTTTGCGCTTTTAGGAAGTGCACCCATTTACTTGATTTAAAAATGAAAACGATCTGTGAAACAGTTTATTCCTCAAATGTTTTCTTTCTTATTGTTGGCAACACACTTAATAAACCTGCACATCATACACTCCTAAAACCCTCGAATTCCTATATCTCATAACAATCATCACTTCCTATAACCATATTATAGCAATCAACTTTTTTGTTGAACATGGCATAGATTTTAATACATCATCTACTAATTACTATTTTGTAAATCATGTAGTTCTTTTCCCAATTTTCTAATATTTGATCAAAAGTGAGTTTATCAAAAATCTCTCCACCTGTTAACAAGTAAATACAATATCTACAGTCTGAGAATGAGACCTCCTGTTTGAAGAGGTTATGTAGATTTTTAATGTACTGAAGCATTATATATGAATTTTTCAGTACTTGGCTCCATGTCAAGCATAACTTATCACTATCATTTTAATATTTCAGCTTTCTTAAGAGATCAGTGATTAAATTTTGAAATGTGATCAACTGGTGAACTTTAATTCAAACACTAAATAGTGTACCACGCGTTGGCGCAACCTGTTATCCTAGATCGTTTTCAATTCTAGAACATAAACTTTAATTTCATGAACTGGTATTTTTATTTTTCTGATATGATCATAAACATATGCTTTGTTATAAAAAGGCTAAAAGTCATGCGGAACAGTGTTTTCCTAAGAAAAACATGAAATTCCTTATTTCATCCGCATATCAAGTCATCAGCATCATACACTACTGATTTTTCAACCTGGTGGTCAAATGAAAAAAAAGTGATCTTCCAGAAAGTAAAATTCAGAATTTACTGAGCATATCAATGTACGCTTGACAATCTAGCTTGAATAGAATGCAAATCAGAAAAAAAATGAGGCAGTTACAGAGAAAATAATTATCGTTTAGCTGTACCAATTTCACTGTTGTGAAGTCATAAATGTATAATTCATAGTATAGAGAAAGTCACAGAGGAATTTATGATGAAATGTTCAAGTCAAAGAAATATTGTGAAGAGATAGATTATGAAGAAACTAAGCGGCATGTACAACATTCTGGAAAATTTCAGAAAGTTGAGGAATTATATATTAGGAAATATACACCTTTGAAAATAAGACATTCTAGTAATAATTATTCTTAACTGTTACGGCTTATTTACCTTTTCTATGACTAAGAGGGGAATATTTTGCAAGTTAAAGAATTAAGAATTGTAACGGATTCTAAAATCAAGCTAATCTCGAAAAAATCTCATGATGAAACTAATTCCACAGAAAACGGTGTTGGATTTAGTCGAATTTTATCAATTATCAACAGAGTCTGGTGTTTTCACTAAGGAATTGAGCATTGAATTTTTTTCTGAAGGCCAATATACTTCTAGAAAGTATATTACTAAAAGAAAAAGTAGTTTTACAATATACTAGAATAAATTATAATACAATCAATGTGAAACTTAACTCCTACCTATTATTATTTACAAGAATATCAGCTGATCCTCCATGGATTTTTACACCAGCTTCATGTTGGTTTTGTTGGAAAGTGTTATTCTCTAAATGTATATATGCCCAAGGATTGATTAGATGCAAGCCATGTTGAAGATTTCCACTAACAATAGAGTCTTGAACAATCACTTCAGCTAATGTACCTAAAAGAGATATTAAATAATATGAAACTAACATTTAGTACTATTTTACGTGCTTAAGAAAAGTAGTCAAAAAGATAATTCACTGATTATATATGTTCCAACATATCAAAAAAGCTACTTACAAAAATGAAAAAAACTTCTTCAAAAAGGATTGGATTACAACACAAGAGACGCCTTGAAACCAGAGTTCTTCGTGGCATTAGAATAGTCACTTAAAACATGGGGATTAAATGAGGTCACTCATCAACAAATGGTACCACTGACTAGGTAGAACAGACATCATGCTCAGACGAACACTTAAGAACACAAAAAAATTAAAACGGCTGAAAAATAGGAAAAATATCGTAAACTTTCAGCAGACAAAGGATGCATTACAGTAGTCATGGACAAAGAAGACTACAGCGAGAAAACACAGGAATTACTCAAAGACAAAAATATGTATCAGCTACCTGAAATCAACCCTATCCAGAAGTTTGACAACCAGATCAATAAAACCTTGAACAAACTCTTCAAAGCAGAGGAAATATCAAAGCAAGACAAATGGCGTATGAAATTGAATGGACCTGTCCTTCCTCGGTTCTGCGGTAGACCAAAAATACACAAACCAGATATTCCTCTATGACCAATTGTCTCACTTTCGGGAACTCGAACATACAATATATCAAGAGAACTTTCGAGAAAACTGAAACATCTCGTCCAATCATGCGGACATTCCATGAAGTCACCAACGGAATTCTTAGAAAAGATCAAAAGCATTAACATAGAAAATGACGAATTGATGGTATACTTCAATGTCACAGAATTATTCACATTCACCGAACCCCAATTGGCCAAAGAAACTATATCTCTCCTGCTCAGTGAAAAAACACAAACCTTTCAGAACGCACAAAACCCAAATGTTCAAGTCTGATGCAACCCATCGACCTTTTTCTGACGACATACTTCCAATTCAGTGGCAAGATATATAAACAGATGAGACGAACTCTGATGGTATCACCGATATCCTGACTAATTGCAGGAGCAGTGATGCAAAGACTGGAAGCCATTGTTCAACCTGTGATCAAACCAAAAATTTGGACGACACTTTTGTCATCATTAAAAAAGATGATACAGAAAACACCCACAGTTTGATCAACAACGTTTTCAATGACTTCAAATTCACAATGGAGAGGGAGTCAAACAGTCAACTACCATTCCTAGATGATCTAGTCAGTAGAACAAATACCGGAAAGCTGGAAACCCAAGTGAACAGGAAGCCAACACACCCTGACCAAATCATTAACTACAGTAGCGATAACCCAACAACTCACAAGATCAGTTGCTTGAAGACTCTTTTCAAAACAGCGAGAACACATTACAGTACAACAACTTCAAGGAGAAACGAAGAAAATCATTTGATCTCCATCCTAAAGAAGAACGGCTACCCACGAAACTTCATCACAAGATGTCTATCCCATACATCATCAACTGAAAAGTCATCAACAGAAATTAACAAACAGATCGTCCTGCAGTATGTAAAGAATATATCACAAATCACAACAAGATTGTTGAAACCACTTAGAATTGGTGTGACTCATAAACCAACAAACTCCCTCCAAACACTATTATTCAGACCAGAGAATGAGACAACCAAAGAAGACAAACCGAATATCATTTACAGTCAACAATACATTGAACAAAGTGGTCACCCTCTTCGCCTTCATCTACATGAACACCAATTGGCAATTAAACATCACATACGACTTTTCATCACTCATTTCAATGCACGTGGATAATTATGGATGTAAATTCAATTTCGATTATGTAGAAATTTTGAAGGGAGAGAGGAAACACAAAGAATGTCAGAGAATTCCTAGAAGCTTAGCTTTCAGGTCAGTCAGTCAGCAGTTAACAGATGTATAGACATAGACCTAATCTATCAAGCAATGATAGAAATGATAGATCACAGAAATGTCAGAGGTGAAGCAGAGGAACAGTCAACAGGAAAGTTTATACAGTCAGTCAATGATCCAACAATCAAAGGAAACAAGCAATCACAGACCACTTCATCAAGGCAAACTACTAAATCACTGACGGAGAGATATTGACAGCTCAGTCCATGTTGAAGTTAGTGCTAGTGATGTAGTCTATCAATACGATGAAAGCTTCACGATTAAACAACCCAGCTGAGAGAACACAACACAACCCAAACCATCCAGCTGAGCTACAAATATTCTCCGCTATGTGTTCCAGCTATCTCGTTGCATTTACTTCACTATTGACTTCTGAATAAATAATCTCATGTGTATCTTTTTCCATCAGCAAATACAAGCGTTAAATTTCTAAGAGAGATGCAGTGTTAGTGAGGCTGTATTGATATAGAAAGTAAAGTGGTTGAGTTTATTGACGTATTCGCTCACTTACGAAGTCACAACAACTCTTGGGAGACAGTAATTGATAAAGTCTCAGAATTGATACAAGTGGTCTGACTTAATTTCAACAACTCATGCTATTTTCACTACTGGAAAAATATCGTGATACCAAATAAGTGATGGGTGTAATGACCAGTATTCCTTACACTTGGATTCTGTGGTTAGGAAACAGCCAGAAAAGATAAACGATGTGAAAATGCTTCTTGTGTCTGACTATCATTACCATCGTATCGTCAGCAGCATGTTATTGAAAAACAAATGTGAGTGATGTACAGCATCATTGGGGTTTGGAGTGGAATACGCTAGTCAGATGACAGCATTACTAGCCGTGAAGGATAGAGGCAAATAGGATGTGTGTAAAATATTCAGTTCACAGTTTATCTTACATATACTGAGCTACAGTTGGATTGAGGGGAGCGTGATGGTAATACAATTGAAAGGTGTCACGGATTCATGAAGTGCCTGACTAGGTATGAAAATGAGGCCTTTCAGATAGAAGTGTACGGGACAGTCAAAATGATGCAGGCTGTTAGTATTCGAAGTAATCACAAGGGCTCAGCTGGATCATCGCTTTATCGATGTTTAGTTCTTACTGCTGTGTATGGTTGATCACTTTGAACCTTTTGCAGCTTTTCACTGGTATTCATGCTTATTTGTCTTTTACTCCGCTAGCCATGATCTTGATGTGCTTACGTGAATGAACTATGCTGATTTGAAACAATATTCATCAGTTTTGTGTTAAAAACTGTTGACTGATCATCGAATCACTGATCATCATCAACGAAGTTTGATAGTATGGATTAACAGTAAGAAGTGCGAAAATCAGTATCGTCCAGCTAGATGTGAAGTCACATTCTGACTGTCTTTGAGACGTAGCAATTATTGCAATTAAATATTTCACAATGGATATTCGCATGTCTATATAGTGGTGATATATACGAATAGTCAGAAGAAGAATATCACTCAACAGTTTGCCTATTAATTTATTCAAGTGTAAGCATTGTAGTATTCTATCGTATTCAATGGACACTGAAAACAAGTAATGCCGTTCTTACCACTGACTGACATGAGTAAGTGTTGGTCAGCTATATCGATCAGCATTAAATGGAAGCTAGATAGAAGTGAACTAAAGAGTGCACGATTACTTCGCATATTCACAGTCAAGCATGTAACCAATGTAGTCGACTAATTGGATGAACTCAATAAATTAAACTTCACATACCATTTCTATTTTGATGTAGTACTTAGGGTAACTGGTGATAAATTGAATTTACAGAATAAGAAACGTTTTTTCTGATGACTGTGTTGAAGAAGAAATGAATAAGCTGAAGATAACAATGCAGCAAAATGGTTATCCGCTAAACTTCATAAATAAACTCATGTCGAAGCCTAGAGAGAAGATAAAGAAAGGCAGTGTTGCTAAACAGCCTATATAACTTAGACTAAGTTTTAAAGGTGATATTGCCGTGAATATCTAAAAACATCGATTAAGTAGATCAGTCAAAAGGACGCTCAGTGCAGTGAAACTTTTTGTCAGCTTCTCAACCAACCCATTACTGATACAGCGAACCAAGGATAGGTTACCTATGATGGCTACTTCAATGTGCATTTATGAGTTCAACTACTCCTGTGGAGCTAGTTATGTAGGCTGTACTCTATACATGTGCGGTAGTGAACACGTGCCATCTTGGTTCTGGAAAGGAATGAAAAAAAACATCAACAGTGTAATACTTTCACATCTAGTAGATAGAGGCCATCAGATTGAGGTAGATCACGCCTTTTCTGTGATAAACCGTGTCCGTTGCAGTCTCCCTATCGGTGCACGACTTCGCATCTTATCCGTAGCCGAAGCTATAAGGATCAATGCAAGAAAACCGGACTTGTGTTCAGAAGAAATATGTACATCCACTTTGTTTACCTTAGCCCACAACAGGGTCGATACGTTCTTTATAAACTCTTCTACTGCAAATTGCACATTTTGACCTCCCATCCCTTTCTTCTGTATCGTCATTACTTTGATGAACATTCATTTTCTTATGTCATTGGTTTCACGAGCTTTGTTCATACCACTACTAGTAGTCATTTTCAACCGTGACGTAACACTTCTTTGTTTCGTTATAGTATTCACATGATTTTCATCCCACCTGAATATAATTCATCACTAAATAATTACTATTTGATCCTTAGTAAACAAACACATACATATTTATGTCCCAATAAATGTATATAAAAGAATCATCATCTCTAGATTTTGTCTCATCATTTTGTAATTGTTATTGACTTCACTGCACAACCAACACACTAGACTGATAACAGTTCCACTGTTCCATTCAATTTGATCCCCATTCACCACGCATAACACTAACTGTCTCAGTATAGTAAAATTGTATATCATGCCTTATTTCGGCTATTGTATTTCACTTATTCTCATGAATTTATAATTATAGAGCCTGAAGAAGTTATTGAAAACAATTATTCACTCAAATTATTCTTGTTCTGAATAATCTGTGGGTATCTTTAAGTTATTAAAATTAAAAGTGGTTTAGTGAACATTTAGAAGTTATATGAGGATATAACTTGTCTTGATTTTCATAGTTGATCAAGTTAGAATTATAAGTTTGCATTTATGCTCAAAATGAGTTCATTCATATGAAAAGCTGGCAGTTCCATCACTCCAGTGTGAAGTCAGGTTCTAGTCAACTCTGATAAGTAATCATGATATTTGTGCAGAACTTTCTATCTCGTGAAACTATACGGAAGATGACTCTTGGACCGATATGGAATTCTTCGACTCTGGAAACTCAAGAACGCAAAGCAATCAAGCCATCAGAGAAAAGACAAGTTTGGTCATGTACATTTCTTTCTACATAAATGTGGGAATTTCTAAATGCTTAAGTGTCAATGAATACTTGTTTTGACAAATATTGACTTGACATGCAAAGTTAATTAAAAAATGTAACTACAAAATGTAAAATCGAGTGTAAAGGCTTCACTAGAAGTCCCAGTATTTCTTACCAGGAATTTTTAAAAGACACTCTGTCGAATTTATTACTAATCGAAATACTTGAGTAATTACAATAGAATGCTTTTCAAAGCCTAATCTCTTTCAGATATCAAGGTGGTATTCATCACGGGCTGGGAGAAGTCTGGAAACCCTTGAAAACCTCGGAGTACTGGACATCTGTTATATCCTAGTATTAGACTTTTTGGCAGTGAGCATTTACGGCTTCGATAGGGATCAAACTGAACTTTGTCTAGTCTTATGGTAAGCGCGTCATCGTCAAATCATTAGTTCAGAGCTCAGTTACAATATAGTGCGACCATTATCCAATGGTGTCGACGAATACTTGTTCTCACGACCGATTTGGTTGACTTTTAAGGTCATAGATTTCGCAGTCAGTCTGAGGTGTTCATAGTAAACATATATTTATTGGACAGCATGTTCAGTGTAAATTTGACCACGTTACAATAACATGAGAAGGTAAACCCAGAATTTTGATGCGTTGAAGTTAAAATCTAGCGTTTTTATTTTTAATTAAATTTCAGTGGAAACCACTGTTTACTTAGTTCATTAACTGTAATGCTTAAATTTTCCCAATGTCACTAGAAAAAGTGTTGCGGAAACTGTTGAAGACTTATCCAATCGGAGATGCTTTGTGATTGAGTGTCTGTGAAATGAGAAATCAGTAAAATATTACACTATACGAAACTAATTTCTTCTCCAAATAATTTTGTTTCATTTGAACCGATACAAAATATCTGTAGATACTACTTCTATTCTAAGACATCGATATTCTTGTGATGTTAGACGTTCATGATTGTCTTCAGGGTAAGATTAGTAAGTAAGTAAGTAAGTAAGTAAGTAAGTAAGTAAGTAAGTAAGTAAGTAAGTAAGTAAGTAAGTAAGTAAGTAAGTAAGTAAGTAAGTAAGTAAGTAAGTAAGTAAGTAAGTAGGTAAGTAAGTAAGTAGGTAAGTAAGTAAGTAAGTAAGTAAGTAAGTAAGTAAGTAAGTTAGTTAGTTAGTTAGTCAGAAGGAGAGACGAGCATATTCAGGTATTCGAGCATCACGTGTAATATTTCTGCTCAACTGTTATATGATGAATGCAATTGTGTGTTTCACCCTTCTAACACGGAGACCTTTGAATTTGATTCATGCGAAGAATTCTATGAGTGAACTAACATAGTTGGTTAAATTCAGTGATGATGAGCAATGAATAAAATACAGATAATTATATATCTTTATCATTTTCCGATGACATTTAATTTGTCCGTGTAGAGTATGACACTTTTTGTCTGAATTCAAGTGCAATGGTTCTTATTAGAGAGACAAGGTTGTGATATTTTACAGTTATTATTACATTTAAAGTAACTCAACTGCGATTTTTAACTAATCTAACTGATCTATATTTACACCATCTTTATTCTCATTACTTTCTCACACTATTGACAACCTACTGAACAGGGATTTTTCCACTGAAATCACCTTATGGAACATTGGGGCTTAAAATGGAATGAAGTAGATAATTCATTTATACAATATGTTCGAAAAGTGCCCATTAGTCAAGAAGTAACATTTCTGGCTTAAGATTTGAATCTGTGCAGGGTTGTAGCTTTTCTTATTATCGATAAGTTCAACTCAAAGATGCGGAACGTAAAATAACACAAATTTCATTTTTTTATTGATTAGTAAAAGTAGTTGATTTCGTTAATGCTTGCAATCTTCCATTTATTTACTTGATTAGACCCAACTTATTAGCCTATGATGGTAAATTATTTCTTTGAATAGATAGGTGGCTGAATATCGTCTAGATTTCCATATCTAGGCTATTTTTAAATTTAGTAAAAAACTTTGTTGCTGGGAGTGAGGATTGATGTGTCTGAGTCCAAGTGAGAACGTGAACATGAGTGTAGGTGCATCTAATTGACAGACCAACATTAAGACGAAAGTGATGCTCCGCTTTTCATAGACATTAAATATTAAGGAAACAATAGCAATAAGCATCCAGAATAGTAACTTGAAATGCTGAAAATAAGAAGAAGATGAGGAACATAATGAAAGCCGAATGTCAGTAATGACAAGAATAAATGAGGTTTTTTCTTGTTGTGGACACTGAATTAAAGAAAAGTTTACCTTTTAAAAGTGTTAAAGCTCACTTGCATGGATTAAGATTATCTGTTAAGAAGTTTTAGTTGCTGTGTAAGGTTTTTAAACCAAATAGTTGATTACAACCCCTGAAAATTTATTCCTTTGACTTACTTCGACCAACGGATACATGCAGCAAAGCTCGTATACAATTAGCAAACTGTGAACAGACAAGTCGATCAATAGATTTTCTCCAAAAGAATTTAATCAGAATAGCGTTTCTCATAGAAGAAATGCCTTGATATACTGAGCCTTGACGTTGGCTTAATTTTCTTCTTTTTGTAATATCATTCTCAGCATTACTATTGATAGTTGTATGATTATCTAATGACCAATCTGCGATTTTACTCATTGTAAATGTATCCCATATTTCCAGTCTTCCAGAAGCTGATGGATCATGAAAGATTTCCAATAAAGTGATTGTGATGAGTTGATCTGATTGATCTGAAGCAATATGCTAAGAGAAATTTAGGATTAAGTTAGTAAAATATTTATAATTGCTATTCAGAAGAGAGTTACCAGTGTTGTTACAACTATGATGTAACACTTTACCCATTATCTTATATCATCGGTTAGTATTTATACTACCGTCTAACTTGTTAAACCCTGTAGGTCACAGTTTCTCAGTAAAATTTCGTTAAATCCGCCTCGAAACAATTCAGTGATAAACACTTAACTTAAGCTTGTTTTGGTGGAATTGCTTAATTCCAAAGTAGTTTACGTCATGGACTGGAACTAGTCCCGGATCGTGAGTGTGCAGTTCTAGGGAATCTCATACTGGAAGACAACAGGTGTTTCTTACTTCCAGATTCTCAAATGATGCAACACTAACCTCTTTGTTCATTCATATGTATGTTTCCTCCCCAAAGTACATTTGTCTAACGACACTTAGTATTTATATTTCTGAAGAAGAAGTATACTGATACACATTGAAGATTGTAAAAAGAAGGATAGAGGTTGTTTTTCTGCAGACATTTTAGATTAACTTGATGAAATGTTGGCTCGCATAAGTTTACAAAAATTGATGATACCAAAGAGTCTGAAACATTCGACAGAATATCGAATAGGCTATTGATATGGAACTGTGGCTCATTGGTTTCTGTAGTCAACTTTTTATCTGTAAGTCATGGGTTTGAAACCTGGTCTGACTACCTATGTTTAGATAGTCAGACAGCATCATTAGGTCTCATACAACAACAGTGGCTCACTGTCTACTACACGAACATACACTTGGTGCTCTAGTGAATTTCTTTCTTGTTTCAACTATTAAATTCTGACAGTGAGGGATAAAATGTAACAGATGTTAACACAAAAGGATATCCAAAGTTCATTTGGTAGTTTAGCAGGATAGATTGGTTTGGAGATAAATTCCATCTGAGACTCATGTCAACCAGTTGAGGAAGCATTGAAAATGTGGGAGCACAGGATAGTTGTTTCATTCCTGTTTAGAACCTCTCAGGAGTGCTTACCCATGACCCTCATAAGATACTGAGAGAAGAATGTCGGGTTTTATGGCGAGCACATTATTATTTAGTTATTGTGTTGGAATTACTTAGTCCATAAGTTAGCGCTTTTGTCAAATCACAATATAATGCGACTACTATCTTATGTCATTGGTGAGTAATTATCCAACCTGTTTAGCTTTACAGGTCACGGCTTCTTATTAGAAATTTATGAAGTCCGCTTTGAAACAACTCACTAATAAGCATCTAATTCAAAGCTTGGTTTGGTTAAATTGTTTGATTCCAAGATTGTTTTTCATCTTGAAATGACACTAGTCCCAAATCGTGAGTGTGTAGTGATAGGAAATCTCATACTGGAATGAGACAAGTGTTTGGTACTTCTAGGTTCTCAAATACGTTTCAGCCGATGGTAATTTGTGATGAAAAATACCTTGATGCTAAAAGTTGCTTTTATTCTTGTTCAGTTTCCGCGTTTTGTTTGAGGTTAGTCAAATATAAAAGACCGTCTGAGTTTTAGGTGGTACACTACTACTGTATGCTGACATTAAATCATGTGATCCATCCAGTATAGTACCTACAGGATTACTGAAGGTTTTTTTACCCTATAAAGAAGCTTTCATGGTAAACTTTATTAATGATAGTGTTGGTAATACGAATAAGGCACTGGATGGCAGCCGAAGTAGCCACCAGATTCTTACTACAGATCTCGTTCTGATAAAAACGTCCTCAGTATGACTAATAGGCTGTGATACTACCAGCCTTGAACTGTGTATTTTTAAATCTTAGGAGTTTATTTATGGGGATAATAACAGTAATAACGAATATATGATACCAATAATAATCTTATGATAATAATGATAATGAGCACACTTGATCACCTACAAATTCACACATTCCCTCTTGTTTAAATGTGGGACCAGGTAGTTCAGCAACTATTAAAAATGGAAATACTGGACTAGCTGGAATTGAACCAAGTCGACATATCCAATAAGCTCTGTGCGTCAACTCCAGTGTTTCTTCAGGCCAATGATAAGATGAACCACTTAACAGTTCAATTTCTAATCCATCACCATTATTATTATTTGAAACAACATGTTGTAGTCTAATATAACCCATAAGTGAGGTGATTTTCACTCCATGTCCATGATTATTTCTTGTCTGTACAAAAATAAAAAGTTTTCATTATTGACGGGTATAATGAGCGGGTATACTATAACCATTCAGATTTAATAACAGCGGATAGTTTAAAATGGTTCTTATTTTATGGTACAGCAAAGCTGTCTTTGTAACACCATCCACCCACTGAGAAATGTCTATTGTCTATTAATTGCCAAATCAAACGATAATCGTTGCTTTTTCAGTACCTTACCTGATAGGACGGTTCAGACACAGCTATAAGTACTCAAAAAATATACAAGCGTTTAGCTTATATATTAATTATACTCTCAAATATGATCAGCAATACTACAGACTTGTCAGATATTTCTGCAGAAAAAGTGAATACAAAGTGGGCTACGATATTGGTGTTCATGAGATGTTAGAAGTCAATGAAATAATGTCTATTTATTCTTTCTTCTCCTGCTAAGATCCTCAACTCCCCCCACTTTTATCACTTTATTGTTGGCTATGAAACTTATTTTATTTCCTGGAATATAATCATTCTGTTTTACAGAATCATAGGCAATGTGATCAGATGGATTTTTGAGTCAACTCTGGAATCCACCAATTGTTAACCAACTGTATATTTGAAAAATGAAATTTTTGATGTTGATATCAAGTTTTTTATCTGGAAACTTCAGCCCCATAATAAATCTAAGGCACATACTTCTAGTGGAAAATATGAGTTATTGGAACTTTTCTAAACATTTCATAATTCAATATCAAAATGGTTCAAATACCAGATGTCAATTCGCTTCGTAAAATTTGAGTGTATCAAGAGATAAACAGTGGAACCCTATTATTTACCGGCAAATAACGCTGCTATTTTTTGCGCAAAATATCTAACAGACAAAATAGAATGGTATATTACACTAATGTAATATCCAAGCTCTACTCTTTGATTATTGCGTAAACAGCATATAGGTCGTTCATTCATTTTGTCGTAGACCAGACCATCTGATACAGATTTCTGATACAGATTTATCTGAATAAATTTGTTGCAAATGTTTGAAACTTCTGCTACATAAATTGACTAGAGGAGCGGATGAAAATATCTTCTGATTATAACGATAGATTTACGTTTACATGTATCCTTCTGCAACACATTTCAAGGTTCAGTCATAAGAAATTGTGTGATACATTTTCGCACCTTTTTTATAGGCTGTTTAAATCGCTTAATTTTTATTAAAGGTAATTTCCACAGTTGATTGAGGTCTGCTAGTAAAATACTGGAAAGTAAGAGAGATTGGACTACTATTTCGTCCCAGTTTGACACTCTTCTGTGGTACTCCCCTATGACTTCTGGATGGTGGAAGAATATGACTCCTACGTTTCGTGGTAAGCACATTACCATTAGGTAACTGTGTCGTAATCGAAGGATTTACATTCTTACACCTAACTTATTCATAAGAATTTTTATATGTATATGGATTCTAATCTAATAATCTTCACATTACTCCATTCTCGAGAAAGTTTGTTGATTTTTTTATTGAGTTTCAGCAACGAGAAGAAGAGCTGAATAATTTTACAGCCGAATTTACCAAGGAAGTTCTATTGTGGTGACAAATTGTTTTTGACCAAACAGAAGTGGCTTAAATCTCCTAGTGGATATTAGTTCAACAAGTTTTAAAATGCCTCCCGAACAGGTCCTATAGATAGGCCTAAACAACGTTTGACATCCACTTTATACCCCGTTTAATTGTTATGTCTAACTATTGAGAAGCTCGGACGACTGTTTACAGCATTCCGTTGGGTTAGGTGACTCTAACTGTTTTTGGCCCCTATTTTCAATGATCGACTAGTCCTTACTGTGTCTGTGTCATCACACGTACAGTTAAGCTAGTAAGTGCAGTTGGATCTGACTTCATCTTTCAAATCTTCCAAAGTCTTTTATGAGTACGAAGGCTTCGAATTTTCAATTATTCGAAACCTAGATGCATAATATGTTTGCTGATAGTAGCGTTAAGGCTCTTCCTGACAATCAAGCTATTCGCATCACCAGTGTATGGTAGCTTGATGAATACATCTTTCATAGGGACAGAGTAGACAGTATTTCTCAATGTTCTATCCACTTTGTGTGAGCTTATAAACTTTTGGGGGCAGAGAAAATATTTTAAAGTTACCCAGCCCATTTAATGCTGGAAATTACTGTCTTCAGTAGCTGAATATACTATTGGAACGCGGGACAAATGAAAAGTTCTGGTTATTATATATTATTTCATTAGTCTAGATTTTTTTCTCTCTTCAACTAGTTTATTTATGGATTATTATCCTAATAAATAAAAAAGCAATAATAAATTATCAGTAATTGTTTAGGTTGTACTGTTTCTGATGCCCTATGTATATTTCTTGAACATAAATTCGGTATTTGTTTGATGCTCAGGTGTTGAGAACTTCTGTCTATATCATACTTAAAGGAAATCTTCAAATTTCTTTAAACTCAAACATAATTCTCCTTGAAGAAGTTCTTTCACATTGAATTGTATGATGGCTTCCAAAAATCACTTACAAATGTTCAAGGTAATGATTGCTAATGTTTTTAGCCTAAGCATGAGGACACTGAAATCTACCAACCATTTTTCATAGTGGCATAATTCCAATACTTATGATATTGAGAGTTGTGTCGAATATTTACAGCTGACTTCAGGTATCGATGTTCGGAGTGAGTTGCTGTCTCAGCTAGGGTTTTAATTGACAAAAGTTCGCTTCAGACAGCTTTGCAATGTAGCTCTGGTGCACTGATACTGAAGTCTAGCATGATATTGAAACGTTGACCAACTAAAAGCCTAGCTCAAACAGAGAACAATTCACTCTGAACACTTATGATACAGTTTTATTTAAGTATCCACAATTATAGGCAGCTTAAACAAATATATAATAAAACAATGATCTACTTACTGTGACATTTTGAAGTATTGCTGGACCACGAATTTTGATTAATTCTAATGCATGATAAGCGTTATTAGCAAAAATGACATTGTTCAAAATTGGTGGATAAGGACTTGAGCTTAAAGCAGCAGAATAACAGTATGATTCGTTTACACCTTTTATGTAAAATCATGAACGGTATGAAAAGGAGCATAGTTAATAATTGTGAAGTACTAATAATCTTGATCAAACAAGGGAAACGTCCGATTGAAATATAAAGTAGAGAGAAGACAGTTTGAATGACGACAGCTTCTCCTTATCGATGATAAAATTTGTTGAAGTTTAAAAGTTTTATGTATAATCATTGCCTACAAGTCATACCATTTCAAGTCTGATTGTCTTTGAGTGCAGAAGAAATGTGTTTAGTATTGTTCTTGTCATAACTTCACTTATTTCATTACAGAAAAATTATTAATGGTTTGTCAGACGTGTATTAATACTAAGCGATGACTGAAGATGAAATGAAAATCTCGGCTGTGCTAAGATTCAAACTAAAAACCTCCCAGTCAGTCGTCATCCAGTATTATCCCTTTGTTTATAGAACTTGTTTCTATCTTCACTTTCTTGTTTCGCCCAGGTTTTATGTTAATACAGTAATATTTACTTATTCTTCAAAAATAAACTGTTACGTGTTATCGGTGGTCAAAAATACATTTATACAGCTTTAGTAAATAATATCGTCAAAAGGGGAGTTTTCTACCACTGAATCCCAATCAAACTACACAGATCTCACTGAGGTTTTTTTTATGACTGCAAAGCTTATTGGTTTCTCCTCCTTAATTGATTATTTGAGCTTGCAGGTGATGTAGGCAATAGGATAGTGTAGACAAGTCGGTTATCACAGAGCATTTAATTAAGAGATCCAGTACTTAATAGTTAACATGCACTGAGGTTTGTCGATCAGGTTTACAATTTAGAATACGAATGTATGAAGGCAAACACCTGACGTAAAGACATTATCAAGTTTATATCAGATAGAGTATAGGTTGTCAAAGTTATGACTGACACTCTGCAAGATAAGATTTCTGGCATGAAGTGATGACTAGTTGGTTAATAATGTCAGTTAACTGAATACTACAAACTAGGAAATACTTAAATAGTAGGCCTTCAGTGTAGCTATGCGATCTTTGTAGATTTTATTTCGTATTCACCAATATTTTATGGTATAGTTAATTAGGCTTCAAAAAGGATTCTTTCCTAACAGAAAATAATTCAGAAATGAAGGTTATCCTTTCAAAGAAACATTTTCAGGAGCTGTTCTATCACATTTTCTCGTGAACTTCTTTGTAGGTTATCTTTTGGAGATTCAAATGGTTATCTTTTATCCGGTCTATGTAACCAGCAGGATATGAGCAACTGAATTGGAAGACAAATGAGCTTGGCTCAATACTTGAACATCTGATAAATTCTGGTCACTTCGTTTCACCAGAGCTTCCTTCGAAGTCTTTAACGTAGTTAAGTCAAGCATGTAGAAAGCAGTATAGACTCACATTAAAAGATAACAGAAACTTTAGTAAGTCATTTGTATAAACTTGATCCATTTTCAAAAGAGTTAAATTCAGTTTTTCATTTCACTATGGTAATCATTTTTATATGACCCTTTTTTATTTCACAGTTAGGAGTTAATATTCTTATAATCTTCATGTACAGCTGATAGAAATAATTATTTAACAATAAAATAATGTTTAATGAATTACCATTTGGTAGGTTTTCGTGACAAGATGGAACTTTTTCTAGTCTCCTATTTTATGTTTGTAACCGATGAAATCATTGATGTATAACATTTCATCAGTCAATTTTAATGTGAAATGTGCAATCACAAAGAATCGCTAACTCTCCAAGCTTCAGTTTGCATTCTGTTGACTATAAATGCAAAGGGAATAGACCGTTGGAATTGTCTGCCTTGCACTCATGCTTTTGATGATATAAAAATATGTAGATTTGACCGTTCAAACATGTGTATGTTTGAAGTGAAAGAAAACGAAACTAGAGAAAAACAGTATTGGTCCCCATATGTGGCATAGTTTTAGCTGTATAATTTCTAACACTAGAAAGAATCTGGAATTAAAAGTGATTTCCGCTTGTTCACAATAAAGTATTGAAGGCCAGCATGTGTTTACAACTTACTGTATAAATGACGAGTGATGAGATTGATTTTCAAGGCATTCTCGTTTTTTTTATACCTTAAGTAAAATAGCCTTTTAACTATTGTCTCAATACTCCTTTGGTGAAAAAACATATCAGTCATGGTTAGTTAAAAAAAGGCAACAGATTTCTACTTACCTGCAAACTGGATATCAACATATTCAAAAACGGAGGCAGACACATTTAGACGTGTATTCCCTTGACTTCCACCCCATTCCTCAGGAATACTGATTTCCTTATGAGTTGCATTAAAAATCTCTATTCCTTTCCAGAATCCAAAAAAACGTTTCCTGTTAACACCCCAACATTTGAAACTGACCAAATCTTGTAAGTCTGATCATAAAATGAATATATATAAAATATATGGGAGATAAAATAAATTGTTGAAAAACTTTCATAAATCAATTTAGCCTACTCATTAGTAGAAAAAATGATTTTAAGGCTTTTTAGAACTTCTTTTATGCTTGGAGATATCCAAATTTATGCCTCAAATAAATGATTTTAGATAACAAATCGACATAATTATTTGTAAATATTTAAAATTGATAATCGTCGCATACAGCCTACAAACACAGGTCTACGTTTTTTTCAATGATTTGGAACAGGACGCATAATTTCCAAGCATTGTTTTTATCAAACCGCCATAAGCTCTCTTCCTACCTAACCTTATTCCAGTTAAAATAGTGGCCTAGGGAAAACACTGACTGAGTCTATGCTTTACGAGACCCACCTAGCCTGTTCACTGATAGTCATAAATCTTATCAGCTGAGTCTTAGTTCTTACCTAACCTACCTAATACGTCGAACTTGTACATTTGTCATACGGCAGTTTCACCGTATTTAAGTGATTGTTATGAAATCAACATCAGTTGAATGTCATGGAACTTCCTTAATTTCTTCCCGTTAAACTTGCAATTGACCGTATTTTGAGTCAATTCAGTTTGAAGGTTTGTTTTCATTGATTGATTTCAAGTTGGTCGGTTTTCATCATGTAGTGACATCAGCTGAAAAAAGTGGGAGCATTCGACAAATTTTTCATTCTAGTATGGAACTTCTCAGCATTAAACTTCTATCACTCCACCAGGAATCGAACTTAGGATCATCGCGTTTGACGGCGAACGAAATAAATAAGATCCCCATAGACCTCAAACTATATTGCTGTATAATGCTTATTGGTGGAATGCTTTTAAATGGATACCCTGAAATTCTGATGAGAAGCTCTGACCTGCATTGTCAACCAGCGGAAAAGGAAGCGTATGCCAACTAAATAAATTGTTGGATAGTTATACTGTAACGCGAATCACCAGGGGGAGGAAGCTGTGAACCACTGAACTTCAACCTGTTGACTGAATGGTTAACGCGTTCGCCGTGGAACCTGAAGGTCTTGAGTTCGACCCGTAAGTGGTCGTGCCAACACGTCACTGAGTTCCGTGTTAAGACGAGTTAACTGTCCTATGCTGTAAAGTTTTCAGTAGTTCTCCAAGTGATGTCACTCCATGATCAATACTACCTCAAAAATAAATAACTCCCCACAAACCGCAAAACTAAACTCGACTGGAACATATTTTCATAAAAATGAAACCCTGTCATAGATTTCAAAGACGGAAAATATATGGAATTCAATTCATTCTCTGTATATGTCAATAGTTCTGTAACTATGATTGAATTATTATTAATAATCACTGAAATTTTCGAAGTTTACATAAGTTTGTTTTTCTGTCCATCTGTATGCCAGTAGTTGGATGTTAGTTATCATACGTTAAAGTTACAGCACTGTCTAAAATCACCTGGTTCTAAGGCATGCATGATTCATTTATTCACCATCCACACATGCCTGATTTTATTTTTGTGCAGATTTACTCATAATATGCTTTTTCAATCGTTTCACATTCTCATATTCTCTTTGTCACAAAAAGCACATATACATAAATCCACCAACAGTCATCTATTCTCATTCATTTGTTCGCTTAAGGTGATCAATTCATGCACAACATGTGACTAACGCATTATCTAGCACCAGTGTTCAATGCATATGTAATCAATGAAAATATGCGTCTAAATGGATTAGAACCAAACGGCCCTTAGGCATCGATTACATTATGAGACAATGTCCTAATTAATATTCACTAAATTGGAAGAAAACTTATGGCCATTTAATGAATAACTGGTCAAATAAAAGGGGCATCACAAAAAGTTGAAATTAGAAAAGGTCAGCTAGTTAGGTTAGAAGTTAGATTTTATATTAACAGAAAATCCTTAAAAATTAAAATGAAATTTCGATCGAGTAGGCAGCAGGGTGTCATAGCTCAGTTGATAGGGCACTGAGACGGCAACGTAGAGGCCACTGGTTCAATCCTACCGAAACTTTGATTTTCAAACCACAGTCAATCATTGGCTAGTATCAATAATGAAAGACTGTCAAACAACGATTATATTATGTAGTCGATGATAAATTTGTCAAAGTAATTCACCCAGTAATGTTGCAAAACCAGGTGGCATGAAGTTGTTGAAAAAACAATTATAGAAATTTCTAGGCTCCTCAAAAAAGCAATATATTCTTCATATAGTTGAAGAGTGGCTACTGAAGAAATTCGGATGATACATTGTGCCCAATAACCAAAATGGTATCTGGGAAGAGATAAACGCAGATGAAACCAATGAAAGATAGTGAAGGAAACCTAGTTACCGCCAAAGAGCAGAAACAAAAAAAACGATGGGCTGACCACTTCAAAAAAACTCTTCAATCGATCGCCAAACAACACCACCACCATCACCTACAACGCGTTCAGAAATACCACCAGCAGCCCAGACACAGAATTACCAGTGAACAAAAGCCCACCGACAAAAGCAGAAGTTCTGAATGCCATTAAACTGATGAAATCCAGGAAAGCATGAGGACAAAATAGAATCCCACCAGAAGCACTGAAAACAGATGCAGAGACAACAGCAAACATGCTCACACCACTACTGCAGAAGGTTTGCAATGAAGGAAAGCTACCTGTCGACTGATTAGAAGAAGGGCCACATTGTCAAACTCCCAAACAAGGGAGACCTAAGTCTTTATTTACAAGAACAATAACTGGCACGGAATCATGCTCCTGTCCACCCCGAACAAAACACTAAACCACATCATCCTGGAGAGACTAAAAGATGCACCGGATTCCAAATTACAACCAGAACAGGCAGGCAGGCAGGTAGGCAGGCAGGCAGGCTGGCTGGCTGGCTGGCTGGCTGGCTGGCTGGCTGGCTGGCTGGCTGGCTGGCTGGCTGGCTGGCTGGCTGGCTGGCTGGCTGGATTCAGGAAACAGAAATCATGGTAGCATCAAATTGCAACGCCACGCTACACATCATCATACAACAGAGTATAGAATGGCAGTCAACTCAACTCTACCTCAAATTCATGAACTTTGAAAAGGCCTTCAACAACATCGACCGACAAGGAATTTAGCAGGCAGCTGCTTCAACACTACGGTTTTAGTGCCACAAACCTTGATCAACCTCATTCAACAGCAACAACATATGACGACGCCACATGCCAAGTGATTCACAACACAGTGGAAAGATCAGTGATGTGTTTGAAGTGAAGACAGGGAGCATTAAGGCATGGCTGCCTACTGTCATTCATGATCTCCCTGATTGGGGTCAACTGGACTCGACTGGACTGGACTGGACTGGATCATGCAACAAACTGTGAGGAGCTGTGAGAAGATGGTCAAACGCTGGCTGGACTGATGAAAAGACCTCAGGAGAAGATCTGGATCTCGCCAACGATGATGATTTGTGTCTAATGACTTGTAGTACAAACTCGAAGATCTACAGGCGAAAACCAACAAGTTGACAGGAGAGTGGATGTAGCGAGGACGGGACTTCAAGTGAACATAGAGAAGATGGAGGTGATGAAGATACTCAACCAACAACAACAACAAACACCAATCAACATTAACAGGAGAAACCTGAAGTAGGTAGTCTCTTTCACCTACCCACATTGACAGCATCGTTTCAACCACAGGCGGCCCATGCACAGACAAGGATGTCAAAGTCAGAATCAGAAAAGCAAGACAGGCCTTCCTTCATTAATCTGAAACCAGTGTGGAGATCTTGTGCTGTCAGCACGAAGAACAAGATCCAGATTTTCAACACCAATGTCAGTCAAGTAAGTCTTGCTTCTATGTGATGGTTGAGAGACTCGGTGACGCGTTACGAAAAGCACTACACACATTCGTCAACAGCTGCCACGTACGCTCACTCGATACTGAAGATCAGATGGCCAGGATAATAAAAAGCAATGAGGAGCTGTGGCCGGCAACGAACCAACCGACCAAGAAGCTGTTGCCCAGCAAATATGCAGAAGAAATTGGAGATGAATTGGCCATACACTGAGGGGATCGATTGGGGTTTCAAGTACCAGGCCCTCGAGTGGGACCCATATGGGAAACAACCGGTTGAGCGTCCTAGCCTGACATGCAGGAGATGTTGTTAGGAAGAAATGGAAGCTTCGTGTCAGTGGTGGAGCCAGATTGAAAAGACTGCAGATAGGCGAGTGGAATGGAGACGTGCTTCTACTGTCTCAAATTCGACTTGAATCCAGCCTTATTTACCCTACCAATCGAAATAATTACTATAGTGGCTACTTGTTCAGCAGGTATAAGCATTTATTGAAGTTTCAAGTTTTAATTTTGTCCTTTTAATGTCTAAAAATACATGGCTCATAAACCTTTGCTTATTTGATGGTGGTTAGCAAGTAAATCGAAAATGATTAGTAAATCACATTCGTTGAATTAAGCTCAGCTACAATTGTTAAAGGAGAATAAAACAAGATCAGTATTCTGAATTCTTTTGCCATCTGCTTTAAAGATATGACTGAAGGCATCATGCTCCGGTATGTATAGTAGGCTGATATGTGGACTGAAACTGATCTATTAATGTAGGGGTAAGGTTAAGGGACTGTGGTTGACTGTATTTTTATTCTAGTCTGTTTACTGGATGTGTCACAGCGATACCGCTGTGGAAATAATTTATTGTGCGTAGTCATATCAAGTAACTCCTCAACTTTGAGACATGGTTTATGTAGTTCTAATTCTCTTTTCTTCTTTGCCGTAAGAATGGTGGAATTTTCCATACATTTGGAACAGATGTAGAACCATTTTTCATTGCATGTTTTTATGTTGATTAGATAGGCAAGAATTCGACTATCGATCTCTTCCTTCATCGCTTTCAGTCAGAACTTAATAGTATCTCAGCGTCCTACCGAAATGTGTGATTATGTACTGTCACAGGATATAGCCGAGCTTTCCTCTAGATTTCTTATCTTAATACGATTTACTAATCTTAATTTAGCTGATATTTGGGACTCAGACATCCTAATTGGCCCTGATCAGCTATTTTAATCTATGCATTTGACCTCCAAGTCATTGCAAAGGGTTTAGCAAACTGAGTTATTTTGTGTAATTAAATCAAAATTACCAATTCGCTGCTACAGATTAAACGAAAAGGAATCCAAAGTCTCATTACCTCTTGATACCAGTTGTCATATGACCGTGGTAAAACTAGTTGTTACCTTCGATAAACAGTTGGATTTTCCGTGAAATAAAAGAATATGTGTTTAAGAGGTAAGAACAGATTTGCAGCTTAAGAGGATGAACGGCCGGCTATTTCAAATGCAAATACTTAGTATTCATTCAAACTAAACATAATGATCTGGAAAGAAAATTTAATTTATTCGAATGATAGTACACTCTGTTCAAAACAGAATACCAACTAGCAGATATCACAGGTTATTAAGAGCGTTTACCGTCTTCATTTTCTTAGGTGAGTTAAGTTGAATAGATGAAAGGTAATGCAAAAGATAAGCTTGCTATCCGTCATAAACTATGCAATGTTTGAAGTGTTGAAAGAATTTTCACTGTCTCAATGATTCAGACCTCTATTATCCATTACTTCCCTTAGTTGATGTTTTTTTCAGAATATTTGATACCAATGAATCCTGTGGCATGTGTATGAACTAACTATAACCTAGCATAGTACATAAACTAGATGAAATCAGTACAAAGTAACATTGCATGTTGAAAAGCTAATCCTTAGTGTGACTATCTGAAATAGTCAGTGTTTAGAAAACTGGTATTACTGATAAATGTAGTGACTGAAGGTAAATTGGAAACCTGGGTCATAACAAGATTCAACTCGGTGTTCATCGAATGCCAGAAAAGCTCTCTATCAGCTGAGAAATGACACTCAACTACTTACATACTGGTCCTATAGCTAATTATCAAGTAAATAGTGTGACTCGATAATACTTCACAAGTAGTAAAAAGTGACTTTTTCACTATCTTCTGGTAGGTGGTGACAAGACTTTTGAACAGTGAGATACAAACTCTTTAAACAGAATGAATCCATTCATTGCAAAAAAAGTGGTTGAAAGGGATACAAGTTTACATAATTATTAAACGATTCAAATCATGAAATGTTGTTGAATGGTAACTATAACAGCAGTTTGGTAAATATTTAACTAAACTTCACAGAAAGGGAGTCAAGTCACTCATATTCTATTATTCTGTGTTGAAATTCTCTTTCATATGTATTAAAGGGTTCTAGACTGTCATAGAGTTGACATTAAGATTATTAGTGGTTGCACTAAGAAACTCTAAATTATCTGTTCCCAGTGACCTTGTGATGACGATTTGGTTCACAACGTGATACATGATTTTTTCTTATCATGAAAACTCAACACCATTTCGTTTCCATACAGATAGTTGAGAATCTTGTTTCATCAACTTCCCTTCAGGTGTTACAATCAAAAGGTTGAAATGATGCTTACGTGTTCGAAATGGAGCACTCGTTGACATATCACTCGCTTGATAACTGATTTAAATAATTTTTCGTTATTCGCTCTTATGATTTGTTTCCGAAATATGATTGACTCATCTGTTCAGCGAGGTTACCCATCTTAATGCTATGTTGTTCATGTAGCAGTCTCCGTTAATTTTCTCTTGATAAGAACACTAAAATTTCTAATGCACATACATGTTAAGTTTTGATATGCGTTATTTACACAATTTTCATTTGTGTAAGTTCCTGTTCTGTCATGTATTTATATGCTGAACTTATCCACTATTTGACTTTTCTCAGATATATAAGAATACTCTCCTTCGGCTACTGAGTCAATCGGCGTCAACATGAGATGAAGCATTTCAATTTAAGGAACAAATTTAACTATTGAAGTTCGACTACTGTATTCATAAATACCCTAGCTACCTTGGTAGTAATTACGTAGAATACGTTTTCACTTCGTTTACCCCTTATTTTCCTATCTATCACAGCATTGATTGTATCTAATTCAAGTTTCATTTGATAAACATCAAAGTGAGACCCAAAATTATGATGTAGCGGTCCAAGTTGCCATACTTCATGCCTACACATTAATCGAGAAATGAAGTGATGGAAAGGTAGGAAAATAAGCAACAAAGCAGTCAAAATTGGTAGAAAGGTATGAGAAGAGAACAAGGAGGAGTGAGCTAATAATCACATTCAGTGTGACAGTTAACATGAGTACAATGTGTGCATAAACACGCGTCATAACTAACTGTATCAACCACATTAGCTAGAGGCTGCGACCACTGGCTTCGGTTGTCAAGTGCACCCCAATCAAGAAATCAGCATTCTCCAACGTAGATCAGACCAAAAACAGGTTTCTTACACTGATGCTGTGTTTCAGTCTGATCACCTCAAACCATTCTTTGGTATAAATCTACATCAACTAATAATGGCTGGGAATTAGTAACAAATATCCCAGCAACCGGAGTAGATGATGATTTGCAAACTCATCAGCCGATATCCATCTTCTGTAAAAAAGCACACACCTAATCTTTACGTTGATGACGTTTTGCTACTGTTGTCTACCCTATGTAGCCTCATTCAAATACGTGTACGAATATTCTACGGACCAATATCATATCAAGACTGAAACTAATTTTGTTTATGTGCATTAGATATCAAACAATCCCATTAATTAGAACTTTTCAAAACCTTTGGCGTTTGTTTTCTAGCTTACATGTTATTGTTGTGGGCTTTGCGGGTGGCTTTTGGTTAGGATAGGAACGATAAAACTCTGATCGAACAGAAGTAATATCTACCAGCGTTATCCGCATTGAGATTAGAGCTTATTTGGGTCTGTTACCGTTCCGCATTCAGGGGATAAAAATTACACGACTCATGGCATAGGCTACAACGCTAACGGCTGTCCAGGACATGAAACTTGCCCATGTTCTTAAACTTTAATAGTTAGGGTTAGGGTATGGCGGTTAACATAGTCATGGTAACTACTTTTATTCCAGCCACTGTCCAACAGAACGTTTGTTGTATGGTGGGACCTCAGGGAGACAATTGCTACACTAGCATAGCTAGTTGAGTCACTACTGCTACTACTTATTGAAGAAAAACCTATGTGCATTACATTTAAGATGTTATCTTATATTTAACTTTCATAAGGTGCAAGTAGCTGAAGATGTGCTGATGCAGTTAAAGGATATAATGCTAGCTTGACCAATCTGTTATTTTTTCTCCTCTGAATGAAGATCGTTTTCGGTCAGTAAATTGACAGGTTATCGAGTGTTTCTTGTCTTTGATCCATTCTAGTTTGATCTACGGTGAATAGGATTTACCAGAATGACAAACGGTAAAGTATTTTTTAACAATATAAAACACAAAGGAAGCAGTCAGTCGTTGAAATAAGAGTAATCAGAAATAAATTCAGATTACATAACTTTAGCTGAAATATTGATCTCCAACTATCTTCATTTGATGAGTGCAATTAGTGGAAAGAAAAATTCTATAAGGTAATGTATCCAGGATCCAGTTGTCAGTTTGCTCTTATGGTCCAATCGGTAAACCGCTGTTTCAGTAATCTAGAAGTTACTTGTATGCATTTCATCCTGGCTTGCGTCTTATTTGAATATTAATAACCAGCTTTGTATAAGAACCAAACTTAATACTCAATCTTTTCATGGGACTTCGTAACAGCTATGTTATGGATATTTATAACTCAATTTATTAGTGTTCACTTCAAGCAAACGGTTTTTGGTGTAATAGAAGTATTTTAGTGATTAGTATAATCAGCGATAAACTTCTCACCAGTAAGTTGAAGAGAGAAGAAAGGGTATCGAATTCAACAAGAAAAAAAACATGAGGAGCGCAACTAGACAGCGTAAATTACTGCCGTATGGCTTCAACTTACAATCAAGGGCATCCGATTACTTGACTAGAGGAGTTATTTGTTGGCAGATTGATTCTGACAGATTGGAGATTGTTCCAATTGAAACAGCAGCCTGTTTTGTCACTAGAACAAACTAAATATTTGCTTTATCCTATTCAGAATGAGAACCTTTTCTAAAAATGATATCTATGAATTATTCAGTCTGTTACGAATAAGTTTTGACAGATGCTTATCTAAATGAAAAAAAGTGGTTGGGATTTTTGTAGCTCAGGTGGATTATCCTTGTTATGTTGCATTCACTGGGGTAGGTGGATTAGACAATATCATCAGCACTTACTTTAATATGAAGTGAGTCGTCGGCATTTCTCCAAGAGTGAATCGATAGCCTGTCCTGAAAAAGTAGTTTTTGATTGGCAGTTTCCTCGAATTATTGCGTCTTTAAATGCATATATTTTGTTGTTAGTTGTATTTCTGCGCTTCTGGATTCAAGAATGTGCATCTGTTATCATCAGTTATACTACTTGTATTCCGTTTTGTTCAACCATTCTCTATCCAATAGAACAGTCAGTCGGTGGTCTTTATCTTACACTCTGGCAGAACACTCTGGCTAGTGGAGAAAGAACAGTTCTTCTCTCAAGGAAGATTGCCTCTTAAAGATTAAATCATTTGCTTACATAAATATATATACATGAACAGCTTAGGAAAGAAGAATTAATGTGAATATACTGGTTTACTACTGAATAGTTAGGAGGCATAACTAATGGGATGAAGCTAAAGATTTCCGGTCAGTGGGTTCGAACCTTACATCATTTACTGAATTTTGTGTGTAGTCAGATAGTAAGTACCTTAGAATTAGGAAAATCGATTTTTCTTTTTATATGGTACATGAACACACATCCATTTGTTAGGTTACACTATACTAGTTGAGTGTCAGTTATAGTTTATACTGCTGAATAAATTCTTTGCATCAAGTCTACAATTCCACAGGTCAACAGAGTTGATTAAATACAATATTACAATCATTGTTCATAATATCCTTTCTTGGCTTAAGCGGACCTGAATGTATACTGAATTATGGGAAAATATTTTTTTCTAAAAAGAAGAGGCAATAACTTACGGCATATATTCCTTCCATAGATGATATTTTGCTTAAATCCAGGACAAGAAAACAAGCCAAACTCATTGTTGGATTCATCACCTGAGCAGTTAGGATTACGAAGTCTTATACTTGAAATCTGATTAAGTGATTGTGGACCAAGAGAAAAATTTCCGTCAGCATACCCAAGTTGTTGACAAACTATACGAGAGTCTATTTTACTCCATCTGTTGTTCAAAGCAGATAAGAAACAAATTATTGAAGAAGTTCAGTGTTTTGAAACTTTCCAAACTGAAAAATAGAGATTAATTCACCACTATCTTCTTGTGAGATGGTTTAAAAAGTTGTATAATATGATGGCCTAATAGATTTTGGAATATAATTTGTGTGAGAATAATTTATATTGTGAACCAAAGTCAGGTGTGCGATTACTTTAAAAGCTTAGAGGAGATAGATGCCTACCACTTCATTCTTGTCAGAGTTCTCTGAATTTGTTAAGTAAACTTTTTGAAGTTAGAAGAGTGATAATATGTTGTATCGTTTAACCTCATGAAGCAAGTCTACTTAATCAAAATTTAACTAATAAATCCCTGTTCTGAGCCTATCCAAGTTTAGACAACCATTTAGTAATTGCAGGGCTCCTACATTATATATGTGTGCTGGCAAGTGATTACTGATTATTATTATTTATTATTTTTCCCATGGGTTCCTAGTGGAATATACGGCTTCAGTAGCATGCCTCCATTGCACTCTCTTTCCTGCAGTTTTTCCGACCTGGCTCCACCACTCCCCACAGGCTTTCATTTCTTTCTAACACCATCTCCTCTATGTCACCCTCAGCTGGGACGCCAGATTCGTAGTTTCCCGTTTGGCTTCTACTCGACGGTGTGGTCTAGTGAGTGATGTTCCCAGTCGGCCTTCTCAGTGTATGCTCAATACATCTCCACTTCCTTCCAATGCATATTTCTTGAGCGATAGGTTCTTGGTTGGTTCGTTGTCAGCCAGAGCTCCCTGTTGCTTATTCTTTCTGGCCATCTGATCTTCAGTATCGAGTTAGAGTAGGCAGCAGTTGATGAATGTCTGTGATTTGTAGGAGATACTTTTCGTGACGCCTCAAGTTTCTGAAAAAACACATAGAAGCACTGACTTCCTTGACTGACACTGATGTTAAAAATCCGGATCTTGTTCTTCGTGCTGACAGCAGAAGATCTCCACACTGGTTTCAGATTAGTGAAGGAAGGTCTGTCTTGCTTTACTGATTCTGACTTTGACATTCTTGTCTGTGCATGGGCCGCCTGTGGTTGAAACGATGCTGTCAATATGGGTAGGTGAGAGAGACTACCTCCTTCAGGTTTCTCCTGTTAATGTTGATTGGTGTTTGTTGTTGATGTTGATGTTGATGTTGTTGTTGGTTGAGTATCTTCATCACCTCCATCTTCTCTATGTTCACTTGAAGTCCCGTCCTCGATACATCCACTCCCCTGTCAACTTGTTGGTTTTCGCCTGTAGATCTTCGAGTCTGTGCTACAAGTCATTGGACACAAATCATCATCGTTGGCGAAATCCAGATCTTCTCCTGAGGTCTTTTCATCAGTCCAGCCAGCGTTTGACCATCTTCTCACAGCTCCTCACAGTTTGTTGCATGATCCAGTCCAGTCCAGTCCAGTCGAGTCCAGTTGACCCCAATCAGGGAGATCATGAATGACAGTAGGCAGCCATGCCTTAATGCTCCCTGTCTTCACTTCAAACACATCACTGATCTTTCCACTGTGTTGTGAATCACTTGGCATGTGGCGTCGTCATATGTTGTTGCTGTTGAATGAGGTTGATCAAGGTTTGTGGCACTAAAACCGTAGTGTTGAAGCAGCTGCCTGCTAAATTCCTTGTCGGTCGATGTTGTTGAAGGCCTTTTCAAAGTTCATGAATTTGAGGTAGAGTTGAGTTGACTGCCATTCTATACTCTGTTGTATGATGATGTGTAGCGTGGCGTTGCAATTTGATGCTACCATGATTTCTGTTTCCTGAATCCAGCCAGCCAGCCAGCCAGCCAGCCAGCCAGCCAGCCAGCCAGCCAGCCAGCCAGCCAGCCAGCCAGCCAGCCAGCCAGCCAGCCAGCCAGCCAGCCAGCCAGCCAGCCAGCCAGCCAGCCAGCCAGCCAGCCAGCCAGCCAGCCAGCCAGCCAGCCAGCCAGCCAGCCAGCCAGCCAGCCAGCCAGCCAGCCAGCCAGCCAGCCAGCCAGCCAGCCAGCCAGCCAGCCAGCCAGCCAGCCAGCCAGCCAGCCAGCCAGCCAGCCAGCCAGCCAGCCAGCCAGCCAGCCAGCCAGCCAGCCAGCCAGCCAGCCAGCCAGCCAGCCAGCCAGCCAGCCAGCCAGCCAGCCAGCCAGCCAGCCAGCCAGCCAGCCAGCCAGCCAGCCAGCCAGCCAGCCAGCCAGCCAGCCAGCCAGCCAGCCAGCCAGCCAGCCAGCCAGCCAGCCAGCCAGCCAGCCAGCCAGCCAGCCAGCCAGCCAGCCAGCCAGCCAGCCAGCCAGCCAGCCTGCCTGCCTGCCTGCCTGCCTGTTCTGGTTGTAATTTGGAATCCGGTGCATCTTTCAGTCTCTCCAGGATGATGTGGTTTAATATTTTGTTCGGGGTGGACAGGAGCATGATTCCGTGCCAGTTATTGTTCTTGTAAATAAAGACTTAGGTCTCCCTTGTTTGGGAGTTTGACAATGTGGCCCTTATTCCAATCGGTCGACAGGTAGCTTTCCTTCCTTGCAAACCTTCTGCAGTAGTGGTGTGAGCATGTTTGCTGTTGTCTATGCATCTGTTTTCAGTGCTTCTGGTGGGATTCCATTTGGTCATCATGCTTTCCTGGATTTCATCAGTTTTATGGTATTCAGAACTTCTGCTTTTGTTGGTGGGCTTTTGTTCACTGGTAATTCTGTGTCTTGGCTGCTGGTGGTATTTCTGAACGCGTTGTAGGTGATGGTGGTGTAGTTGTTGGCGGTGGTCGATTGAAGATTTTTTTGAAGTGGTCAGCCCATTGTTTCTTTTGTTTCTGCTGTTTGGCGGTAACTAGGTTTCCCTCATTATCTCTCGTTGGTGTCGTCTGCGTTTATCTCTTCCCGAATAGTAGCCTGGTTATTTGATATAATGTTAGCAGGCCTCTGTCTCTCCTACCTGCAGCCTGTTCTGCTTCGCTTGACAATGTGTCAGAGAAGTGTGTCTTGTCTTTGCGTGCATTCTTCTTCACTTCTTTGTCAAGTGTTGTGTTTTATGTGTTTCTTCAGTTTCTCTTTTCTTTGTTCGTCTTTACATTGCACTGCACTGGTCCATCTTCTACTTCACTATCTTCTCCTCACTCCTCCGTGAGCTTTCATGTTTCCATGGAGATCCATTCCTTGTCTTGTCTTGCTACTTCTTTCCTCTTGGCATGATTATGCATGTTTCCTTCCGTTTTTTTTCAAAGAGTTCCAGTGTTCTTCCACACAGACTTCTTCAGTGATGTTGCCTAATGTCTCCCATTTTTTACTGATGACTGACGTGAAGATGCCATTTGAAGTTTCGTCCTTCAGTTTATGTTCTGAGTGTTCAGTTTTGTTTGTCGTCTATCACCAACTTCTTTTAAGTCTTTCAACTTGGTTTTCAGGGCAGGTTCCTTGCTTTAGATAGTGAGTGGTGTGAACCTACAACTTGTGTCCGGTAGTCAGCGTCTCCACTTTTTTCACATTGAGATGAATTTGATCTGGTCTTTAGTGTGCGCTGGTGTCTGGTGAAATCAAATCCATGTCGCTTTGTGAATATCCTTGTGTTTGTACACAGTGCCTCCAATCGCCAAATAGTTGAGTGCACAGAATTCTGCAAACAGTTGTCCATTCCCGTTCATCATTTCAACGAGCGCTTCTCGACCCATGATGAGTTTTCTTTCTGCGTTGTCCGCTCCCAGTTTGGCATTCATGTCACCCCAACAGTTAGAATTTTGATGTCGCCATCTGGGGTGGAGTCTTGTCTGGTACTGATTGCAGTTGTCTGTAGAATTCCTCTTTCTTCTCTTGATCTGGATTATTTATAGGTGCGTAGCGTAGCATTGTATGGTTGTAACTTTCTTGGCTTTTGAGTTGAACCTTGCTGTTATGATCCTGGAGGAGATTGGTTCCCACTGCATGATAGGGAGCTTTTGATGATCTTGGGAACATCATGATAGCCACTCCAAAACTCAGTGTACTCGTGGTTGTCGTTTGGCTGACAACATCGGAGTAGATTATCGACTCTCCAGTTGACAGCTGAGACAGTCCACTTCCATTCTGTCTGCTTTTGCAGATTCCTAGCACTTCAATGCTATACCTTCACATGTCTGGGCAGCTTTGCCAGCCAGCTTCAAACTTGGTGTGAACATTTCATTTCTATATTCTTACTTTCGCTTTCGTCAAGAGAAGATATATCGGTTGACTGGCTTCCCAAATGCTTTCACCAACCGGCGTCATTTTATCTCTCCGATTACAGCGAGGAATATGTTTAACTTTATGTTTTATATTTTCTTTGTGCTTCGAAGTTTTTTAGCGATTTGATTGGTTTTACGGGGTAGGGTTGCTAGCCCTATGCCCAACCTACCCTCTTTATCCGGGTTTAGAACCGGCCAGTAACTAGTGAACTAGTTAACCAGGCGAATTGCTGAGATAGTGGAAATTGAAAATTTCAAACCACGATTTTGCGTTCAAAGTAAGTGCGTAAAACACCGTACTTTTATATGGCCATCATCAAAGTACCTTCAACCTGGATAATTTTTCTCGTGATTCAGTATATTTCAGTTTCTAATTCTTCGCTTATTTTCCTATTCTAAATCTCTGTGTGATTTGGCTTTTTATTATTGTCCAGTGCGTTTTCTGTGCTACAGCTGTCGTTTCCTTCTAGACCGTCAGTCTTATAGTGTACACCTTTCTTAGCACCTATCAGCCAATATTGTCATTATGATTGTATTGAGATCTGAGATGGTACATGTCTTTGAACTGATACCTTGAGCTTGTATGCTCTTTTAAATCACTGCGTTGACAGTTTTAGCAGGTGGCTTGATTTTTTTCGATCGTGGACATTCGAATTAATACAGTCTCACTGTATATGCTGTTTTACTGACAAGGATATAAGAAACGAGTTGTTTTTGGATATTTTTATCCTCATTTAGGTTGAATTCCTTCAAATTTCTATATGTTCTGCTTGTTTTCAGCTCTGCAAGTTAATCATCAATGCATAGACTTTACGTTTGAACAAAAAGGATTATTTCTGAACCAGACTGTAGTCACAAAAGTTGACATTTGACAAAACTACTTAGTATTCATTTGAATTAATCTAAAATGTTTCATCACATGATGAAATCGTCACCTACAAGTTTGACTAACATGATGACTAAGTTTACGAGATTAAATATTAATACTTTGAGAACACTAAATGACTACTATGTAAGATTTTTTTTACAATGAATAGGACTACTTTAGATATGAATCAAAACTTTGAATCACTAAGCTCTTTGAGAAAATAACCGGACAATTTATTTGGTAGTTTTATCTACTTCGTATTTGTCTCAATATGTAATTACTTGTCCATATATTACAGGGATACCGTAGTCTATTTGTGGTGTTTATTATATCAGTTTACAAGCTTATAGTGGAAGAGATTAGGAGAATGATGTAGACTTTAGTTATAGAGCTGTACCTATCTAATTCCGTTGATTCCCTGAAACATCTACGAAACAAACATTCCATTTATTCATTATCTAAAAGAATTTCAACAAGTAATTGTCAATTCATGTTAAACATCTAGGTGAGATGTTATCCAATCACACAAATTAAAGCTGGATTTTGGTTGATTTTTCAATATGCACATATTTAATACTACGGGATAATTCAAGAAGAAGTGAAAATCTGGGTTGCAGTAGGATTCGAGTCTGGTGCTGAGTCAAGTGACCTATTTAATGACCAAATTTCATAGCTGAGCTGGTAGAGCGATGGATGAGTAACTCAAAGGTCACTATTTCAAATCCTTCCGCTACCTAGATTTGTAATTCGCCTTTAATTATTATTATTATTATTATTAGTCCCTTGGGTTCCTAGTGGAACATAGGGCTTCAGTAGCACGCCTCCAGTGACCTCTGTTCTCTGAGATCTTTTGAACCTGGTTCCACGACAGCCCAGAAGCTCTCATTTCCTCCTCGCATGACCTCCTCCATGTCACCCTCGGACGTCCAACTCGTCGCTTCCCATGGGGATTCCACTCGAGGGCCTGACGCGTGATGTCCTCAGTCGGCCTTCTCAGTGCATGGCCAATCCATCTCCACTTCCTCCTGCATATTTGTTGCGTGATAGCTTCTTGGTTGGTTCGTTCCCAGAGTTCCTTGTTGCTTATTTTTTCTGGCCATCTGATCTTCAGCAGCGAGCGTAAGCAGTTGTTGATGAATGTCTGTAGTTTATTGGAAATCCCTTTCGTGACGCGCCAAGTCTCTGAGCCATACAAGAGCACTGACTTGACGTTGGTGTTGAAAATCCGTATCTTGTTCCAGATGCTGAGTGCAGAAGATCTCCACACTGGTTTCAGGCTAATGAACGCCTGTCTTGCTTTTCCGATTCTGACTTTGACGTCCTCGTCCGTCCCGCCTGTAGTTGAAACAATGCTTCCTAGATAAGTGAAGGAGGTTACTTCCTTCAAGTTTCTCCCGTTGACGGTGATTGGAGTTTGTTGTTGTTGTTGTTGATGGTGGTGGTGCGGTATCTTCATCACTTCTGTCTTCTCTATATTCACCTGAAGTCCCGTCTTGGCTGCCTCTTCTGTCAACTTGTTAGTTTTTGCCTGCAGATCTTCAAGTTTATGTGACATTAGGCATAAGTCATCGGCGAAATCCAAGTCTTCTAGGTTCTTTTCCGTCGTCCAGTGTATCCCCCTCTTCTCGCTGCCTACTGTTTGCTGCATGATCCAGTCCACCACAATAAGGAATATCATGGGGGATAGTAGGCAACCTTGTTTCACTCCTGTCTTCACTTCAAAGGCATCACTGAGCTTCCCATTGTGGATTACTTGGCATGTGGCATCTTCATATAGTTGTTGAATGAGGCGGATAAAGGTTTGCGGTACTCCGTAGTATTGAAGCAGTTTCCAAATTACTTCTCGGTCGACGCTGTCAAAGGCCTTCTCAAAGTCGATGAAGTTGAGGTATAGAGCTGATTGCCATTCTACGCTCTGTTCTATGATGATACGAAGCGTTGCAATTTGGTCTGCACATGATTTGTACTTCCTGAAGCCTGCCTGTTCCGGTCGCAGTTTTGAATCCAGTGCGTCTTTAAGCCTCTCCAGGATGATGCGGCTTAATATTTTACTTGGGGTGGACAGGAGAGTGATTCCGCGCCAGTTCTTGCAAGCACTGAGGTCTCCCTTCTTCGGCAGTTTGACAAGGTAACCCTTCTTCCAATCGCCAGGTACCTTCTCTTCCCTCCACACCTTCTGCAATAGTGGTGTGAGCATGTCCGCTGTTGTCTCTGCATCTGTTCTCAGTGCTTCTGGCGGTATTCCATCTGGTCCTGCTGCTTTCCCGCATTTCAGTAGCTTTATGGCGTTCAGGACTTCCATTTTCGTTGGGGGATTTATGTTCACTTGTAATTCAGCGGCTGCAGGTGGTATTTCTGGACGAAGTGCAGGTGGTGGTCGATTCAAGAGCTTCTTGAAGTGGTCGGCCCATCGTTTCCTCTGTTTCTCTTCTTTTGTAATTAAATTTCCTTCTTCATCTTTTATTGGTTTCATCTGTGTTGGTCTCTTCCCTGATAGCAACCTGGTTATTTGATACAATGTCGTCAGGTCTCTCTTACCTGCAGCCTGTTCTGCTTCACTTGCCAGTGTTTCGTAGAAGTGTCTTTTGTCTTTGCGTGCACTCTTCTTCACTTCTTTGTCCAGTGTTTTATACATTGTGCTCAGTTCCTCTTGTCGTTGAGCATCCTTGCACTGGTTTATCTTCTGCTTCACCATCCTCCTCTCCTCTATCAGCTTCCAGGTATCCGTCGAGATCCATTCCTTGTCTTCTTTCTTCTTCCTTCCTAATACTGTTGTGCAGGTTTCTTTCCACATAGCTTTCAAAGACTTCCAGTGTTCTTCCACACAGGTTTCTTCAGGGATGTCCCTCGATGTCTCCCATTTTGTCTTGATGGCTGCCTTGAAGATCTCCTTTGTAGTTTCATCCTTCAGTTTCCTAGTGTTGTACTTGAATTGAGGTCTATCACCAGCTTCCTTGAAGGCTTTTAACTTGATTTGGAAGGTTCCTTGCACTAGATAGTGGTCTGAACCTACATCTGCTCCTCTTCTTGACCTTGTGTTAAGTAGACTGCGTCTCCATTTTCTTGAGATTGAGATAAAGTCGATTTGATTTTTAGTGTGTCCATCTGGTGAAGTCCATGTCGCTTTGTGGATATCCTTGTGCCTGAACACACTGCCTCCAATCACCAAATCGTTGAATGCACAGAATTCTGCAAACAATTCTCCATTCTCATTCATTTCACCTAGCGCCTCTCGACCCATGGTTAGTTCTCTTCCTGTGTTGTCACCTCCCAGTTTGGCATTCATGTCGCCCATTAGAATTTTGATATCGCCAACTGACGTCTTGTCCAGTGTTGATTGAAGTTGTCTGTAGAATTCCTTTAATACCCACCCATTATTAGTAATACCTGTCTACCAAACCACGGCTATTTCAGTTAGTTACTCTGATAAATATTTAAACATTGTTCTGATACAGTGGTAAAGATGCACGAATCATATTTTTCAATGGAAGCAGATAATAGGAAGTAGGAAATTTACTAAGAGAATCGTATTACATGCGTTTCAAGACGGTGGCTATCACATAATTAAAAAAAATTACTTTTAAGATACCCATTAGGATAAATGAAAAGCGCCTAAAAATACAAAGCTAGTGGTTTTACTCTAGAGACTCTAGAAGCTTGGCTAACACAGTGATGATGTTTTTTTGTTGTAATGGGACACTGAAGATATTTAGAACTGATAACAGCAATATATTTTAGCACTTGGACGCTGTAAGATTGCTTGTATGTATATAAATACACATGAGATGATGAACAAAACAAATGGCGAATCACATTATGAGACGTCTTCATACTTGGGGTTAAGTATTCAGATAAGTGTTAGTGATTAGCATTACCAATAAAATGATACTTTACTATAAGGTCACAGGGACTGGTCATTCTGCATGCTAAGGTTAGAAGTCAACCTCATTTTATAAATTCTTACAGTTCAATTCTTGAACATTTGTTCAACTCTAAACATATAGCTCTATCAGAATCCTCCTTTAGTGTTATTTTTCGAGTCAAATGGAACAGTTCGAAAGGAGTATGCTTTCGACAGTTGTGTACAGTGGAAGCACTGGTAATTCATCAGTCCTTACATTGAGTTAATGTAGAATAGTTATCAGAGTATTATAAACAAATAAAGTGGGTGTCTAAATTTTTTCACTTACTAAATACATGTACTACTCAATAATTATAGTCATGTTTCATTAAAACAGAAAACAGAGAAAGAAGTTTGAAACTCGTCACAGAAAATGTAAACAAAGGTAGCATTTACTAGCTTTGTTAAAGACAAAAAAACTTATTGACATAATCTGGGTTAACTATGATTGTTACATTGAACTTCTGAACTCAGAAGTTGACCGTAATAGTGATGCCGTTTGTAAGTAATCTCAGATAACTTCAACTGTGCATTCAGTCACTTCATATAGGTAATGTTAGTGCATTGATCATCAAGAAACTAAGTTGTATACAGATAAATTTTACAATTTTTCGGCAGGCTGAGAAAAATCAAGATGGAAAGTTATTATAATCATTCAATTTTTGATAATACTCTACCTAAATTTTCAAGCATCATATTATTTCAATGGTTATAACAATGTACACTTTTCAAAACATTATTTGAAACATGTTGCTCGATAACTTACTCATTATTTTCACTGCACACTGATCTCCATTTATTACCTAACCATAATTGCAGTTCACCTTGATCGATACTTTTACCATTGACTAATCTAATCTTTCGATAAGGTTGCACAGTGATAGTCTTAATGTTAGATGCTATTGTTGTGTTATGAAAGTAATTTTCAGATGTTGAGAAATTCGTAGTCGATGGTTTCCATTTTGTGAAGATAATTCTATGATCTATAAAGTGAAAAGAAGAAATGGTATCTTAAAGGATTTACGTATAGTTTATTGATATGAAAATTTATTTGCAACTTGATTGGTGATGGCTAATAGTTGAATCCAGGATGTTCATTTCATCATATTTTTTGTTGGTCAACTAGATGTAATGGTAGGTCAGTGAACCATGCTGTAGTTTACCAATAAATAGGAAGATATAAATCATAATAAGTAAATCTATTTACAGTTTGTGAAAAAGATATTTTCCGAATCATATGGTGAGAATTACGCTTCATTTCCATATCAAGCGTGAGTTTATTGCCTGTTATTATTACATTGATTGATTACACTTCATATAGTCCGAACAAAATGAGACAGGCTAACCAAAGAAAAATTGATTAGGTGTCTCTACTTGAAGCCATAGCTCTTAGGATTATCTAGTTAACACTTAAACGGTACGTTATAGATCCAATTTTCATATTATAGTTATTCACGTAGTAGTCAGTATCACCAGTGCGTAGGAAGAAATTGAAGCTGATAGATTAGTAGAGAGATCTGCATACAGTTACTGAGTTATAGACCTTTGCATAATAATATTCATTAAATTTCAAACTATTAAAAAGATAAATTATAATATAGAAGTAGTATTCATCATGGACTGACATCTTAATTGGGGAACTATTGGAAATCTGGGAGCACTGGATAGCTGTTTCGTCCTAGTATGGGACTCCTCGGCAGTACGCACCCACGACTCAGCTAGGGTCGAACTCAGGACCTTCAGGTTTCACGGCGAACGCGTCAACCATCCAGCCACTGGGTCGGTTTCCAGTGGTTCACAATTTCTGACTTCTGTCAATTCACAACATAGCGTGACTGTCACCCAAGGTATTCGGTTAGCATCCACTTCACTTCTGACTGGTTGACCCCACAGGTCACGGCTTCTCATTAGGACTTCCTGACATCCATCTGGAGGCAAGTCACTAATGAGCACTATTGAGTAATGTATTTTTGAGATGAATGGGGATTTTTAGTTTAGAAGTAGTTAACGCGTTCGCTGTGAAACCTGAAGGTCGTGAGTCCGACCCCTAGCTGAGTCGTGGGTGCATACTGCTGAGGAGTCCCATACTAGGACGAAACAGCCATCCAGTGCTCCCAGATTTCCAATGGTTCCTCAACTGATGTCAGTCCATGATGAATACTACTTCTAAATTAAAAATCCCCATTCACCTCAAAAATAAATTGTAACAATAATTGACCCGGAGATACTCGTTGGCTGCTTCTTTTTCATTATGACTGGTATAAATAACTTTCAGTTACCTATCTTTGGTATTAAACAGTTTGTGATGGAATTAGGTATATCATCGAATCTAGGTTTTGCATCTGTCAGTATTCATCAGCAAGCCATATCCACATATATTGAGAAACTGATATTTTTCGGGTGATTTGGCCTTGGATTACCATATACTTAATTCTGAAGTTTGTCACGAAGCTACTTAAGCTATGGATGACCCTTGTTGGTTTGAAGTTTTTACACGAGTTGGTTACCAATGGATAACTTATGTAGCTGTATAGTCAGTTAACTTTTCGAAGTCAGTGTTATTATTATGGGTCTTCTAAGTATTTATCTTTCAACCACCCACTATAAGTTCAGCAACAATCAGTATGCATCCACCATGTATTTCATTGCATTTGGTTTAAATAATTGATCGTAAGCAAAAAGAAGAATTATGCTATGTATACAGTTATTATCTTCATCTCATGTTAGTATTTAGTATCAAGAGGTTCAGTAATTCAGAATGGGTCATGGAATATGTTTACTTCACTTAGAAGAGCTGTAAACATTTAGTGGAAATATATTTTTGTAGGATACAGTATAAAGTAGCAGTTTTACAAACATCTATTGACAATAAGCTATTTAAAATGTAAAAAGGTTAAGAGTTTGGCGCCTAGAATATTCAATTCTTTGTCACTAACAATCTTTCAAAGCTTTCAGACAAGATTTCATAATGTGCATAACTTGCTATTTTCAGTAGTCCAGTCACCACAAAGATGAATCTCTTTGTCATTCAACTTTGCTGTATTTGTATCCGAAATTTGTATACCTTAGGAATTGAAAATCTCCTCAAAGTGATATCTATCTCTAAACCAGTATTTATGTACCTTTTAATTGGTTTTGAGACTTTGACTTCAAATGTAGTACTTTATTTGAAGGTTTCGTTTAAGTTTAAAACAGGTGTCAGCTAAATTAGGCAAAACGTCTACCTTAATGATTCACTTTCAACACAACACTGAGTTAGAAATTAGTGTACCATTTACCGGATTGTAACTGATACAGCTGTCGTCGTCAGCAGATGTCTATCAACCAAGTTGGTAATGCTGCCATAAAGTTAAGTGAAGTGACACTGCAGTAGAGTGACTGTTATGCCATTTTATAAACAGTCGAAATAACCAATGAGATTACTGTTTTTCGATGAAGAACTACCTTTATGGTCAAAAGAAATGAATTTAAGTGATTACTTCACTGGTTGGCAGAGTGGAATTTGGAGTGTCTTCTACAGTACATTGCTTCTGAGGCCAGAAGTTAGGAGACGGTTACTCCATAGCAACTGAAAATTCTTAGTTTTCGACAGGTATGAGTAAAAGTTTATCACTTACCATTAACTTTGACTGACAATATACCTAAGGTGACATTGTAAGAAAAGATGAAATTACAATGAACCTAGGTGACCTTCATTAATATATACCACTTTGGCTTTCGACACATAGTTTGAAATGTAGTAACAACGCAACTGTTTAAGCGCATAAAAGTTTTCGGAAACTTCCAACGATTCACCATGCAAAATAGGGATATGCAAAACCTCCTATCAACTTAGTAAAATCTTTTTGACAGTGTGAAGCATATACCACACTAATCAACTCTGGTCGCTAAATGACTGAGCGTGATTTGAGTAGCCTCCAACTTGTTGCATAGTAAAACAATATTGTTTGCTTATTTTCAGTCACAAAGTCTTAAAAAGTAATAAAATTCGGTCAAATGGAGTAAAAACAAATTAAGTGAACAGTCTTCTGAATTGTTTCTTCACTTAAATATCATTTACTATTCGAAATTTGTAGTTCAATATACTTTAAAGTATTCTCCTTTGAGCCTATTCATATTTGAAGCTTATTTCTTCTAAACAATTATCTTAAATCTCGACTAAATATTATAGTTCAATAAATAAGTTAGTTATTATATAATCTTAGAGCGACTTTTTTGAACGATTCGCTGTATATGCTAAAGCATTTTTGAGAAGAATATTTATAACAATATGTAAGTAATTTGATAAATTTATTATTTTATTATAGTTACTACTGATAAAGCCTGTCGACAGCATCTTCCATTCCACTAAAGTTATCACCCTATTGACAAGTACATACTTTTGATCAATTCATTACCATTACATTATATTTATACTTATTATTACAAAGTAATCCACTTAGTCTATTCTTTCGAGTAAATCATTTTAGATATTTTGTGAATTCGTTTCAAAGTGTATCATTTTTCCATCAGTTGAAGATTATATATGCATAATTTTGATTTAGATGCGGTTACATATATACTTCATCATTTTATAGTTCTTCTATACTAACCTAATTATGCATTTATAAAGTATAACGTTTATTGAAACTTTGAATTTATAACTATGAGGGAGAGAAGACGGGACTTCCTTCAGGTGAACGTAGAGAAGACAGAGGTGATGAAAATACCCAACCAACAACAACAAGCATCAATCACTATCGTCGAGAAAAACCTAAAGGAAGTTGTCTCTTTCACCCACCTAGGCAGCATCGTTTCGATTACAGGCGGTGGCACAGATGAGGACGTCAAAGCCAGGATCGGAAAGACAGCAAGACAAGTCTTCACTAGCCTGAAATCAGTGTGGAGATCTACTGCACTTCATTCAGCATAAAACGTGAACAAAATCCGGATTTTCAACACTAATGTCAGTCAAGTAAGTCAGTGCTTCTATGTGATGGTTGAGAGACTCGGCACGTTACGGAAAGCATTTCCAGCAAACTGCAGACATACGCCTACCCTCACTCGATAGTGAAGATAGAGATTGGATGGCCAGAAAGAATAAGCAACAAGGAACTCTGGTTGGCAATGAACCAACCAACAGCCTATCACCCAACAAATATGCAGAAGTGGAGATGGATTGGGTTGGGCATACACTGAGAAAACTGACTGGGGACATCACGACAGGGAGCAGCGAGCTGGGTGTTGGAGGCGAGTGTGACATGGAGGAGATCATGTGAGGAAGAAATGAGAGCTTGTGGGCAGTGGTAGAGCCAGGTTGAAAAGACTGCAGAGAACAGAATGGAAGGGAGACGTGCTACTGAAGCCCTATGTTCCACTAGGAACCCAAAGGACAAATAATAATACTAATACTGTTATTAATAACATTACTCAACTGCGGTGGTTATTTACTTTGACATTAGTGTACAAGGAGTGAAAATATTTATTGGAATATCACACTCAGAATTCCATACTCTATTCAGAGTTATTGTTTGGAATGAAGTGACTATTGTTATTGTGTATTCATTAAAATTTCTGTCGACTACAGTATCTATAAGTTGATTTAAAGGAACGTCATTAAAAATGCTGATAACTTTCAAAGCGTTATGCAATATAACATTACTGTTACAAGACGACTAAGGGCAGAGGATTTAGAAGAATAGGTGAAACATAGGAATCATTGCATAGCAATGACTTAAAAGTGAAAATAAAGTATGCAATGAGTATGTAGTATCACTAGTATACTGCTACTTTCAGAATGTATTGTAATGACTTATTGGATACGATAGAAAACAAAAGTTTTTTTTACTTGACGTACAATATATTACATAACTACTGATCAAAGGATACATACCTGAAGTTCCTTTTGCATATAGAATTCCTTTAACTTTAATAGATAATCCAGCACCAACAAGAACATGAACACCAGGATCTATTATAAGTTTGGCTTCAGGTGAAATGATCAAATCACTATTTTTTATTATAAACGGAGATTCTGAAATAGTCCAACGTTGTATTCCTGATATGACAGAATTGACGTATGTTAGTCCAAAGGTCAATTTAGACAATTTTAATAGTACAAAAATTAGTGTATATAGAAGGGAAATTGTCATGCATAGGGTCATAATTTTATTTAGATTGTTGACTGAATAACTAATGATCACGTCCTCGAACTGTGTTGATTAGTTTCTTTGAAACGATGAAAAAAATAAAAAGACAGGAAGTTATATTTACATAAAAATGCATTTTAGAAAGTTGAATGAAAGATTAAAATACTTTGAAGGTAATGAGTAATAAATGATGCATTAATAATCATGAAGATGTTCAATATTCAATCAGTCATTATCTGATCAGACGTTATTTTTTCTACACATGAGATATTAATCTTTATTTGATGCAATTGCTACCATTCATGAACCTGAATATTGAAAAAAACAGCAAATTCTTAGAGCCTATATGATACCAAAATGTATAGATTACAGGAATTGGACATTTATCAAGTTGACATGAGATTATTGACAGGACTAACCGGTGACATAGATGATGTAAAATAATAAAAGTAGAGGAGATCGTTAGGAATGTTAAAAGGAAAGTTGAATATTTATAAGACTTTTATGTGGATGTTGTTGAAGGAGAAGCTGAAAAGATAGGTCAAAGATAATCACAATAGACTTAGAAACTTGGAAATGGTTTGAATTTATAAAACCTTGCTCACTGGTAAGGTGAGTAGCATTCAGATAGAAAAATGAAGGCTTGAAGCGAAACAAAATATACGAAATAGGATGATATATCAAATGTTTACACACATTTTTATTGTAAAGTAATTATCAAGACGATTCGAGGTTGACAACCATACCTTTCAGAAGAAATTGATTTGCTCTAAGTACTAGGTGGTGGAAGTCAATCAGCAGGAAGCCTACGACGGCTATCACTTAGATAAAACATAATGGATTTGAGTTCTTTTGCCTGTTGTTCACTTTGAACGATTTTGGGCTGGCCACATTATGTTCATAGTTGAACAGGTGACACTTATGTGCGCTAAACAAATGTATTCAGAGATGAGAACAAAACACTATTCTCTATTCTTCTAATAAATATGTTTTCGCATATAGAAGCAAATTGGTAAATGTAGTTGGAAGTAACATGAATCGGGTATTTATTCACTTTCGATAGCCAGAAAAAAATCACTTTGGCAATTGATGCATTCAACCCATTATAGCACTCAATAGACGTTAGATCCTAGCAGCAAGCTCATCACCTTCGAAGGCAAGTTGTAAAAAGACAGGCTTCTTCTCCACGGTGCTGAACTTTATTCTTTTCGTATTGAACTGCTTGTACTCATCACAGAACTTCTTCAAATAACCATTATAATGTTAATATCTCTTAATAATGTGTAACTATTCTTAAGATTTTTTTTCTGGAGGACAGTTTTCTTGTAAAGTTGACTAGCATTCTAACCAATCCTCTTTTGTTACTCACTGGACAAATGGTTTGAAATCGAAGTAATGTCCACTCTTCGTCTCCCTTTTATGAATATACCTGTAAAATTTTTCATTTATGTCACACTTACTGTCAAGAACTTGGAAATAAAATTTATTAATGCACCTAGATTCTAATGTAAATTTTTTTATTGGGTTAAACAACGTTGTGAAGATACATTATCAGGATTATTGCAGATGGAAACATATCATCAATATATTCCGCATACTAGACGTAACAGATGAGCTGATTTGATTTACACTTCAATCATTCAAAATTTGATTAGGCTATATTACAATACACACAGAGAAATTCACTTATGTTATTATTTATAGTTGTGTTTTTTTTCAGTAGTAAAATGCAACCTTAGAATGCCTTAATTAACAGCTTTTTTTTACATCTACTGTTACTATTAATTTTCAACTCGTTTATATAAAGATAATGATTAATGCATAAAAAAAATTAGGACACTTTTATTGAGAAATTAGGTATATCTACAATCAGTTTTATGAAATATCACGATATTCTATTAAGAAATATCTCAAGTTGTTATTCATCGAAGACTCACATCAGTTGGAGGAACAAAGAAAACCTGGGAGCACTGGACAGCTGTTTCGTCACACTAGTATGGGACTCCTCAGCAGTGCGCACCCACGACCCCACCAGCAGGGATCGAACCCGCGACCTTCAGGTTCCGCGACCAGCGCGTTACCATTGAGCCACTGGGTCAGAATCCAATGCTCCATATTTCCAACTTCTGTTAGCTCACGATATAGCGCAGACGGCCACCCAATGTCAAGTATTCCCGAAGTTCCAATGACAAGTCGTGACCGGTGGAGTCAAAGCCTGATGGCCGTGAGGACAAATACTCAACGATGACATTGGGTGGCGGTTTGCGCTATATCGTGAGCTAACAGAAGTTGGAAATATGGAGCATTGGATTCTGACCCAGTGGCTCAATGGTAACGCGCTGGTCGCGGAACCTGAAGGTCGCGGGTTCGATCCCTGCTGGTGGGGTCGTGGGTGCGCACTGCTGAGGAGTCCCATACTAGTGTGACGAAACAGCTGTCCAGTGCTCCCAGGTTTTCTTTGTTCCTCCAACTGATGTCAGTCTTCGATGAATAACAACTTGAAATAATTCCAAATCTCCACAACCCCTCAAAATTTAAGAAATATCTCCTTGACATAATCCTACTTAAAACCTTAATTATATAAAAGTATCCAGTTAAATAGGCTATTTGAAACTTGAATTTATTCGTAAGTTTTCATAACAGCATTCAAGGAAATTGTAGCTTGAAAACTACAAGTTAACTAAGGACCAACAAACAGATAATTGAAATATTTTGTCATCTTTTATTGATGATGAAGCATAAATTTCGAAATATAAATGTAGAAAGATGAAGTGAATTGATGTTTGACTATTGTGTATTGGAACAACAGTCCATATATCGAGTAGAATAAAAAAAACCTTATCATCATATCAAATATGATAATGAAATGATAAGCTATAGAAGTAGAACAGTTGAATTCGTAGCAAAATAATACGCAATTAAATATCATATCTACACTATCTTTGAATTGATCAATCATATTCTCACTTGAATATGGATATAAATCAAACAGATTATTAGAACAAGAACAAGAGGAACCAAAAGTTTACTCACAGTTAAAGGTTTTTTGAGAGTTTTTCAAAGCGAACCAGATTAGTTAACCCTAAATGATAGGAAATTCAATATATGATTATGGCTGTAGAATCTGGAATCGCATGAAGCTGAGAAGCCTATCTTTTCATCTAAGAATGGAAACTGTTATAAAAAGAGTCTATTATACTTAGTTTTGTTTGAATTGTTGCTATTTCACTACCAACTTTAAAGATCACTCTGGAAAATCCTGTTAGAACCAATCAGATTTCTGTATTTCGGCTAGAAAGATAGTTTTTCATAAAATGTAGAAGCTTAATTGGTTATCTCAGCAGCTGTTTAGGTGACTTTTAAAGTTATTCCCATTTCACACCATATTCAAAATTCTTGTGCATGTTTTCCATAAAAATCACTATTTAAGCTAACTAAGGATGTTATTTTTCATTAACTCCAACGTTTATAATCTACTCATATCAGCTAATCTTAGATGGTATTTAAACAATCTACAAATGAAGCAGGCAATGTTCAAAAGAACTGGAAGTATAATATCATTATATATATCATTAGTTTATACTAATATTATGTATATTATACTTACTGTGAGAAACATAGTGACAGAGATTTTATTTCCCTTTATTAATGATATTCAATGCTAAGTGAACTTAAAGTTTTTATATTATTGAGTAATTTACAAATATTCATCAAGAGAATTACAGATCAAACGCTGGCTAGTAGTTGGAAAACTAAATTAGATTCATGAGTTATTCGCTTAGAATAAGTGAGCTATTTCATGGGTAAGGGAGAGACCATATGTAGATCAGAATGAGGATGTTTGCTTCTAGTTTAGAATAGCTCAGTGGCAGTGTTGCTGACTACACGACTGTCTGATCCAGGCTTGAATCTCAGAGGATATACCGTCTCCTTCGAGGTTGCAGATACACCGTGCTGATGGGTTCTAAAAAGCACAAAATCTACCTATGACCTCAAAGTAATTAGCACCTATCAGATATCACCGTGATGGTCAGCTTCTTAGCTAGATGGTCACATTGAATTCAGTCAGCATCCAGCAACACGAAATTAATTACTGTCCACTGACCAATCAGTGTATACACTAGTATTCTCCAGTAAATCAAACTTAAAGGAAAATGTTCTGTAGAAATGTACAACTTTTAAAGTCATAAATAACTTGTCGCCTAGTGCTATCACTGGACTACAAACAAGTTGAATATTTTCTAAAATAATATAGTCTTATAGTGGTGTACTTAGGCTATTGGTATCACGTTCATGTGGCGAATGTAAGGTATGCTGAAGTGATATACACCAACTTAGTCTGTGAAGTCATAGGAATCTAAGCTTTCATGAGGCGACATCAACTGTTGGTTAGTTTGTTAAACCAAGTGTTCTTAAAAAAAGCCGACGCTTGTAATTTGAAGTAACTAAGATATACTCTCCACTAATATTTCGGCATATCATATCTCTTCATATTGAAGTAGGGTTTCTTTACATGCCAACTCTTTATATGTATGATTGGTTATTTTCAGATGGACATATGACCACTCAGTGATGTAGTAGGAGTCAAGCGTCTGCACTGAAATTGTGAGGAAATTAACAAATGCTTGTGTGAAGGTTCTGTCAATAAAACGGTTGATCGACATTACTACCAGTAATTATGATACACACTAATCATATCTAAGGGACACATTCTTGAAATTAAGTGACATACTTAACTGAAATTAATATGTCCATCAATGATGTATGAGATATTTATCAATGTTTCCTTCAATCTACACGAAACGAATAGAATACTTTATGTGATGGCTTCCACTTCTGCACTAGTGATAAAAACATATCAAGGGCTTATATTCTCTTATCTATGATAGAAATAAATTAGGTTGACTATATTTGGCTACGGTCCTTTTATTGTCTTTATTTTATCAAGTTGCAGGCTTGAAATATTAGGAAAACTTTTTTCTGAATCGTGAACAAAAGAGTTTCCGAATTCACGGTAATAATCTTAAGAGCCTCTTCATAATCCCTGTTGCGAATTCAAAACAATTCAGTTGTTACAAGCATAGTTATAAAGTTCAGTAACTATTACGCTAAATATGCTTAAACAACGAAGTGTGTAAACAGGTATTATCATCGTTTGTTACTGAATATAAGTACAATTTCTTAGAAATCCTTTATGAAATGGTGTCACATATAGGAGCGGAAAAAACTTGGTATATAACACAACAGAATCCCTATTACTTATTAAGTTCACAAGAAAATTTAGAACAGGACGAGAAAATCTTCAGGCTCAGGGATGAGATCATTTATATAGTTTGAATATTTTGCATAAAGTTGAATAATAGAAATCTTCATGAAAGTTAAATGTCAGCTTACAGGTTTTATAAGTTCGACGGGGAGTTTACTGAGGAATGTAAATTAAGTTTAGATGAAAGTCTGATTTCTCAATCATTTTGCGATATCACTAAAATCAACGACAATAAAAATATTGAATTAAGTGGCTTCGCAGAAGCCAGGAACTGTTGTCGTAACACAGCACCTAATAGATGAGTCACTACTAATTAGTGTTTTCAGGCAGGTTTAAATGCCACTCCAGAGATCATTTATCGCATACTTGCGCCTCTTAGCTATTTACAGTCCTAACCACACTCAAGACGGTATTATTATTATTATTAGTCCCTTGGGTTCCTAGTGGAACATAGGGCTTCAGTAGCACGCCTCCAGTGACCTCTGTTCTCTGAGATCTTTTGAACCTGGTCCCACGACAGCCCAGAAGCTCTCATTTCCTCCTCGCATGACCTCCTCCATGTCACCCTCGGACGTCCAACTCGTCGCTTCCCATGGGGATTCCACTCGAGGGCCTGACGCGTGATGTCCTCAGTCGGCCTTCTCAGTGCATGCCCAATCCATCTCCACTTCTTCCTGCATATTTGTTGCGTGATAGGTTCTTGGTTGCTTCGTTCCCAGAGTTCCTTGTTGCTTATTTTTTCTGGCCATCTGATCTTCAGCAACGAGCGTAAGCAGTTGTTGATGAATGTCTGTAGTTTATTGGAAATACCTTTCGTGGCGCGCCAAGTCTCTGAGCCATACAAGAGCACTGACTTGACGTTGGTGTTGAAAATCCGTATCTTGTTCCGCATGCTGAGTGCAGAAGATCTCCACACTGGTTTCAGGCTAATGAACGCCTGTCTTGCTTTTCCGATTCTGACTTTGACGTCCTCGTCCGTCCCGCCTGTAGTTGAAACAGTGCTTCCTAGATAAGTGAAGGAGGTTACTTCCTTCAAGTTTCTCCCGTTGACGGTGATTGGAGTTTGTTGTTGTTGTTGATGGTGGTGGTGCGGTATCTTCATCACTTCTGTCTTCTCTATATTCACCTGAAGTCCCGTCTTAGCTGCCTCTTCTGTCAACTTGTTAGTTTTTGCCTGCAGATCTTCAAGTTTATGTGACATCAGACACAAGTCATCAGCAAAATTTAAGTCTTCTAGGTTCTTTTCCCCGATCCAGCGTATCCCCCTCTTCTCGCTCCTTACTGTTTGTTGCATGATCCAGTCCACTACAATCAGGAATATCATGGGGGATAGTAGGCAACCTTGTTTCACTCCTGTCTTCACTTCAAAAGTATCACTGAGCTTCCCATTGTGAATTACTTGGCATGTGGCATCTTCATATAGTTGTTGAATGAGGCGGATAAAGGTTTGCGGTACTCCGTAGTATTGAAGCAGTTTCCAAATTACTTCTCGGTCGACGCTGTCAAAGGCCTTCTCAAAGTCGATGAAGTTGAGGTGGAGAGCTGATTGCCATTCTACGCTCTGTTCTATGATGATACGAAGCGTTGCAATTTGGTCTGCACATGATTTGTACTTCCTGAAGCCTGCCTGTTCCGGTCGCAGTTTTGAATCCAGTGCATCTTTAAGCCTCTCCAGGATGATGCGGCTTAATATTTTACTTGGGGTGGACAGGAGAGTGATTCCGCGCCAGTTCTTGCAAGCACTGAGGTCTCCCTTCTTCGGCAGTTTGACAAGGTAACCCTTCTTCCAATCAATGGCCAGGTACCTTCTCTTCCCTCCACACCTTCTGCAATAGTGGTGTGAGCATGTCCGCTGTTGTCTCTGCATCTGTTCTCAGTGCTTCTGGCGGTATCCCATCTGGTCCTGCTGCTTTCCCGCATTTCAGTAGCTTTATGGCGTTCAGGACTTCCATTTTCGTTGGGGGATTTATGTTCACTTGTAATTCAGCGGCTGCAGGTGGTATTTCTGGACGAAGTGCAGGTGGTGGTCGATTCAAGAGCTTCTTGAAGTGGTCGGCCCATCGTTTCCTCTGTTTCTCTTCTTTTGTAATTAAATTTCCTTCTTCATCTTTTATTGGTTTCATCTGTGTTGGTCTCTTCCCTGATAGCAACCTGGTTATTTGATACAATGTCGTCAGGTCTCTCTTACCTGCAGCCTGTTCTGCTTCACTTGCCAGTGTTTCGTAGAAGTGTCTTTTGTCTTTGCGTGCACTCTTCTTCACTTCCTTATCCAGTGTTTTATACATTATGTTCAGTTCTTCTTGTCGTTGAGCATCCTTGCACTGGTTTATCTTCTGCTTCACCATCCTCCTCTCCTCTATCAGCTTCCATGTATCCGTCGAGATCCATTCCTTGTCTTCTTTCTTCTTCCTTCCTAATACTGTTGTGCAGGTTTCTTTCCACATAGCTTTCAAATACTTCCAGTGTTCTTCCACACAGGTTTCTTCAGGGATGTCCCTCGATATCTCCCATTTTGTCTTGATGGCTGGCTGTCGTGAAGATCTCCTTTGTAGTTTCATCCTTCAGTTTCCGAGTGTTGTACTTGAATTGAGGTCTATCACCAGCTTCCTTGAAGGCTTTTAACTTGATTTGGAAGGTTCCTTGCACTAGAGACAGTAAGTGGTCTGAACCTACATCTGCTCCTCTTCTTGACCTTGTGTTAAGTAGACTGCGTCTCCATTTTCTTGAGATTGAGATAAAGTCGATTTGATTTTTAGTGTGTCCATCTGGTGAAGTCCATGTCGCTTTGTGGATATCCTTGTGCCTGAACACACTGCCTCCAATCACCAAATCGTTGAATGCGCAGAATTCTGCAAACAATTCTCCATTCTCATTCATTTCACCTAGCGCCTCTCGACCCATGGTTAGTTCTCTTCCCGTGTTGTCCCCTCCCAGTTTGGCATTCATGTCGCCCATTAGAATTTTGATATCGCCAACTGACGTCTTGTCCAGTGTTGATTGAAGTTGTCTGTAGAATTCCTCCTTTTTCTCTTGCTCTGCATTATTTGTAGGTGCATAGTGTAGCACTGTATGATTGTGACCTTTCTTCCTTTTGAGTTGAATCTTGCTGTCATGATCCTGGAGGAGATTGGTCCCCACTGCATGAGAGCCTTCGATGCTCTTGAGGACATCATGATAGCCACTCCGAAACTCAGTGTGCTCGTGGTTGTCGTCTGGGTGACAATATCGGAGTAGATTATTGATTCTGCAGTTGACAGTTTGGAGAGTCCACTCCCATTCCATCTGCTTTCGCAAATCCCAAGCACTTCGATGTTATACCTTCTCATCTCCTTTGCAATCTGGGCTGCCTCACTGGGTTCAAACATGGTGTGGACATTCCATGTCCCCACGTTTACTTTCGCTTTCATCGAGAGAAGACACATCGGCCAATTGGCTTCCCGAAGGCTTTCACCAACTGGCGTCATTTCGCCTCTCCGATTCCAGCGGGGAATAAGTTTGTTTTCATTTTTTATATTTTGTTTGTGCTTTGAAGTTTCTTTAGCAGTTAGATTTGTTTTACGGGGTAGGGTTGCTAGCCCTATGCCCAACCTTCCCTCTTTACCCGGGCTTAGGACCGGCTAGTAACTAGTAAACTAGTTAACCAGGCGAGGTTCAAGACGGTATAGACAGTTTCTTTTGTTTACTTGCAACAGGGGTATCACAAAAGATTTCAGGCTATTCCATTGCATCTATACGTGTGGAAATTTAGACAGCTACATCCACTGTCTTTGTAGTCATTGATACTGACAAGCAAACACAAGTGAAAACTCACCGACCTCAGTCACTGATCTGTCTGTTAGTCATCCCTCTAAAGTACCCAGTGCTGCATTATGCTACACAAGTGACTCTTAGCAAAGCCTTCTCTTTATACGCGTGACAACTCCAAAACACAAATGTTTCAAATAATGGTTGAGATAAAGTTCACGCTGAATGGATAATGCAAGTCAGAGTCACACAATGAAACTAAGCTTTTGATGATCTAGGAACACTTCCCTTTTACTAACCGGACTTAAGGTCATGGGAACAGCAAATGCATATGGAAAGGAAACAAGTGTTGAATAAAAATATGAAATCCATGATGACAACAACAGCAGCTATTAGGCAGTCTTCGCTGGTGAACTGATGATGCATACCAAAAGCGTGCATCTTAGTCATATGGAGAATATGGAGCCTGCTGTCACTGACGATAGCTTAGAAACGAATGGTAAAAAAGGGACCGCCTTATTTTAATTGGTATATACAACAATATTTCGATATCCACACCGCCTTATAACATGTCGTTTGGACACTATAACTTTTTCTCTAATATTCCATTTTATGTATGCACGTTATCAGGGTCTTTGACTCATAAATAAAATCTTAATTTTGAATTACAATGCATTTGTTATTGTTTATAATATTGACAACAACGGAAAGCAACTAATTTATGGTTTTTTTATCATATTTTTATCCTTTACTAAAACCTCACTCAGGATTTTATTCAGAACACCTGGAGCGTTTCACTATTTAAGTATTGTAGTGAGACCACCTTACAAGGTACAGAAGAAATCTCAGTTAAGTGTAGTCGTAAGCTTTTCATGCAACACTATCTCATATCTGTAAGAACCATATTTTCAGTACTATTCCCGCTGGTTGTCAGCAGCGATTACGGTTTGGAACCCGGTATAGATCTCTTCTGTATAGCATATTTTTGTCATATTCTGTATTCTTGGCTATGGCTACATTGAAAGACATGTTTATCTCAGACCAGCTTGCAAAAAACCTTGATACAACACCAACAAACCAGTTTTTAGAAGCCTGAAGAAGCAAAGCTTCTGATGATAAGCAAAGGAAAAAATGCGGCTTGATTAACACCTGTGTAATGTTTGAAAAGCTTTTGACCCAGCAAATTAACTACGTGGGTGACTGTAAGCAAGCCTATGTTAACCTTCAAATATATTTATGTCTAAAAAAGACATTGCAAATGAGAAAGCGATGCAAAATTATGGGGGTTTCAGGGAAATCATTATGATTAACAGTTGTTGCGTACTTGCACTCCACTTTTACGCCGAAACTAATAATATGGCCCCTGGTTTCAGGGATTAACATGCCTAAAACAAGCGCATGGTATGCGAGTGTTATTTCCAATGGCTGTTCAGGAAGATAACGGATTTTAAACGAAAAATTACTGTTCAACAGTTATTTCACTTTATGAATCCTGAAAAAGCCATAATAAGACTTAATTCTTCTGAATCACGTTTTGTATACTCAACACAGCTAGAAAATAGGTCAGTCAGTCCTATCTGTAAAACATATTGCAAGATATTATAAAGTTAATCGAGGCATAAGAAGTTATGAACTTTTAGCAACCCAAAAGTGTTCAAAACAGTTTCTCATCACACCAAAACTTCCACGATCGTTTCAACTATGAATAGAAATGTATTGTACTATAGTTGGTCTGCTTCGTTGCAATTTTAACCTCCAAATAGTCTTCATATTCGACCTACATACATTTTTCTATCCCTCATTCCTATAATTTTTCGTATAAGTGCCTACAACGAGCACTTGAGTGATCAGATTGTTTGAAAAGTGCGACGCAAATAAATTTCATATTTCAGACAAATTATGTCTCCTTATTGTCTTATCGAAGATTGTTATGATCACTACTAAACAACTGGTTCTTTTCAACTCGCGAAAATTTAAAGGCTGACGGATCCAACTAAGTAAAATGGTTGGTGATTACATTCAGTATGAATAGAGAAAAGTGGTGGGGAGGTATGTAGTGTTCTGCAGTATATATTCACTCAGTACACTCTGTCTGTAACTTATAGCGTTTTAATCGTCTCGAAGAGTTTCTCAGAAATAACATAATCCTATTATCAGTACACTTGCACTCTTTCACGGTAACACTAAGATGAGTAGGATACTATAAAGATAGGAAATTCGCGTTTCGGCAGATATGACCTGTGGAAATATTGTGGTGCACCCCTTGAAAACAAGAGGAGGTTTTTTGGAAACATATTTTTGAAGTAAATTCTTTGAAACAGTGCTTAAGTTTTTCAAGTTTGTGGGAAATATAATCCAAGTCCTGTCTCATATTCCCACCCCCAAAATTGAGGAAAGCTTTATGTGTGTCCGGCATGAAACTGCCTAGTCATTTTACTAGAGCTTCTGGTCAAAAATTGAACAATTCAACGCTATGGCGACTACCAAAAACAGATGCAGATATGAACTGGCACGTACTATTGCTCAATTAGAAAAAAGGTTTATGAGTACCCAATTATTTTCTATGATAATTTCAAACGGCTTCTGTGTACTATATGAACGTTTGCCTTTACTATTAACGAAATCTGATCATCACAACCCTCCGAAAAGTCTAGAGGAAGAAGGTTAAACTAACATGGAAGGTGTTTATAATGCGCTGATGGTATGTCACCGTTGAATATAACTGTATACTTACTGAGTCGTCAGTTCACCTTTTTCTCTCCCTCTTTTCCCTTCCACATTCTCGTGACCACCACTTAACTCGTAGTTCTCTAAGCACGCTGCAGCAACAACGCATCTACCTACAGACTAGACGAAAATGTATCAACATCTGGTCGTTACAACTGTTCCTATAGGAGTAAAACCTAATGCAAGTAATTGAGTGTAAGAAATATCATTAGCTTCAAGATCTGACTGCAATAGATCTTTTCATGCAATAAATTTTATAAACGTCAATCTGCAAGCATGAAGCATATGGGCTTCTCATCTACTGATGGCACAATAAGTTCAATCAAAACCCGTATAAGCCATATCATTTTATCTGGAGGTTGATCTTGAACTTGACATTTGTATAGTTTCGGTTCAAACTAACACATAAAAGTGTTGTCAGTAAATATTCAAAGTTACAGGCGGACAGCTGCAAACACGATAATCAAATTTTTATGTTGGTGTCAGGTTGTTTGACAATACAGATTAGACCACAGATATGTGGTGAGCGTATGGTCAATATAGATAGTAATGGACACGACAAAATATTATGTAGATAATTATGGGTTTTGTAGAAACTTAGAATGCTTACTCGCGATGCAGGAATTATCAGCTAGTGCAGCAGTTAGTCGGTGGCACATAAAGTTTTTATATCGCCGCTGCTTACGAACGGAACAAACAACAAATCGTTCAGATGGTTCAAACAGTTGTTGTCGGAATAGGAAGATCTTTCTTTTATTTGGCTTTACCGTTTAAAATCCAAGGTTCACTACTTTTCCTGGTTGTTAACCTGTAACCTGAGAGCAAAATGTGACGGTGAAATTTTGAAAATTTATTTGGTTCTGAGCAGATCACATCCATATTCCGCACAAGTATCAAACCGGCTTTTAAAGGATTCTGATGAAGCAGCTTCCATCACTTTTGTAGGTAGATCACTTCAGGGTTTACTGATTTTAGGGGAATAGTAGTTGTATATGGTATCTAACTTCCAATGTTCTAGGCTTAGTTTCTGTGTATCCTTTAGGATTGATGCTACAACTAAGTTTCAGTGAGAGATTGAATGAGTTTCCAGCCTGGTTTAAGATGTTGTGGGCCAATATCAAGTCTTCGCCTGTTTTTTGGCACTCCAGAGGTTAAAAATCAAGTGCGACCAGTCTTTTTCGAATTTGGTAGAGTGCCACTGGTTTCTTTCTAAGGCTTATTTATCCAACTGCAGGGAGGGGAAAGGACGGCAGTATTGAACTCGAGGTAGTGCCATATGAATCCGTTGGAAATTCGATGGAAACGTTCACTACTTAATTTTCTGAAAATTCATCTGAGGGTCACTAACGCTGAGTTTCCACTGAATGCGTTTCTGTCATAGTCGGCTTGTGATTTGAATTCTTGGGGGCCTAAGATACCTAAATCCCTCTCCGTTAGCAATGATTCCAGTTACACGTCCTCATGTCTCATATGCTCAATCCTGCATTCTTCAGGATTAAATGTGAGCCCATTGTTGACTTCTTGGGTTTGACCTTAAGTCTTCCTGAAGAGAAACACTGTCTTCCTTACCCTTGATTTCTTTCCACAGTTTCACGTCATCTGAGAAAAAAAGATTTCAGAAGAAACCTATCGGGAAAAGTGATTTTGTGCATCAGAGATGAAGGGGGCCTATTGCTGAATCCTGGAGAACCATACTGGGACGTTCCGTATCTTCAGATATAGAGGGACTCACTCAAACTCTAAATATACGGTCTCGTAGATACGGGGACAAGTAGTCAGTAAGCGGCTGTATGGTCCTAATTAACTTTGATTTTTTAATATGCCGCTGATGATTGGCATGACCTAGCGCCTTAGCAATGTCTGGATAAATAACATCAGTGGGACCTCGATGGTCCAACATTCTGGTTCATCTCTGTACTACGATCGGGAGATAGGTAATGCAACAGTGCACACTTATAAATCTGTGTACCGATCATTGTAGGGCGATCTCTTAGTCCAACATGGATTTGCGATTCTATAACTTTGTAAGGGTTGGATGACAGCCTCACTGGCTTGTATCTGTCCTGGTTGCTTCGTTGGGGTACTTTGAAGATTGGCGTTGTGTGGCCAAACTTCCGGAGATCGGCCACTTTACCCCTGACTTAGAAAGTGCTTGAATAAATTAACCTCAGGCTTAGCCGAGATTTATGCCCGTAAAGGTTTCATATCATGACTGCTTGAAAACTGTGTGAACAAACGCACCGCCCATACCAATCCAAAGATCTGCTCTACGAGTTTGCATAAGCTGACTGCTTGTTTGTTCTTTCTCGTTGCATAGTGTTGCAGGGCTGCTTTGGGTCTTTGGAAGATTCCAATGTAGAAGATCCATCCGCTCACCTGCTTTAGTTTTGGCAAACCCGACTCCTGATTACCTGTTTGTTAATGTTGTGTGGAGATGTATCATTCATACCGGGGTTGGTTCAGATGGGCTCTTGAAACGTCGTGTCAGTAGACTGTTGTCCCGAATGGTCACGTGGGGGAGACAAAGAGAATGAAAGTGCAGCCCAGGAAAATAAAGAAGGGCGAACGACAGAAGGTGGAAAAAAAGCAAAGTAAAAGAAAGAAATCTTGTTCAGCTACTGGGCAGCTGCAAAGAAAGCAGTGAGATGGAAAACTTAGATGATTAGGGTTGAATCGCGTAAGGTGAGAGAAAAGGGAGGATGCGGAGAATGCGATGGTTGGTGTTAATGGAAATAGAAATGGCAATTACATTGTTGGTGATTTGGTCGTCAGCATACGAAGGCTTCCGATAGGGGCGTAAAAGGCTAATCGAAATTCATGATGATAATGCTGATGAAAGATAATTGGCACGCAGACAATGGAGTGTTGTGCTGACTCTACGTCAATCGGTTGTTTTGTCCTAGGCAACATTCAGACTGAAAAAGTGCAAGTTATGTAATATACTGTCACATAGTTGTACACTTTTTCCGAATTTATCGAGAGATGTAGCGGTCAGTACCTTAGTGGACGATGAAGTCCGGTGGTCACAGGCTTCGAGAAGGAAGTGCGGGCACACCATAATTTTCGCTCTTCAGTAAACAACTGTCCCTAGGTTTCCATGACAATCATTGTGGTAGTGGTTCGGTAATATTTCACTGTTCAGGTGACCTACATTATTCAGTACAATATAGGCGGTCGTCAGATCATCATGTCACTCACGGTCACTAAGTGGGTACGGGTTAAGGTTTTTCGGTCTATTCTCAAATGACTCTTGAACCGCCTGCATAAAATTCTTCGTGACTTGCCTCCGAACTTTCTACAGAAGTGTGGCGTCATTCAAGTTAGTGCGTTAAGCCTTTACTCTTACCTTCTTACACAAATGACATCTCTATCGCGATAAAACATGGCAAGCCCTACCTGTTTGCTGATGACTCAAAAATTGTATGCAGCTTCCCCCACGCATCACCAAGTGAGGGCTTTAATAGAATCCAGGATGACCTGACGTGTTTTTCCGCTTGCATTGAAATATGGCAGCTTCCACCCAACTCTGGTAAATGCGAAATTCTCTGTTTCAATAATTCCTATCCAAATGCCAGTTTACACCTTGGCGATTCTGTACTGATTATTATTAGTCCCTTGGGTTCCTAGTGGAACATAGGGCTTCACTAGCATGTCTCCATTGAACTTTATTCTCTGAAATCTTTTGAACCCGGCTCCACGACAGCCCAGAAACTCTCATTTCCTCCTCGCAACATCTCCTCCATGTCACCCTCAACACCGACGTCCAACTCGTCGCTTCCCAAAAAGATTCCACTCTGGTGCCTGGCCTGACGCGTGATGTCCCCAGTCGGCCTTCTCAGTGTATGCCCAATCCAATCCATCTCCACTTCCTTCCAGTGCATATTTGTTGAGTGATAGGTTCTTGGTTGGTTCATTCCCAGAGTTTTTTGTTGCTTATTCTCATTATTCTGGCCATCCGATCTTCAGTAGCGAGGGTAGGCAGTTGTTGTTGAATGTCCGTAGTTTTTTGGAAATTCCTTTCGTAACGCACCAAGTCTCTCAACCAGCACATAGAAGCACTGACTTGACTGACATTGGTGTTGAAAATCCGGATCTTATTCCACATGCTGAGTGCAGAAGATCTCCACACTGGTTTCAGGCTAATGAACGCCTGTCTTGCTGTGTTTCCGATTCTGACTCTGACATCCTCGTCTGTGCCTGTGGCGCCTGTAGTTGAAACAGTGCTTCCTAGGTAGGTGAAGGAGGTTACTTCCTTTAAGTTTCTCCCGTTGATGGTAATTGGAGTCTGTTGTTGTTGGGGTTGTTGGTGCGGTATCTTCACCACCTCTGTCTTCTCTATACTCACTTGAAGTCCCGTCTTCCTTCGCTGCCTCGCCTCTTCTGTCAGCTTGTTAGTTTTCACCTGTACATCTTCAAGTTTGTGTGATATCAGACACAGGTCATCGTTGGCAAAATCCAGATCTAGGTTCTTCTCCGCAGTCCAGCCAGCGTATCCCCCTCTTCGCACTTCCCACTGTTTGCCGCATAATCCAGTCGACCACAATCAGGAATATCATGAGGATTGTAGGTAGTAGCCTTTTCTTACTCCTCTCTTCACTTCAAAAGCATCACTGAGCTTTTCATTGTGAATTACTTGGCTGGCATGTGCGTCTTCATATAGTTGTAGAATGGGGCTGATAAAGGTTTGTGGTGTTCCGTAGTATTGAAGCAGTTTCTAAGTCACCTCTTGGTCGGCGCTGTCAAGGGCCTTCTCAAAGTAGCTAAAAATGAGGTAGAGAGTTGAGTTGACCGCCATTCTATGCTCCGTTCTATGACGATGCGTAGTGTAGCGTTGCAACTTGGTCCACACATGATTTGTACTTGCTGAAGCCGGCCAGCCAGCCTGTTCCGGTTGTGGTTTTGAATCCAGTGCATCTTTAAGCCTCTCCAGGATGATGCGGCTTAATATTTCGCTTGCTCTCGGTGGACAGGAGAGTGATTCCGCGCCAGTTCTTGCAAAGACTCAGGTCTCCCTTCTTCTTCCTTCCACGCCTTTTGCAATAGTGATGTGAGTATGTCCGCTGTTGTCTCTGCGTCTGTTTTCAGCCCTTATGGCGGGATCCCATCTGTTCATGCTGTTTTCCCGCATTTCAGTAGCTTTATGGCTTTCAGGACTTCGACTTTCGTCGATGGATTTGCGTTCACTTGTAGTTCAGCCGCTGTAGGTGGTATTTCTGGACGAGGTGCAGGTGGTGATCGATTCAACAGCTTCTTGAAGTGGTCGGCCCTTCGTTTCCTTTGTTTATCTTCTTTCGCTATTAAATTTCCGCCATCATCCTCAGTTGGTTTCATGTGTGTTGATTTCTTCCCAGATAGCAACCTGGCTATTTGATGTGATGTTGTCAGGTCTCTGTCTCTCCCACGTGCAGTCTGTTCTGCTTCACCTACCAAGGTGTCGTGGAAGCGTCTTTTGTCTTTCCGTGCACTCTTCTCCACTTCTTTGTCCAGTGCAGTGTTTTATGCGATGAACTCAGTTCTTCTTTTCGTTGTGCATCTTCCCACTGTTTTATCTTCTGCTTCACCATCCTCCTCTCCCTGCTCTATCAGCTTCCATGTATCCATTGAGATCCACTCCTTGTCTTCTTTCTTCTTAATACGGCTGTGCAGGTTTCTTCACACATAGCTTTCAAAGACTTC